AGTTGCTCACAATAGAAATCCACATTTTCATCTTGTAGACAAATTTTCAAAGTAATCGGCCAAGGAAACGAAGGTGGAATTAGGTTCGGCTTGGAATTTTCCTATGTCTAAGAGGAACTAGTGAGTGCCAGGGATGTTGCAATCGAATTTTAGGACTTGTAAGCGAGGCCAGGATATTCTAGTTCGTAGCCACGATTTAGGCTTTCTATTAGGCCCAGAGAAAGGCCAAACCGCTGAAGTAAAGCCTGGCTAGATCTTGACTTAGAATTGACGTTTCCACTAGTGGATGATAGGGATATTCCACCCAGGATCTGTAAGCCAGCCCGAATTAGATCTCTTGGATCCTAGCCCAATCTCAACTAGATCGATCTTTTGTTGAACTTGCTTGAACTTGCGTTTCACAGACTTGCATTTAAGCTAGGCCAGATCGTGGCGAGCCTTATTGGAGTTCTGTGAAAGCTAGCTAGGATCCAAGAGTAATAAACTCTTAAGTAAGGCATCCTGTAAGAAATATAACATATCTTTAAGTAGTGCCAAATTTTAAACACACTCACTCTGCAGAAATTTCTTTGCATGCAACCTTGCTCTCTCTTAATATTGCTCATCGGCATGTAGTTATCAAAATTCGGAAATAACCTCAAGGCGATGACCCCGTCTGTAGCTGGGTGATCTGCTCTCGTTAAGCCCTGGGAAAGTCTACAGTAATCTATGTTTCATCGATAACCCGATCAAGAAATGGCTGAGCCTTATTCAAAAAAAAGAGAGTACAGCTGCTTTGGAATTTCCGAATTTCAAATTATAGTTTCCTGGTTCATCCAACCCACTCTCGGGGAGAGAGATCAACTTTTTGTATTCAAGCAAATCCTGCACGGCTAGACGATGTTTTCCCCCCGAATTATATCCATTCAAGCAATGTTTATTCTACGCAATTATTTCATCAAATTTTGCGGAAAGAAAAAACAAAACTTCCTGCTACTTATAGCCTTTTCTATCGTCTAATCCGCGTGATTCGGGGAAAATTTTGAAAGACACAAACCTTTTCTTTTGACTCGTTTGTATTTGTATTCCGCGTCTAAAGCCGTGTTTTTCAACAGCTCACGGATTTCTGCCTATATAAGGTTGACATTTGCCAAAAGGTGGCTCAAAAGAAGACCCACTCGAATTAGAACTTCTGGACTACGGTAGTAGGGGTTCAAAGGTGCTCAGTATTGTGTATTCTCTATTATCTAAAGACAATCTCTATTATCTAAAGTAAAGACAGTCTCTATTATCTAAAGACAATCTCTATTATCGAATTAGAACTCCTGGATTACGATAGTAGGGGTTCAAAGGTGCTCAGTATTGTGTATTCTCTGTTATCTAAAGACAATCTCTATTATCTAAAGTATACTCCTTTCGATTCATCTTTTATAAAACTTTTGCTTCATATGTTGGATGTGTTTGAAGTGAGTTGTTACTTGTACTACTACTTTTGCAATACTTTTTTAAGTACTACTTTTGTAAATACTGTATCCATATCAATACAAATTGGTTCTTCCTTATCTTCACCATCACATCGCTGAACCTTACTTTAAGCTCTAAAGCTATAACTTTTTAGCTTTTAAAGTTAGCGAACATCTTTGATTGGCTGGTGAATGGAGACCTATTTCGAAACATTTTAAACTTTGTATTTTAGTGTTTTTAACCAGCTTTTTGTTACGGAAGCTAGTCAAAACAGCGCCGTGTACAAACAGCGCTAACTTTAAAAGCCGTGTACAAACAGCGCCACGGCAAAAATACCCCCTCCGCTGTTAAGTTTCTATCTGTTTCTTATTCTTATTGGGTAAAGAATAAAATTATCTACATTTTTAATAACTTGAGATCACTTAAAATAGAATTATTGTCGAGGAAAGCTCAGTTAACCTCTTTTTGAGCCTTTTTTCGTTTTTTTTTTTGACATTTTCTCATCCCAGCTTTGTTTTAAATGGCTCTAAAAAATTCAGCAGATAACTAACTTTTCTTTCTACATTCAATGAAAATAGGCAACACAAATAAACTTGACCGCAAACGCATTATTTTGATCGGCGCTGTTTGTACACGGCACTTTTTTTTGACCAGCTTCCCATGTTACCGTGTCCCAGTAATCTACCGTATCTACTGTAACTTAGATAGCTATAAGGTGCGTTGCAAAATGATAGGACCACTCCTAAATTTTACATTTTTTGGCTATGAAATTTAATAAAGCGAAATAGCTTTTAAATCTTAGAAATATATATGTTACGTCGGAATCTGAGGAGACGTCCATCTCCGATCCGGACGTCCGAATCTGAGGAGATTCATTCTCCTCCGAAACGGACGTTCGAATCTGAGGAGATTCATTCTCCTCCGAAACGGACGTCCATCTCTGAGTCGGATGTCCGTTTCAGAGGAGAATTGCCAAACCGTACATATTACCAAATTATTTGTGAAGAAAAAAAAGTAAATTGAGAGAATTTCCATTTTAACTTCCTTTTTCATTTGTTTTGTTCAAAACATTGGATTTGGCATTTAAACTATTTGTTCCCAAGATCGGATGTCCGATTCCGAGAAGAATGATCATTCTCCTCCGAAACGGACGTCCGACTCAGAGTCGGACGTCCATCTCTGAGTCGGACGTCCGTTTCAGAGGAGAATGAATCTCCTCAGATTCGGACGTCCGGATCGGAGATGGACGTCTCCTCAGATTCGGACGTAACATATACAAAAATAGGCATCTATACCATTTTTAACATTATCTGAACAAATTGCAACAAAATTATAACATTTTCTTTATTTAACACCTGTTGCGAAATGATAGGACCACATAAAAAATAACAATAACCATACTTTTCTTGCTAAAAAATAAAAATTAGCAACAAAACATGGTTATTACAGGTAGAAAACCAAAAAGAAACGTAGTGATCCTATCATTTTGCAACAGGTGTAAAATAAAGAAATGCTTAAAAAATTTTCCCTTTTAAAGTAAGTTATTTGGCAAACGGTATTTGGGCGGACGTTTGTATATGTCGTAGCCGATGAAGTCTCAAATTTTTTCGCTAGCGAAACCTTCTTCGGCTAGCCGATTAAGTCTCAAAATGAAATCTTGAGTTATGTATTGACTCAAGTCAATACCACAAACTCAAGCTCTCTAAAAGGCGCTTAAAAGCTAAAAAGGCATTCTAGTTGCAGTTGCATTTTGCATTTTTCGACCAAACTAAACAACAAAAATAAACAATAATACCAAATTTGAGACTTCATCGGCTAGCCGAAGAAGTCTGAGACTTAATCGGCTACGACATATATAAAATTCGAATTTAAGCATCATTTTGCATTTTTAGTTATTTAAAATCAAAAATCGCAAAAATGGTGGTCCATCGATGGTGGTCCTATCATTTTGCAACGCACTGTAGTTGTAAGTTCACTAACTATTCAACACTAGGCTGGCTGTGTCTACCATGACCAAGCCAGTACCAAAACGCTATCAACCGACTATCCTATCCTAATAAAATGATAATTGAAAAAGTTGGTTTCAATTGAAATGCGTTTTTTATAAGTTGTAGACCAAAAGATACATGTTTACTAGAAAATTCTATTGAAAAGGTCACTTTGATTGTCGTTTTGATCAAAAAAAAAATCTTAGATTAGTCTCCCGAAATATCCCAAATAAACAAGATGATTTACTTGAAAAAATATTTTTATTTTTATTGGATTATTAACTCAAAAATGCCTTTTAGGAACCAAAAAGAATGTCAAAATGAGGTCAAAATTTGAGACAAACAAGTAACACGCACAAGATCGACGTGTGTCTTGTTTACTTGTGCAAATCCCCCAAAAATTCGTAATTACTTCAAGTCTATAGTGTTCAAAGTAATAATCGAAAAGCCTGGGGGGAGGGGGAAATTACGTAAATCTGAAAGAAAATATGGGATCAATGAGCTCGCCTTTTCGGTGATAATCCGGAGCTTTTTTTCCCCTGGAGCCACACCTTTTTGCAAAGCCGAATTTGGGGCAAAAAGTCACCCCTACGCAATTGGAAGATGATGTTTTATCTTCTTGCTCTTCTTTTTCCGTTCCTTCATTCTATTCCATATTATACAAGTGATACAAGTTTGTTATAGCTTTGTTTCTTGGTCTCAGACAAGCGGTTTACTGAATAGCTTGATTTTTATCGAAACCCAGCTACCCTACACCTCAAAGCTTAAGCCAAACCCTACCGGCACTCTACTTTTGACCCTTGACTACGGCTAGTTAAAAGTACGGCACATGTAAGTACTTATCTTTCAATCCTTACAGTACCCAGCTACCCCACAGTTTTGTAATGGTCCAGAAGATAAGCCTTGCTTTCGTTGTTTCCATCTTACAATTAGTTTTGCCCTTCATTGTGGTCCGACTACGAAAAGTTTTGGATTCTCCACTCGGCTCCCAAATGGAAATAGATTTCTTTCACATTTCAAAGAGAAATACAAAATTAACGTAAAACAATACTTTCAATTAATCTGACAAAAACAAATGATTTAAAAACGAAAAAGAAACGACAACGCGACGCTACCATCGACTACCTCCAAATGGCGGCGGAGACGTCAATTGGAATGCGACGTCGCGAGAAAATTAACAGAAATTCAAATTTAAGATGAAAACGTCTTGAAAAACACTTTTTTCTCTCTCTGAAGGTCATTCTCTACTTTACAGTACCCAGCTACCCTCAGATCATCCAGTTGTTAACCATTTACTTATAGAGCTAGTCGAATGTACAGTATCTGACTTGGAGAGCAGTATTTCCACAGTACATATCTCCCAGTGTTGCCATGCACTGATACCGTACCAGTTTACTCATAGTCAGTGATCCGTTTGAGCTTTTTGAAACCATGTTCTACTACTGCTTCTACCAGCTATTGACTAAATATCTTTATCGTACTTACTATTGTACTACCGTGCTCCTTAAACCTTTGTTATCATATAAATCTTTGTTCTTTGTTTGTGAGTAAAACCCCGTTTCAGGATCGATGCTGAGCACGACGGAGGCTCAGTTCAACACACCATCCACCTCGTCGATTCCAGTCACATCGATGAGGTTAGGGATTGGTTTTTTTTGGTTCTTTCCGTAATGTTCTTCTATAAAAAATACTTATCATTGACCTTGCTTTTATTTGCCTAAACACTAATGCATTAAATGGACTAAAAATCGATAAATTTTCTCAAAACAAACTTTCCAGTGGCTCACGTCGCCGTAGCTCTTCATCGAGTGCCGGTTCAGTCTCAAGTCCATGCGCGGTGTGCTCGGATCCGGCAGAGGGAATGCACTTTGGAGCGCACGCCTGTGCCGCCTGTGGAGCCTTCTTTCGGTGAATCTTGCTCGTACTTTGTGCACAAAAAGTGGAAACGCGCCTTCCTGGTGCACTCACAAAGTGTATATCAGACTGCAGAGCCTAAGCCAAGCTCTGCTCGTGCAAATCTCATCGAATCTTTTCTGGGGTTAACCAAGATATCTCAAATCTCTAAACTATAGTCTTTTTGGATAATTATAGTATTAGAAATCCATTTTATTTTGCTTGAACGATTCAGTTTCTCGGAATGTAAAGATCGGAATGTAAAGATGTAAAGATCGGAATGTAAAGATGTAAAGATCGGAATGTAAAGATGTAAAGATCGGAATGTAAAGATGTAAAGCTATAGAAAATTTTTAGGATACAGATCGTTTTTTTCAGAACAAAATGAAAAACATTTTTGCATTTTAGACTTATATTCGTATAGATTTATAGACTAATAGACAATAAAGTAAAGTAAGCAATTGCAAAGAAGGGAATTGAACTTCGGAATTTCGGAGAGGGATTGAACTTCGGAATTTCGGAGAGGGATTGAACCCTCGACCTTTTTGCTGATGAACCAACGGACAGATGCTCTAACCACTGAGCTATCCGGTATCTTTTTGTGAGAGAAGAAAGAGGATAAACAAAGAGGAAGAACGGAAAGAAGAAAGAGAAGGAAATAGAAAGAACTAAAACGATAACTACTTGGTCTATAAAAGACCAATAGTTAAAGATCCCAATTATTTTCAGGTAGACAAATTTTGTACCAAATCTCTTCAAAAGAAAAAAAGATTGATGATTTAAAGAAAAAAGCTCGTCTCAAAAAAACTTTTTCAAAAGACTTACGAGAGATCAATGAAGTGCGGGTGGGGAAATCCGAAAAAAAAGCGTTGGGAAATCCAAAAACGTTGGCATGTACTCTGTACTTTGTGAAATGAGAATTCCGAGAACTTTCAAAATCTTTAAGCTGTTTCAAAAAATTTGAGATGAGACAGATTTTTGAAATTTTAAAATAATCAACCGGAAATTCGAGTTTTCGGAAGAACGGTAGGTGTCTCTATCGAGAAAAACGGACAACGATCTAGTTTTGTTTAAGCAAATCTCTGTCTTTGAAATATTTTCGGTACGTGTCTTTATCGAGCAAAAACGGACAACGATCTAGTTTTGTTTAAGCAAACCTCTGTCTTTGAAATGTTTTCAAAGTTACGAGTTGAGTAAGATTTTGATACGCTAAAAATCGTGTTAATTAATTGATTACGATTTTTTTGAATATGATAGACTATGGCATTTTCAGGCGTTCGATTGCCGAGCAAAAAGTCTACACATGTGCGGTGAAGAATTGCCCTGTGCAAGGGGGTGAGTTGAAGATGATAGGCTATTAAATGTTAAAGTGTAAGCTATAGCCATCGAAAAAAAAAGCTCGACCCATTGCCTCCCAAATGATTTAAAACAAAACATCATTTTAGGAAAAATGAGCGTTTCAGAAAAACTTTTTGGCGTATAATCTAGCCAATATGCTCTAGTTTTCGAATAAACAAATGAAAACAAACAATTTTGCTGTTGTTTTTGGTGGTCAACTCTTTTTCGCATGTCGGCGCACTTCCGTTTTCAATTTGTTGGCGTTTGCAAAGTCGAGAAACGGTTTTTCACAAAACGGAGAACATTTCACAGACTGTTGCCACTTTGGCCCCTTGTTGACGAGCTCGCACAATATTCTCCTTTGTCAAAGTATCCAGATATCATTTGCACGCCATCTAAAATAATAAATAAATTTAAAAGAATCAGAATCATGTATCCAAAACAAATTTTGGACTTTTCCGTCATAAATTCGCAAAAATACCCCCTGATCATTTAATAATCAAAAATCGATCAATTTAATCAAAATCAAAATAAGATCGATGAGGAATCCATGGGGTAGCAATTTGTTGCAATTCTGATTAAGCGATAGCTTCATAACGTGATGGTTGGCGCATGTGCGAGTAGTAAGCAAGATGCGGCCCGTTTTGAAAGAACGAGATTGCATCGGTAGTCGGTAGTCGGTAAGCGAAACAGGAATCCACCGCGCAATCAGGAAATAGCAAATGAATGAATTTTTTGTGGTTTTCCTTGTTTATTTTCATGGAAAGATGTAAATTTTGCAGATGTATAACAGAAAAGAACCACAAAGTTTTCACAACAATATACGAATAGGAAGACTTTTTTGATATTTCGGCTCAAAAATGATATCTTCAGTAAAAAAGGGCTAAAATGAATCGCGCACAATAGAAACAACGGCTCTTTCTCTGAATCGTGGTCTTTTAAAAGTCTCGTGATCTTTTGCAATTTTTTGTTTTTATTTTACCAAAAAGTCTTTTGAAATTGTTTTAACGTATTTTATCAAGTTCCACATGTACATTTTATCAGAATTTAAAGGAAAAGCGTAAGAACAACTATTTTAGCATCCCAGCAAAGCGCAAGGTTTGGCACGCCTTGCGTTTCCTCAGACACGCAAATGCTTGTAAAGCTGGCCTTCACATACACCCATAGACAGACATCCTTGCCAACTTGACGATAATATCCTGTTGAGGCCACGAGGAATTCTGTGTGATATCGCCCAACGTCGGCACCCTGAAGTGGCCACGGCATAAACAAGAGGCTCGGCAAGACGAAATCCATAACATCCACTCAAAAAGAGAAAGAAGGCTGTATGTGAAGGCCAGCTTTACAAGCATTTGCGTCTGAGGAAACGCAAGGCGTGCCAAACCTTGCGCTTTGCTGAGATGCTAAAATTGTTGTTCTTTAAATTCTGATTTGCCGAAACAATTGCTTAATTCAAAAACTAGAGCATATTGGCTAGATTATTCGCTAAAGAATTTTTGTTTTAAATCATTTGGGAGGCAATGAGTCAAGAATTTTTTGTGTAAGATTTAGTTTGATAAACTCAAATTTAACTAAGTAAGTATTAAAGCATTTAAGCAAATAGTAAATTCAAGACTCAATCTTTTTGCAGGTATTAATAAAGCCTCTAAACGAAGCACGATTTGTCGCTATTGTCGCTTTGAGAAATGTCTCAACGCTGGGATGTCACCGCAAGGTTTTTTTTGTTTATTTGTTTAGCAAAGTTAAATCTACGGTAAGCTTAGCTTCTTTATACAGACTTTAATACAGAGTATTTATCAAATCCTTTAACTCAAAAAAGTATTCAGTATAGAGTAAATATAAACTTTATATCAATTTTCAAATTTTGACGAATATTTGGAATCTTTTTCTACTAGAAATCTGCCGTTTAAGCGCTTCTTTTCCCTTTAGACAAAATTAGACAAAGAATTTATGTGCACATTGTATGCTGTTTTGTGCTTTTACTGTGCTTTTGTGCATTTCTAAACATTCAGAAGTGCAAGTGAAACGACTACGACAACTCGAGGAGACCTCGCCGGTTGATTCGCATTCCGTAAGTGAAACGCAAGCGATAGTCTTTGTTTTTGATTTGTAATATTAGCAAGAGTGTGCACTGGTTTAAAATAACACAAAATGTGTACCAAATCAAATTTCAGTTCTTCTCAACACCCCTTTCAAGCAGCACACCGACCCTTGAACACATTGTGCAAATTCGACGCGATCTCGCCGATCAACGACAACTCTTTCAGCTACAAAACGAGGTTTTTCTTCATTTGTATAGTTAGATATCGTATTTATTCTAGAAGCGCAGCCTCTAATAGAAGCAATAACTACCGTAATACCGAGCAGCGCTATAATGTAATAGCAGCGCTCCCCCCCGTACAATCGTGTAGTCTAACACACAATTTTGTGACGCTCGGTTCTCCGCGCTGCTTTGGCAAAAAAAATGTGCGTTTAAATATCAAAAGATAGCGCTTGAAGCGAAGAATCTTCTGGTACTAACATTTTATTTAAGAAAAAGCTAGGCGCGTTCAAAAAACGATTTACTTTAGCGATTACGCGACTGTACGTTATTATGGGGGCTTTATTACAGTATTACGATATGAATATTCAGCTTAATAGACCGAATATCTTGAGTTTCAAGCCTATTAAAAGTTAGCATCTAATAGAAACAATTTTGTGAAATAATTGAAAGATAAAAACGCTTCTATAAAAATAAATACGGCTATTTTTATTATTTCATTGAGTTTAAAGCTAGTGCAATTCTATGTAAATCAACTTTTTTCTACTTTACTTCTAAATCTAGATCTTTAAAGCAAAAACGTTGAATACATTTCATTGGGTCTTTTTTTTTTATAAATATTAGATTTAGATCGGTAGAAAGTAAGCTAAAAAAGAAATGCAAAACTCCTTTAGAACCAATGCGAGGGTGCGGAAGCGCTTCTCGAATGTCTGCGCGTCGAGTGGGAAACTTTTCGAGAGCTCGTTCTCAATCAAGGCATTTTTCGACAATTCGTTGGTAGAAATTTTCTCATGATTTGCTTTAAAACTCGTTGAAAAACGATCTATTTTCGATTTAAACTAAATTTGCTAGATCCACGACGATATTTTCACATAAAAATGGAGCTCGACTCGTCGCCCGAGTTTGCTGAGGTGAATTCTATCAAGAATTTTGGTATAAACGGGGGTGGGACAAATGCGACCTTTTTTTTGCTCACCTGGACATTTGCGCACCTTTTTTTTGCTGGAAAAGGCTTTAGGAAAGGTCGTAGAGCTTCAAAAACGTTTTCATAGAAGGGAATCGTATGCGTAGATTCAGAATTTCGACAAATCAGACCTCGCTGACACGTCACATTTGGGCTAAAAGGCAAAAACTACGCAACTTAACGCTTTTCCGCGGTTTTTGCCTTTTAGCCCAAATTTGACGTGTCAGCGAGGTCTGATTTGTCGAAATTCGGAATCTACGCATACGATTCCCTTACATGGAAATATTTTCGAAGCTCTACGGCCTTGCCTAAGGCCTTTTCCAGCAAAAAAAAAGGTGCGCAAATGTCCAGGTGCGCAAAAAAAGGTCGCATTTGTCCCACCCCCGTATAAACTGTTTGTAGAAAGTGTAAACGAAGAGTTTTGTCGGGTTAAAGTAAAAAAATATTCAACTAGCAAGACTGAATATCTTTTAAACGTCAGTTGAACTTAAAAGCGGTTATTGAGCATTTTCAAGGCTGACTTTCACTCCGACTCACTGTAATTTTACTCCGACTATTTCAGTTTAATATAAAATCCAATATTATATTATAAATAAATGATATTATATTATTATATAACATTTAAAATAAATTATATAACATTATAAGATTAAAACAAATTTAATAAATTATTACAAATCAGGATATTACGCTGAGTCGTGGCATCTTTTTGGCTTCCGAAGTGATGGATTGGGCGCTGTTGACGGCGAAACAAGGCGGTGTACAGAAAGATTCGTGCTTTTTCCCGGTAATTCCCATTTAAAACTTTAAAATCAAGAACAAATCAAGAACAAATCAAGAACAAATTAATAAATTTATGAAAGAAATGCCATACCTAAATATATTTATTGAACAATTTCAACTACAGGATGGCTCAAGCACGGAGATCTCAGCGGCCGGTTTGACGAGTTTCTTCGCCAAAGACTCTGAAATTAAAGATCCACAATGCATGGCTAGGTTCGTTTTAAACTTGAAATTTTATAATCTAAAATAAGCTAAGATCATTTCTAAGTGTACTTTGCGTTAAAAATAAAAACACGATCAAAAATCGAAACCGCTTTTCACACTTGATTTTAACTTTTCTCGAAGCAGTCAAAGGCGGGAGAAACAGATTTTGGTGTACTAGAAAAGGTGTGTTTCCATTTTAGAATAAAAAGTTTTACAAAACACAATCAATTCTTCATTTCTAGATTATGCCAGCCGATGTTCGCGCAACTCGTTCGCACATGTGCCCGATCATTGCAAGCCGCGCATATCGACGAGTTGGAGACCGCTTTCCTCTATGGAACGCTCTTAATACAAATTTGTGAGTCTTATTTTAACAATAAAATCATGGTTGAAGGCTTGAAGTAAATTAAGAAAGAGTTAAAACAAACCTCATTGCTTATAAGCTTATAAGCCGTCGATTGATAAAGCCGATTAGTTGACCGGAAAGTCTTCTGCGCTTTTTTTAAAGGTTACTTTTTAAAATAAATAATGAACTAACCAATCTCTGGTTTCTTTTATCACAAAGTTTTATTATTTTTTTACAAATTGCTCTTTAAGAAATTCTGAAAAGTTTGCGTTAGTTCATTTTTTTTATAAAGGTTTAAAATTAAAATCGAGTAGCTCAAAAACGATGAAACATAAAGTTCTTTTTGAGCATTTTTTCTTACAAAAACCTATTTTGGTTTTAAAAGAGATAGAGAATAAAAAGTTAAGCAGATAAACAAATTTTTAAAGAAATTGATTCAACCGATTTCATTCTATGTTCATTGTAAGGATTTTCAGAAAAACAAGAATTCCTCGAATTTGCTTCAAAGCTTCAAGTTTGCCTGAAAAATGAACTAAATGAAATGGTTAATCTTTTGATTTAAAGCAAGCTACACGTTTATCAGCTAATTATTCATTTATAAACGCAAATTTTTAAAAAACGGACAAAACAAAACAATAGCTTGATCCCACCTCTCCGCCAAGCACCCTAAAATCATGTATACCGTATTTTCTCTAATAGTAGTGCCCCTCGGCGAGCCGAGTTGGTGACTATTTGACGGTTTCCAAGTTTTCACAGAAACTCAACACTCGAATCCCCCACTAGATCTCATCGTCAGCTACATTTTCCGACCCCACATCGATCGGTTCTGATAAGCGGTTCTCGAGATTTCGAGCAATTTAGGTGACGCTCAGGGTGCGCTACTATTAGAGAGAATACGGTATTCTGTATTCTCTCTAATAGTATTGCCCTCTCTCCCTCGGCCCGGCCGAGCCGAGTTAATGACTATTTTACAGTTCCCAAGTTTTCACAGAAGCTCAACACTCGAATCCCCCACTAGATCTCATCGTCAGCTACATTTTTCGACCCCACATCGATCGGTTCTGTTAAGCGCTTTTCGAGATTTCGAGCAATTTAGGCGACGCTCAGGGTGCACTACTATTAGAGAAAATACAATATATCAAATTTTAATAATTGTAAGCACCAACAACTTCTAGCCGGCATTCTATCGACACCCACCCAACATCCACTTCAAAATGCGCTCTTCGAGGAGCTCCGATCACACTACGAGAGCTCAGGCAGTGAATTGTCGGTGAAAGTGAGTTGGAGGAAAAAAGAAATTCGATTCGATTCATTGAGTCCATATTTAATATTGAAAATGGCTCTAATCTTACTGATTTTACTTATGATGACTTAAAGGAAACCGTTAAAATAAACACAACTCTCAGGCGGCACCTTTAGAACTTACAGATTCTTTCGAAAGAAGCTTGCCTATTTTGGTTGTATCAGAACATTTGCACTTGTTCAGTGTTTGTACCGGAATTAGGTAGTGTAAAAATTGGCTTAAGAATGTATGCGAATTAGATTGCGAATGCCTAAGATTCCTCCGACTTAACGAATAACCCTTTCCAGATGGGCAACATCATCCTCCTCAACTCTCCTCTCATCCAAACGGCGCTCGAGTTTCGCGAGTTCATCTCCGTGCTCGAAATCGAAAAACGCATCGATTTGGGTCTTTCATTTTAAAAATCTCAATTTACAGCTAGGTTTTGAAATTTTCGTCTTTCTTTTGAACTTTCATTCTTCCCCTTCGAATTTTCCCATTTTCCCATCCCATTTCCCCTTCGAATTTTCTCCTGTCAACCGTTTTCTGTTTTCCGTTTTTCCTGATTGTTTTTTTCTTCTCTGAAAATTGTTAGGTGAAAAATAAAGTCCCTTTAATTCTTCCCACAATTATTATTAGCTGAAGGGTTTAAAATTTCAAATATTTACACCTGTTCAGTTTTTTTTTTTTGCAGGATTTCAGAGATTTTTGATTTCGAAGCAATATTTTTGCGTTATGTGAAAGAAATTGCTGAAAACACTTGGGAATTGACATTTTCTTCATGGAAATGGCAAGTAGCCTAACTGAAAATGAAAATAAGATGAAAATTCGATTTCAAACATTGTACTTGTTTATGTACAAAGCTGTAGCAAGAGTTGGTAAGGTTTAAAGCATAAAACTGAGAGATTTTCGGAAGCGGTAACTTTCTATTCAAACAAGGATTTTAAAAAAAAACTGTTACAAGGAAAAGCTATGCAGAAAGAAGTCTTGAAAACTTTTGTTAAGCTGCAGTCACCTGCTGCTTTTTATTCTAAAATGGAAACATACCTTTTCTAGTACACCAAATTGACTGCAGCTCGTTTTTTACGAGCCTGAGCCTTAGCTACGATTTTTGCCTATGTTTGGGTTCAAAATTGGCCCATTTTGCCTGGAAAGCAACGGAAATTCCCAGTAAAAGAAGGTAATTGTAGTTCTTTTTTCGAGTGATGCGATCGAGTAATTACAAACCACTGGAACTTCCTCTAGCATTAATATTTTTCTGTGTGCTTTAGCTCATTCGAAAGCTCTTGAGATTCTCTATTTTTAAGCTATAGATCGGATCAATGCGGTAGATTTGAAGCAAGTTAGAAACGTTTTTAGTGCCGATGTCTAATCCTTACCTTACAAAACCTTCAACGTTTTTGACAAGATTTTAGTGCTCTTAAAAAAATTCAATTCAATTCAAATTCCTATTGATTAAACGATTTCAATAAAGATTCTAATGATTCTAATGATAATGATTCTCTTTATCGTTTCGCTTCTTTTCAATGCTTAATACGTTTTGAAATCTGAATGAATTTGAATTCAAAAAATGAGAAAATCTTTCATTTCTGACATTTCTGACAATCGTGTTTATGGGATTGGTCATAGAAATTGAACAATTTCAAAAGTTTTTACTTTCAAAATTAGCATCCAGATGACCAAATTGAAGAATTTTGTAAAAGCTCATGGCTTCAGCAGCAGCTCATGGCTTCAGCAGCAAAGATTGGTCGAATCGAAATGCCACTAGTTGAATTTCTTGCTGAATTTGAGAATAAGTGTTTACCGTTGCATTAGTTGGATCTTGGATCCTTCTAACCATAAGCCAAATCTTTTTCCAGATCTTTCTATTCAATCCAACAACTCCTCATCAGCATTCAAACAATTTTCATCAACTTTACAGACTTTACAGTCCCCATTCTCCATCTCAATTTTTTTTCCACCCACAACTCCAAAACTTCATTAATATTTTATGAGTGCTGTACTTTCTTTTACCATAAAAAAAGGAGGAGTTTCGAAGAAATCAAATAATAATTTTGGCAAAAGAAACATTCTCAGCTCATTAGCAAATTGAAAATCGAGAATTTCTGATTGAAAAATCCCACAAGGAAACAATTTCTATTCACAAAAAAGAAGAAATCGACTCATTTGAGTGAATTTTTCAACTTTGTGCTTTAGCCAAAAAAACGTGGGACTTTCTCCGAATTTCTCCGAATTTCTTTTGCTTTATAAATTATTCATTGATAAATCTGTTCATGAAAAGATCAATATTCCGATATTTGTTTTGTATCCGAAACGAATTGCCGACAAAAGTCAGCGAAGAGGTGAGAAAACACTTGTTCTTATTGGGAAAACAAATCGGTTCTCAAAAAAATTCATTAAACGCATGTAATGACAGCACCTCACTATCAGTGAATTGGAGGTAGACACAAGAAAGAATACATTTCACTTGACTGTTACGCTTTCTAAAAGAAAAAGCTTTCAAAACTCCCGTAATCTTGTCTCTGACTTTAATCCAATCGATCCAATCCAATCGATCCAATCCAATCTATCCAATTCAACCTATCCAATTCAATCTATCCAATCCAATCTATCCAACCTTTTTTTATCTTTCAATATCCTTTGTGAACTTTTGAGAATCAGACCAAAAGAAACTGCGAGGCAAGATTGCACTCCAGATCTGCAAGCGATTGGGGACAATTTGAGACAACTTTGTCAAGCTTTTACTCTGATATTTATGAGATAACTGCTTAAATCATTAGCTTTTTGCTTAAGATTTGCTAGTGGCCAATGAGTAGGTACAGCTATGTTCTAAGAATTGGATAGAACATAAATGGAACCAGAGTCAGATTCTGTTCATGGCCTATTCAATAGAACTATTAGATACTTGCAAAAGAAACTGCGAGTCGTAAAAGCCATCGTACAATGACTGTAAGTAAAGATGTTTCGGGTTGATTAGGATTTTTAGAAGCCCCAATATCTTCCCTTTTTAACAATATAAAAAGAATTCTGTGGTGATCGTTTCTGGGCGGAATATTGACGACAAAAATACCAAAAAACGATTTGGCGGCGGTTTAAACTTATAACAAAGGGTTATTTTTGACAAAACCTTGGTCTAAATTATCAAATCAGAAGCCCAAACTTCGAAAAACTATTTACAGAAAACAAAAACAAATTTGGTGGACTAAATTTTCTTTTGCAACTATCTAATAGATTGGATAAAAACTAGACAAGATTATGTAGTAGTTTTGAAAGTCGACACGCTTTAGGAATCGCTACATTCCTATACTTGAACTTGAACTTGAACTCTTTCTCTTCTGTATTTTCTATAGCAATCAATAATCTGGTCTAGTAAAAGGCTTTAAAAAATCTCTGACTTGAAGGGAAATATCTTTATTTTACTTCAGAAAGCCCATCCACCACCATCGCTCACTGTCAAGCACGATCACCTCTATTGCTCAATGGCTCTTCGGCAACCAAAGCAACAAAGAGAATCGAAAAAATCACTCAGCAAGCAGATCGATAATATCTATGTCGTGAATGAGTATCAAAAAAAACCGATCAACGCCATTTCCACAAAAGTCCCGCTCAAACTTGATGCCAGCACACAAACGGAATCGCTAAACCCTTGTACCTGTAACATTGCCTTAATATAGCTTTAAATCTTTTGCTCAGATTATTTTATGAAATAAAAGTGCAGCTTTGAATGCATTTTGGGTCAGTGTTTTAGAATTTATTTCGAAGTTGAAAACGCATTTTTTTCACCAAGTTATCATAGCAAATTCGGAAATCACAACTAATTCACTAATAAAAAAGAACATAACATAAGAAGCACAATTACGAAGAAGCAATGACGATGTATATAATTTATAAAGAAGAGACAACCATAAAATCGAGTGCTGCTATTCCTCCTAGACAAGATTATAGTAGTTTTGAAAGTCGACACACTTTAGGAATCGCTACATTCCTATACTTGAACTCTTTCTCTTCTTTATTTTCTATAGCAATCAATAATCTAGTCTAGTAAAAGGCTTAAACATCTCTGACTTGAAGGGAAAGATGCAGCAGCAGTCACTTCCCGGGGAACAGCTTTTAGAAGTACCCGCAAAGAAACAGCAAAACAACGATGAAAAAGAAAGTATTGAAATTGAAAGATATCTTGTGTCTTTGATTGTGATTTATTTAGTTGAATTTGGGGCTCGATTACGAAACTTGTTGCCAAAGCCTTTTCGTCAAGATCGACTCGACAAAGCTGCAAAGCGTGCAAAAACAAAAGATGAACGCTCTGGATATGTATGTTGTTGACAATTTATTGAGTAAGCTTTTCATGTAGAACGATCATTTGTTGAAACATGGAGACGACGTAGCCCCGACATCAAAGAGGTGAATATCGAATTGTTTGTGTGGGAAATAAATATATTTTAGGGAGAAATTTAGGGGAGTAGTCAAAACAGCGCCATAATAGAAAACGTTCAAAACAGCGCCGTCAAATTTCTCAAAATCCAAAAAACCAAGCCGGTTCAAGTTTTATACCAAAAAATTCCTTGCGTTCTTGGCTACATGATGGGTGAAACAGTTTTTTAAAAAAAGTTAATATTTCATAGATAAAAAGAGCACTCAAAATGGGTCTCTAAAGATATTCAGTTAACCAACTGAGTATCACTCGACACACATTTTGAGTGCTCTTTTTATCTATGAAATATTAACTTTTTTTTAAAACTGTTTCACCGTTTCACAAGTTCGATCCGTTGTCGCATGCTGTGACACAAAAAGAAGGTGCATTTATAGCTTGTTTCCTGTAAAAAGTCCTTCCTTTAGTTACTTATATCCGCACCAACATAGGAGTTGTGCATGGGAAGAAAGGAAGAAAAAGAGGCGAAGCAGAACGTTTGTTAGGGAGTTTTGTATTCAAATACTTTAATTTTTAATTTTTAGAAGAAGAAATGAGATGTTGACCGGCGCTTCTTTATTCGATTTGTGAAGAAGAAAGAGCTTCTACTTTTGTTCTACTTTTGTTCTACTTTTGTGCTACTTTTGTGCATTAATTTCTTACTTATTACATTATTTTATGCGTATGCCTTTCCTTTTTGTTATTTCTGATCATTTTGTTATGAACGCGAAAGTATTGGACTTGTACGATTTTGTCAAAAGAATAAAACTTTAAGAAGTCAGTTTCCCTTAGTGTTTTTAGAGGGAATACCCAAGAAATTCTTTATCGTTTTCCTAAAATTTCAAGAAAAACACCATAATCATAATATAAATCACACAGCAAAAAAAACCCGTAATCTCAGAAAATATTACCAGTTAAAAATTGGGAATAAGGCAAAATTTTCAAGGAGAAACTTGGAGGACTAGAGAGGCAAAATGACTAGTAATGACTGTATTATGGCAAAAATGAGACGATGAAAGAGATTTTAAGCGTAAAATATAATGCTAAAATCGTAAAAGATAAATTTTTTATGATAAAGTTTGGTTTGAGGTAAGAAAAGTCGAAAATTGTAAAGCTTCGAACTCTGGAAAGCTTGATCAAGCTTTACTGGAGCTTATTGCTAGCCTAAAGATACTTTAAACAGCCTACTGCAGCTTATTGCTAGCCTAAAGATACTTTAGACAGCTTACTGCAGCTTATTGCTAGCCTAAAGGTACTTTAAACAGCTTACTGCAGCTTATTGCTAGCATAAAGATACTTTAAACAGCTTACTGCAGCTTGTTGCTAGCCTAAAGATACTTTAAACAGCTTACTGCAGCTTGTTGCTAGCCTAAAGATACTTTAAACAGCTTACTGCAGCTTATTGCTAGCTTAAAGATACTTTAAACAAGTCTTTCTAGAGTATGCTAAACTAAAAACGAATCAGAAAACATCTTTTGAAAGTTTAAAGTGTTATTCAGTCTACAGTATGCCGCTTTGCATCGTCATACTGTAGACTTGAATGGCTAAATACGTCATACTGTAGGTTACTACTGATTTAATTTGATATGAAGAACACATTAAAAAAACAATAGATCCCGTTTCTTCTATTGTTTACCGTAATTTCATTCTTTTCCCTGTGGTCCTCCCTTGTAGAAACCCTTGAAATGATCAGGTGGATCGGTGGCCATTCCATACATAAACCTCAACTCGTTGAAGATACGTTTTGCGGCAGTCGTCGTTTTGTAAGCACCTGAAAAAGTTGATATAGACATTTTAGGACTTAGCACAGACGGATTACTGTAGAAATCTTGCGTTACAGTAACCCACAAACTAGCCTGTATACTACTGTAGCGCAGACGGATGCTATAGAAATCTTGCGTTACAGTAACCCACAAACTAGCCTGCACGCTACTGTAGCACAGAAGGATTACTGTAGAAAACTTGCGCTACAGTAACCTTTGTTACCCTTATATAAACAGTAATTTCAAACAATGTGATCGATGTAATGTTTTCTTCAGATTTTGTTCTTGAAACAGATAAATCCAATTGTAAAATTGGATCTATCTGTTAGTGTTATTAACTTCTTAGTTAAGACTTCTTGACTTGAGATCTAACAGAATGATGCCAACGTTTCCTTACCAAAAATATGCGTCCTCGCAAGCATATCCATTTCTGTCGTTTTATCATTCCATTGGAAACTGAAATCCCCTTGTGAAAGAGATTTTTCGAAAAACAAAAAAAACAAACTTGCTCGCGTAAGTCGTAAAATCGTGGTGTGCACCGATTTCTTTCGCAAGCGTTCCTGTCACCCAAGCATCGTCAACCTATCGTTTACCTTTGATTTAAAGCTTCTTTTCACTGTTTTGTTTGTTGTTTTGTTTTTGTTTTTGTTTTCACGCTCACCGACACATAGTGCTCATGTTGTTCAGCTTGTTTCACCAAGTCGGTTGTCATGTCGGCTGACTAAATTTTGAATTCAAGTTGAGATCTTAATCCATTTCTCATCGGATAGATTCTACTGTAGATTTTTAAGCTCTTGTAATTCAGCTTTAGATTACTGACTGTAGTAATTCTTTTTACTGTATTGAAACGGAATTTAGAGGAATTTATGGCAAACCTGGAAAAACGCTGGCCCACTACAGTAGCTCTCCCAATTGTCTTCTGGGTGAGCCTCTTTAGCGACATACCTGAAAATTACGGGTACTTTTAGTGAGACAAGTACGGTAATGTACTGATTTTACTATTAGTACGATAGTATTGTGCTAAACTTTATTCAGTACTTTTCTCCATTCACCCCTTTTCTATTATGCTTTTGTTTTTCGTCGTGTCAGCAGTGGAAACGATGAATTACCGTACATTGTTTTTCAACTATATTGAAACTATTGTTATACGATAATCTGATCTCAATATTGGCAAATTTGATGCTTATCGGTTTATTTTCAAAGATTTTCGTATAGCTAACTACTCATCCGTCAGGTCTAAACATAGATTGAAACTTTTCTCACTTGAAACCTTAGAACAACGCCGTCTTATCATAGATTTGGTTGAGTGCTTTAAAATTGTAAAAGGAAAACATCAAAACCCTCTTTTTAAAAATCTTTTTCGACTAAACTCGAGGCTTTGGCTTTGGCTTTGGCTTTGGCTTTCGCTTTCGCTTTGGCTTTGGCTTTGGCTTTCGCTTTGGCTTTCGCTTTCGCTTTGGCTTTGGCTTTGGCTTTCGCTTTCGCTTTGGCTTTGGCTTTCGCTTTGGCTTTCGCTTTGGCTTTGGCTTTGGCGACTAGGCGTGGCTCTTTTATCTTGCATCCCGAATCTGCTTTCTCTAAATCTTCTAGAGCTTTTTTCGTAAATCGTGTGACTAAAGTTTGAAATGCCCTTCCCGACAAGTTGCGTTTGATCTCCACCGTGTCTGATTTTAAAAGGGCTATTTCGTTGCATTTTAAGTGACTTTGTCATCTTTTATCTAGTACATTTTTCATGTCCTTTTCGCACTTTATTTCTTTCTGAATAAAGTATTTATATATAGTGGAATGGAAAATTCTCTTTTATATTGTAGCATACTGTTTTGCTCTTTAAAAAAAGACTTTTTCTCACCATGGACTCCCGATATCTCTGAAAACCGGTCCCGCAAAGTTCACTCCAGTAAACGTTCGATTCGTGTGAATTTTTCCCAATTTTAGATCCATAAAAATCCAAAAGATATTTGGTAGAATGTCATCTAAATTATAAGACATATTTTTCTTTTTCTCTCAAGAATCAAACCATCCATTTTCACGATAAGTTTCACTTCTTTGCAATGATCTCGCACAAACCGCATCCACATCAAGTACTAAAAAGTTTTTTTTTTTGGGGTTAAAAGATTGAAAAATTTTTATTATGAAATATCTAAACATTTGGATGATCAATATAACATTTTACTATTTAAATCGTTATACTTCAATGCCTAGTTCGATTTTAATTGTATGCACCGACAAAGTACTGTAGACTAGACCTGAGCCCGTATGCTACGCTCCGGGAAAAGTTCCTACGGGGTCTGATCTTTACGGCGGCACCTTTGATTTTTCCGGTAAAACGCCCATAGTTTTCCCCCGGAACAAACCTTTTTTCCAGAAAGTTTTCGGTAAAACTTTCCGAGGAAAAGTTCACTCCACGGGAGAACTATCTAGTGATTCTAGACTGAATATCCTGTTCTAGGTTGAATACCGTAATCCAGACAGTCAAGACTGAATACTCTAGTCTAGACTGAATACACTAATCTAGACTGAATACCTAGCTATTCTAGACTGAATATCCTGTTCTAGGTTGAATACCGTAATCCAGACAGTCAAGACTGAATACTCTAATCTAGACTGAATACCCTGATCTAGACTAAATACCGTAATCTAGCGATTCGAATCAGAAATCAGCGTAATCAGAAACGCCGCGGGAACTTTTCCCGGAGAGTAGCATACGGGTTCTGGTTTTCGAATCGGTTCAGTCCAGTTCGATTCGAAGAATGAACTAAGTATGAACTAGAGAGTAACTAAATAGCAATTATAAAGGAACTAAATAGGAACTAAGTAGGAACTATACAGTAACCAACTAGGAACTATGAAGGAACTAAATAGGAACTATAAAGTAACCAAAGAGGAACTATATAGGAACTATATAGGAACTAAATAGGAACTAAATAGGAACTAAATAGGAACTAAATAGGAACTATATAGTAACCAAATAGGAACTAAATTCGAAGAATTCGAAATAGGAATTCGAAGAATTTTCACTTTCGGTCGAGACCGAACCGATTTGATTCAAAGTTTTTACGTTTTCAGTCTAGACGGAACCGATTCGATTCGAAAAAAAGTCAGACCGAAAACTGTAGAACAAGTTTACTGTAGACCCCAATTTTACAGTATCGCTTGATAAAAATAAACAAAAAACATAAACGAATTGATTCTGAAGAAATTAGTATTCACGATTTAACAATAAACATTCCAGACATTAAACATTTTGATTTCATCATACTGTAGTGAGTTATCGTACTCTTGTAGTGAGGCTAGATATTAACTATGAGATTTTATAGTGCTTTTAAGGATATCAACTTAAAATCTATACAATTTCTTTGTTAGATTCCAACCTTTATCGTCATATTTCGATAAGCGTCCATGAAATCAGCTTGAATGATATCCCGATATTCAGCCGCTTCTTCTCGGATCCTTTCCTCTTCAATCGCCTCTTTGTGATGACCAACCGCGAAAAGAGTACGATAGCCGTACTGAAATTTGTCTTTTTATACATTTAACGGTGAAAATCTTACCGCTTCATACCAAAATTTGTTGGCGTACGTGGCGCGAATGGCGTCACGGCGTAAACGATTGTGAATCGCGGTATGCACGACGAAAAGCGTCTAGATTTACATAAGTAAATTCAATATGAAACTAACAAAAACAAATCAGAAATTTAGTAACTTTTTTCTAACTCACTTGTACGCCAGTCGGGCAAATTTGACTCGAAAAGATCGTCCACGGGAAGGGTTTAAAGAACTGAAAATGGTAAAACTTATGGATGATTTGACTGACTTTTAATTTCTAAAGTCTGCTGTTGATTTCTTGATGCAGCTAAAGAGATGCTAAAAAGTGTTCCAGCAAACCCTGGGAACTTCAAAGGACTTGTGGGGGAGTTTAAGACGCACCGAGCCCTTATCTTCTTGGATCTTGAGCTCAAGATGCCTATAAAGCTTGATACGAGAAAAGAAATTTCTATGTGGTTAAGCCCTTACTATTAAACCAGAATAAGATACAAAATAAGATAAAGAAAGCACAAAAAGTGCGTTTTTGTGAACACTCACTAGTTCGCCGTTTGTTCGCGAATCAGAAGAACGACCCAATTTCACTTACTTCTAACATAATGATCTTGATCTTGAAGCTCTAGTGGATCCTTGACGTGATCTGTGCTACCCATATATTACATATATTATATTGTGTTGCTTTTTATCGGCCCTTTTTCGTGTTATGTGTATGAATTCATGTGTTTTAATCTTAAATCTAGCGCACTTTATCTCAGGTCCTGAATAAAGTATCTATATATCTATATGTCGTAGCCGTTTACGAAATTCAGCCGCTAACGAATGAAATTTTTCGCTAGCCGCTAACGAATCGTTCGTAAATTGATGTTTTGTTTGTTATAAACGTTATTATGTTATACATCTTAAATATTGTAAATTTTATTTAACTTATTTTGATTAGTTTGCTGATTTGCGTTTTGCATAAATAGTTTGAAATCAAAAACTCATTCGAGTCGAGCCATGTTCGCAGAAGCCGATTACAAATTGTACACGGCTAGCGAAAAAATTTCATTCGTAATCGGCTAGCCGTTAACGAATCATTCGTTAACGGCTGAATTTCGTAAACGGCTATGACATATATATTGGGTTGTCCAGTTATGAATGCGCGTTTTTACTATTTTGTAAATTTCTCAAGATATCGAACAGATGTATATGAGTGTTATATATCATTCGAAAGCTGAAGATCTCCTCTACATTTTGGAATAAAAAAGTTTTTGAATTCATTCAACTTTTTGGGAAATTGACTGCACAAAGGGAGAGGTCGTTTTCGAAAAAACCCATTCCAGCTTGGCTATTCCTCAAGTTTTATGGTGTAAAATAACCACCCAGAAAAGAAAAGAAAAGTAAAGATGCTCTGAAATTGTTATATTTTTAAAAAAGTTGTATTGATATATCTATTGGCCAAACATCAAACGGTTAACTCGATTTGAGCGGAGCCAAAACTTGATCCAAAGGCACCCTTCCATTTTTTGGCCACCTCTTCTTATGTGCAGTCAATTTTCCCAAAAGCTGGACAAATTCAAAAACTTTTTATATCAAAATGTAGAGGAGATCTTCAGCTTTCGAATAATACTCATATATATCTTTTTCTTGATTTCGGTATCTTGAGAAATTTACAAAATAGAAAAAAAGGCGCATTCATAACTGGACAACCCAATATATATATGTTGTGTCCGATTTAGATTTCCGTCCGATTTAGATTCAATCTAAATCGGACGTCCGATTTAGATTGAACTTATCGCGGACGTCCGATTTAGATTACAGTCTATATCGGACGACTCCAAATCGGACGTCTATACAGATCGAACAATAATATAAACGTGCTTAACATATTTTCTTTGAAGTTTTCTTTTCAGAAAAGACGTAACAGACCTTTGAAAAATGCAGAAAACTACAGAAAACGCTTAAGAACATATACTAAACATGTTTATATTATTGTTCAATCTATAAGACGTCCGATTTAGATTGAGTCTAAATCGGACGCCCAATATAGACCGTAATCTAAATCGGACGTCCGCGATAAGTTCAATCTAAGTCGGACGTCCGATTTAGATTGAATCTAAATCGGACGGAAATCTAAATCGGACACAACATATATATAATCAGTCATAAAAATCAAGGAAACCTCGAAAAACCTACCGGATGAGCTTTTGGATTGACAGAAGAAATATCAATAAGCGGTGGTTGTTCCAATTTCGGCAGAGCTTTCTTCGTGGTGGTGCTCGTTTGGGTAGATGTTGATGTAGTCGACGTTGTTGTTGTGCTCGTTGTTTCGTTTTCTTCGATTTCAACTACGACTTGCTAAATTGAATAACTCAATCAATTGATGAGTCTTTCTACCTCTTGTTCTTTCTTTTTCAACGCGTCAACTTGTTGGAGTTCGGCTGCTGCACGGACTGGAGTTTTATCTGAAATTGAGCAATGTTAAGTGAATTGTTTCAAAAGTTTACTGAATTGAATTTTTATAGGATTCAGTAAATTTAGAGAAACTTGGTTTCAGAAAAGGTTTTTTGCAAATTTTTCTGAACTCTAAAATTTCAAGACGAACCTAATTCCACCTTTTCTCAGCCGTTTCTTCGCCAATTATTCTGAAATTTTGTTTACAAATAGAAATTGATATTCTCTGCTTGTAGACGAAATTTCAGAGCAATCGGTGAAGAGACGGCTGAGAAAACGAAGGTGAAAATAGGTTCGGCTTGGAATTTTTCCATCTCTATCAGTATGGATTTGTTCTGTTAACTGAAATCCTTCAAACATTGTCTGTATCAATTTAAAGCTTATTCAGCAGAATTATTGTGTAAAATTAAATCAAGCATTCATCTTGAATTCAATTATTGGATTGGTGGAAAAGTCCTTTCCGATTTTTTGGGAGAGTACCTTAAATTTGTCGAATTTTGACGTTTTATACGCTCATCCTAAAGCTGAATTCAAGACGGATCGATTGGCAAAGACCGTTTTGAGATATCTCTTTTCTAAAAGTTTTTACAGTTATTTTAGTAAAGGGCAAAAGCAGAGCCAAAAAATGGCTGTTTTCACGTTTCGTTAGTTTTCCGTGCAGAAACCTAGGCTAAAAACATGTGTTTCGTGATCAGCGTCAAAAATAACCCCTAGGCACGCATTTTCAGAATCTTAGCAAAAATCGGAAAGGACTTTTCCACCAACCCAATAGTTAGTTTGTTTAAAATTGTCGTTAACTTGTTTAAAAGTATAATTACTTTGTTTAAAAATGTCGTTAGTTTGTTTAAATCTTTGTTTTCTTTATCTAAATCGAATCTATTGAATCCCAATCTCGATTTAGCTGATTTAGCTGAATCCCAATCTTGATTCATTGAATTTCATTCTTTTTTTCAGCATTCTTTTGAATCGGGCATTTTGATTACGGTGAGATTGGTAAAAATCGTTTTGAGATATCTCTTTTCTAAAAGTTTTTACAGCTATTTTAGTAAAGGGCGGCAGAGCCTATCTCAAAATATCTCAAAACGCTTTTTATCAATCGATCCGTCTTGAATTCAGCTTTAGGATGAGCTATAAAACGTCAAAATTCGACAAATTTAAGGTACTCTCCCAAAAAATCGGAAAAGGACTTTTCCACCAACCCAATAAATCAAATCTTGGCCTTGGGGAATCATAGTCTAACAATGTTCATCATTATTACGGAATCTACCTTTAAAACTAATTATAATATACGTAGAATAATAGAAATTTACTTGATAAAATACTAGGGAATTCGACTTCATCAAACATTTTACCTTCATTAGCCTTTGGTTGTGCAAGAGCGACTCCATCAAGAACAGCCGCTCGTCCGTTGGCCATTAAAAAGATGAGTAGACAACATGAAAGCACTAATATAAAATAGCGAATCAGCGGGGCTCGCATCGAAATAAAATCAAATACCTAAATAGAAAAATTCTTTAAAAACCCAAGAACATGAAAACTAAAAAATGAAAACCGATTTTTTTAATAGCCTAAACATAAAAATTTTCCAGCTCACTGGGTTTTGATTTTTTTGAAAACAGAAAAAGTTTTCAAATTCAAAATCTCAGAATACAGGAAAACAATATTTATTTATGGTGATGATGAGTAAATTGTGTTTCAGTGTTGGATCAATATTTGGCCAAAATATTTTCAAAGCCGTGAAAAGCCGTGAAAAGCCGGCCGGTCAAAAGACACCATGATTAAATATTCCAAAAGAAGGGCACAAAAAGCAAAATCCCGTAGTTGAATGACGGGAGTACGATTGCTTTACAAGCTACAAATATGAAAACAAAAAGCTTTACAGATTTAGTTGTACTAGAATGTTTCAAAAATAAGTTTAGAGATCGTTTTCGGTTTAGAGATCGTTTTCGGGTATCTTTTAGATTGTTTAGAGATGCTCAAAATGGAAATAAATCCTTTCTGACACACTAAAATTCTTCAATTCAATTCAACCGATGAAAAATCACTGCACCAGAAAGAACAAAAGACATCATGATTAAATATTCAAAAAGAAGGACACAAAAAGCAAAATCCCGTAGTTGAATGACGGGAGTATGATTGCTTTACAAGCTACAAATATGAAAACAAAAAGCTTTACAGATTTAGTTGTACCAGAATGTTTCAAAAATAAAGCAGCAAGTTTAGAGATCGTTTAAAGCATCGTTTAGATTGTTTAGAGATGCTCAAAATAGAAAAAAAATCCATTCTGACACACTAAAATTCTTCAATTTTCTCCCAGAAACACTGGATTGCGGGAAAAGCGATGAAAAATCACTGCACCAGGAAGAGTGCGTTTACACTTTTACTCTACAAAGTAAAAGTCGTTTTTCGGAAGTTCCGTTTCTTATTGAAATTGAAATTTGAAAGTTCTTATTGAAATTGAAAGTTTTTAATTGCTTAATTGTTTGCTTTGAATTGCTTTTTCTTTTTAATTCTAATATTCGATCGGATTTGTTCTCTAGAAGTGTAGTTTGTGCTCAACATTGAAACACACCAAATGATCGTTCTTTTAATTTACCATCGAATTTCAAAGTGGCACCTATTTTGTAGCAAATTTCTAGTTTATAGCAAATTTTTCGTATTCTTTATTTGCCGATTTTGTAGCAAATTTTTCGCTGATTCCGAATAGCTAAATCGTTTGTGTGTAATGAATTCAAATGTTTCGATTTAAATCCATTTAAAGTTCATGTGTAAAAAAAGCAGTTTTTCAGTGTTGCGCTTCTCTGACCACGCGAGTATCAAGCGATCTTCCGTTCCCGGCGCACATGGCCTGGAACACATCCGTTCCCGGATCACATGCCCTGGATCACATGCCCTGGATCACATCCGTTCCCGGATCACATGCCCTGGATCACATCCGTTCCCGGATCACATGCCCTGGATCACATCCGTTCCCGGATCACATGCCCTGGATCACATCCGTTCCCGGATCACATGTCAACTGGTAAAGGGCTAGACTGGGTGCTAGCCTCTCAACTTTCTGACCCTGGTTCGAGGGTAAAGTTTATATATGATAAACTTTACCCAGTTTACTTGGGTAAAGTTTTTCAAATCTTAACAATATTTTTTGTTTACTTAAAAAGTCATTGTTTGGCGTGATTCAATAGAAAATTTGCGCATTCAATGAAAAATTTTATGTGGAAAAGCCGTTTTCTTCAAGAAAATATCTTTTTCTTCAAATTTCTTCAAGAAAATATGAAAGCTTTTTAAGATTCGATAAGGAAACATGCAAAAGCAAGCAATTTTTCCTTGAATTGAATATTCAAAGAATGAATTGGAGTTGGAAAATGGGGAATATTGGAAAAATATTCAGAAATGAGTCTTTTTAAAGGTTGGAAAGCGGGGAAATACATTATCAAACAAAAAAATCGAATTGAAAAATTTGTGGGAAATCGATTTGATGAGAGGAAAGCAAGAATCGTACAGGAAATCGGGAGTTTTTCAAAAAGTTCAACGTTATTCGAGAAAATCTAAGCGCTGAAGAAGATTTGAACACAAAATACTTCCCCCTAGAGTGTGTTCCTCGGGAGTAAGTAATTACTCGAGTAAAATTTGCATGAGTAATTTTTACTCGATTAATCGACGTTTTTTCGTCGAGCAACTACGAGTAATCACTCTTTACACATCGAGTAAATTGAATATCTTTACATTTGAAGGGAATTTGCCACCAAATCAGTTGAACGGTCGAATATCTTTAAGTCGTATATAAGTCGTTGCTCGTGATGTTTTTGCGCTAATTTTTTACAATTTTCGTTAAAAGTACGGTAATTTTTTCGAAGTTTGCGTTTTAAAAAAGGCATTACTCGCGAGGAACACACTCTACTTCCCCTAAGAAGCTCATTTCAAAGCTTATTATTTCAAAATTTCCATTTGCTGAAAACAATATGCTGAAAACAACAAGCTGATCGCGAAAGATCTTTTTAAAACATCTAAATGAAAAGTTTTATAATATTTTGAAATATTGAAGTTAATAAAACTTCAAAATCTTTTTACTATATAGAAATCTTATGAATTTTCTCATAGAACTCATTCAGAAATGCATTTTTTTTTTTGTCTTAAAGCCAGATATTTGCGTTTCAAAAGGATTTGAAATGTTCATTCACACGTAATCAAATTCAAAATTCTTCATGAAACATTGGGGAAAGCTTTTCAAATTGAAAAATGAACCCAGAAAAATAGGTGGCCTGTAATTGGAGTGCTTTTTGGGTTTTGGCGGAAATCGATTGTTTCCCTTGGTTTCTCATGAAAATTACATTCTCAACGAGAAGCAAAAAATCGAATTTTGAATAATCCTTTCTCCGTAATTCGTTTCTTCTCAAATAAGAATACTCTTGAAAAAAATTCATTGAAGAAAAAAACAAATTTCAAATTAAAAAAACACGATTTCATATTTGAATTTTGTGCAAAATGCACAGATAAAGTAGATACCGTAAATACTGTAAATACACAGCTTTACTATAAACTTTAATCTTTAGCAAGTATCAGCAAAACGATCATATCATGTGAATGGTCAAGTGGGCGGATTTGTCACCGATTGGGGACAACTCAAGTTCTTGACAGTTAAGGTGAAACGGTTTTCCTATTGCAAAAAGCATTATACCGTAAATACTGTAATAGTGCCCCACTCCCATAATGACGGTGCGAAGTGTTGCATAGTCTAGCTTTGGACGCGTTTTTCTCGACACTGGTTTATGCTACAATGCGCGCTTAGGTATCAAAAAATAGCTGAAATTCAGGGCTATTTTTTGATACCAAAGACGCATTGTAGCTTAAACCAGTATCGAGAAAAACTCGTTCAAAGCTAGACTACGCAACACTCCGCGCCGTCATTATCTTTGGTATCAAAAAATAGCCCTGAATTTCAGCTATTTTTTGATACCAAAGACGCATTTTTGAAAGTATGGGCGCTTTGAAAAAAAATGAAATACTGGAAGACTTTTGCGACTACGCGACTGTTCGAGGGCGTGGGGTACTATTACAGTATTTACGGTAGATAAGTTTTCGTTTTTTGACTTTAAAAGCGTTAAGCTTTCATTCACAACTTTATTGCTCTTTAAAATACAAAAAAAAACGATTTGATGGATGGGAAAATGACGAGGAAAATGAGTTTAAAGAGGAGAAAAACGTGGTTAATTGTTGAAAAATGTATTCGAAATTGCACAAGTTTTCTTATAAAAAGCTAAAGTTCTGTAAGACTTTTGAAAAATACCCAAAAAAACGAATATTTATGTCGATTCATCGATGATATACTAGGGAAAAAAGTCAAGATAATAGGCGCGCATGCTGTGACGAAAAGAAAATGTGGAAAACTAAAAACGAGTATGCAAAAGCTGTAAAGAGACGATAAAAATACAAATCGGACATCGAAAACATGAAAATATTTACGTCGATCACGCTTTTTGGGGAATTGGATTGGGGTTCTTTTTTGCGTAGGATTTGCATAGAATAAGCTAAAGTTTTTTTGAGTGCAAAGGCAACAGTTTTCGATATTTCAATCATTTCTAACGAATCGGGCAAAGGAATGATTCTTGTTGAGTACTTCATAGTCAACGATGGCCTAGAACCTCGAGAGCTAGAGCACGGAAAGTCCAGAACCAGATCCTGGCTTGGCTCTTCTCGACACAAGGCTTTTGGGACCCCAGACTGGAGCTTACGTTCTCGTCATGTTGAAACAAAGCATCCGTCCGATCTACCAAGCAACGTTAGGCTCGGTTAGTCGCAGGTTCGGAGCTATTCCAAGCGCAGAGCAATGTAGCCCACCGTTGAAATTAAACCACGGGTTGGCTTCCACTGCAGCCATTAAAACGTTTATTTCCTTTTGTTGATTGATCAATGACCATCTTTCTTTCTGATCATCGTCTTTCTGTATTGTGATTGATTGCTTGGATTGGTTGAATGAACCAATACTTTAAAGCCAAGCCAAGCCAAACCAAGCCAGGAGGCCAGGCCAAGCCAAGCCTAGCCAAGCCAAGCCAAGCCAAGCCAAGCCAAGCCAAGCCAAGCCAGGCCAATCCAAGCCAAGCCAAGCCAAGCCAAGCCAAGCCAGGCCAATCCAAGTCAGGCCAATCCAAGCCAGGCCAATCCAAGTCAGGCCAATCCAAGTCAGGCCAATCCAAGTCAGGCTAGGATCAGAATCCTGATTTATGCAAAACCAGAGCCAGGCTCGTAGCCGTTCAAAACACAATAATGAATTTCTATTGCAAGATTAGAATGTTCAAAAGTTTCAAAAATAAACTGTTTGTTAACAGAAAAAAAACTTGAAAATCGATAATTGGGGTTCTATTCGAACGACGTGGGCATTTGATCCAATGTAATCTCCGCCATGTCGTCAATCATAGCTTTTTATGCTCTCCATTCAAAATACAGATAAAATGAATTGAATGATTCAAAGTTTCAATAAACCAGCCATTCAACATTTTGATTGATTCAGAAAGGATTCGAAGCCTCTTTTATTCAAGTTTTTAACGTTTAAGAAAAGAAAAATTATAAGAATTGATACAATTTTCTTAGAAAATCTATCAATAATGCATGTGTTTATCGAAGAAATTTTCAAATTCAAAAGAGAAATCCGACAACAAGAGCAGAGAGTTGAAAAGTAGGGCTTCAAGTCCAATCGGAGGCCACAAAATCGAACATTACATCATTGATGTTATTTGGGATTTAAAAACAGTTAAAAAATATATCTATCAAGTTATTTAAAAGAAAATTATTGTTTTTTTTTTCTATTTTTTCTGGCAATAACTAGTCTAGGCTATTTTTTCTCAACTCTAACAGAAAAAAAGTGTGGAAACGGAGATTTGTACTAACTTTTTAACCAAAAACTAGTTGAATATAATAACTTTTAGTATAAATTCCAGTAAATATTGATTAAAAGAGTATATTCTATTACTTTTCATTAAATTCTAGTCAGTAGAAATACTAGATTTTAGTAATCACAAGCAGAAAAAAAAGAAAATGGGGGTTGTTTCTACACTTTTTCCTGTTAGCGTAGATAAAAGTAGCCTAAACTAGTTAATATTAGAGAAAAAAGTAAGAAAAAAAAAACAGAAAACATGAAAAAATGAGAAAAAAGTTACTCCCGATACTGGAATTGATCCAAATCTACTACTTATCTAAAACCACAGCTTGAAATCTCTATGTAAAGAAAGTGAATCTATCCAAATCTATTGGTTGGGGAGGATGGGTTGGGGCGGGAAAATAAAAGAAATTTTTTTTTAAAAAAATTTTTTTTTTTTTTTTTTTTTTTTTTTTTTATTTTTTTTTTTTTTTTTTTTTTATTTTTTTTTTTTTTTTTTTTTTTTTTTTTTGTTTTTTTTTTTTTTTTTTAAAAAAAAAAAAAAAAGGGAAAAAGAAATTTTATTTTTTTTTTTTTTTTTTTTTTTTTTTTTTTTTTTTTTATTTTTTTTTTTTTTAAAAAAAAAAAAGGTATAATATTTATAAAAAATTTTTTTTGTTTTTTTTTATTTTTTTTTTTTTTTTTATTTATTTTTTTTTTTTTTATGTTTTTTAAATATTTTTTTGTGGGGGGGTTTGTTTGGGTTTTTTTTTTTTTTTTTTTTATTATTTTTTTTGTTAATATTTTTTAAAAAATATAAAAAATAAAAAAAAAAAGTAAGAAGATAAAATAATATTTGATTTTTTTTTTGTGGTTTTTGTTTCCCCCCCAACCATACTACATATGTAAAAGCGAACCTTGAAATCTCCATGTATAGAAAGTGAATCTATCCAAATCTACTACTTATCTAAAAACGAAGCTTGAAATCTCTATGTACAGAACGTGAAATCTATCCAAACCTAACTACTTAGATAAAAGCGAGCCTTGAAATCTCTATATAAAGAAAGTGAAATCTATCCATATCTACTTTTATCCATATCCATATCTACTACTACTTACGTAAAAGCGAACCTTGAAATCTCTATGTACAGAACGTGAAATCTATCCAAATCTACTACATATGTAAAAGCGAACCTTGAAATCTCTATGTACAGAAAGTGAAATAGATCCAAATCCTCCTGGTTCATCTATCATTTCATATTGACTACAAAAAGCAATTTGTTTGAAATGAAATGAAAGGAAAATCTAGAAAAAGGTGCTTGTCATTCAAATTTTCAATCCTCTTTTTGAAAAAGAAAAAAGAAAAAGGGGATGGGGAAACAAAATTTGCGCAGCCGTTTACATATATTTGCAATTCGATGTCAACCATCATCAGCACCCAAAAAGGGAAATAATGCAAAGGATTGGGAAAATTTCAGAATTTCAACTATACCGGAAACAAAATGCTATAAATACCGTACCCAAAAGGGCTTCAAAGCCAAATATCTTTAATTTCAAATCTTTAATTTCAAATTGAGCATTTGAAAGCATCTGCATTGCTGTAAGGAAGATGCTTTAAGTAGTCGAATGGAGTCCTTTAGTCGAATGGAGTCCTTAGTCGAATGGAGTCCTTAGTCGAATGGAGTACTGTAGAGATTGAGTCGATTGAAGTGTCGTCAAAGTTTCTGCAGGGGGATTTTTCTTTTTGTTTTTGTGATTCTCTGAAAGATAAGTGACTAATTTCAAATTAAAACATAAATCTCATATTATTTTCCAATTTTATTCAAATGTAAATTGCAAACCCGTATCTGCATAAAAACATCACAGAATCTTCTAAACAAAGTCAATTTTTCATTTCCCGTTTTCAGTTCTGCACTTTTGCATAATCTTTGAAGTGATCGGGCGCATCGGTGACAACTTTGTAGATGTATTCTGAAAGATCTACTATATATAAAAGAGCACTGTCTGTTTGTTCATCTGTATGGGCATTTTCTCGGTCGTGTTTTGCCAAAAAAAAAGCTAAAACTTCTTTAGAAAAACTTAGAATATATTGTAGTTGTGCTATTTAAAATAAAACATTTAAAAAGTAAAAATTGAGTGGCACTCCCGGGGTTGAATCCGGGTCGTGTGAGCCGTAGACAAGCGCGTATCTGACTGCGCCATAACGACGAAAGCTACTTTCAAAACATCCAGCCAGAAAAGCCAGCTGTTGGGCGTCTTTTCGGCTTTTCATTTTCGTTTTTTAGCTGGTTTTAGATATAAAATCGAACATGAGAAACCATGAAAAGAGGCCATTTGCTTTTTGTTTGAGCAATTAGAAAATGCCAATACATCAAGTAGCAATGTTGAGCAAGGCTCAACAAATGAATGAACACACTGCAATTTACTTTCAGCTATGGGTATTAAAGCTCGTTTTATTCTTATCACCACACCTAATTCAGTGAACATTCGCCTCAAAGCGGCTACAGTAGGATAGAGCGCAAAATAGACGGATCGAGCCATCATCTTCTCCTCCGTATGCACATCGTTGAGCTCGTATCTGAAAAAAGGTAAGAGATTTTGAGATTTTGATTTCAAGCTTGAATATTCATCATTGAATATTAGGCTTAAACAAAAGAATTAAACAAAAGGCTTAAACAAAAGAGCAATCTAAACTCAGGTAAGGTTTAGTTTTTCCCCGTTACAATTGTATAATATTTTGTTGACTAATCAGGCCAGGAGGAAAGTCATAGCAGAACAATTAGATCAGTCAGCTCATATCAAGAAATCAAAAACAAATGTTTTGCTAAAACAGGAATCGAACTCGAGCAAAACATTTGAGCGCTCGTTTCGTATGCAAGCGTTTTATCCATTACGCCAACAAGCCATGTTTGAGACTCGTGAGAAAACCCTTATAAAGGTACCCCTTCCTTATAAAAGTATCCCTTTCGCATTTTCACTCTAAAACTCAAAAAACTCGTATAACTTTTTATAGAAAATCATTTTGCAAAAGCGGAAAGCAGATTCGGAATCAGCGTGAAATTCTGCGTCGAATATTCTATAGCTTATCTTATTTGATCACATCCTAATCTTGCCTTTCTCCAAATATCTACTCTAGTGCAAGAATGGCTTTAGAAAGAAAGAATCTTTCTTTATTTCAAAAACCCACTTCGAGGCGTATGTATCAAAATCATAATTGGCGCCGATTTCTCTTCCGATAGGACCCGTGAAAAAAGCATCGTCAACCTAGAAATTTAACAAAAAATATTGTAACATCTTACTGAAAGGAAAAATATTAAAAAAAATCGATCCTTAAATCTTTTCAACTTTCAAGAATAACTCACCGATATATAATGCAGTCTTTTCTCAACAGCCGCAACGATTTCAGCAGCCAAATCTTTCGACATAATAAAACTCGTACCTAAACCAGCAGTTGTGAAAAAGCAAGCCCAATAATCCCCAAAGTCAAGCCAATAATCTAACGACATGTTAGACCTGACTAATCCTTGGGAAAAAGTTCAGAATATCTTGCATCATTTTGGTGCCATTTAATCGCTTTACGCGTCAAATGAAACCCTGAAGATCGGATAAGACTCGATTTTTGTTCATCTATCAAGTGTGGGTCTAACGTAAAAGATTGGGCAAAATTACCAGGACAAACTTGTTTGAATGTTATTCGACAAGCGTTCCATAAAACTCCTATAATTCTCTTTCTATAAACGCTTAATTATCCTCTGAAAAAGTAGGCACACTTTTCTAGTCTTAATGTTGTTTTTTGCGAGTTTTTCAGAAACCAAAAAAAGCGCTCTAAAGGGAGAAAATGAAGCTGCGCGCCAGGACCAATGATATTTATTGGTTATCTCCGCGCCCCAAAAAAACCTGAAACTAACCATCCAACGGACTGAAATTTTCCCCCACCAATGCTGGGCTGCACTTCGCTGGTGCAGTTAAATGCTAATTTCGCGCATATCCTAATTTCATTTCATTTCTGTTTCGGCGTTGCCTATTTAGATTGCTATAGATAATATAGAACATATAGAAAATGTTTTTCTTCTAAAAACAATTGCTATTCTAATATTTATGCAAATTTTATTGCTTAATAATACCTACAAAGAGATGAGAACTCCACTCCGAAAATCAGAATCTGAGATGTAAATTGATAAATGCAAATTTTCGAGTGAGAACGGGAGATAACCAATAATTATCGGATAATTAATCCGATAATTATCCAAAAATTATCGGATTAATTTGACCCAATGCTTTTTGTTTCAAAAGAAAAGCCGGCCAACGGATTTTTCTTTTCAGTAATGTTCCAAAAGGTTACCGTATTTCTTCGAATAGAAGACCGGGTAAAGAGTATCATCGCGTACTCCTGCGTAGCAACCCTTTTTAAAATTTCCTTTCTGCATAAAAGCTTTCAATCAAGTGCTATAGGGCTGGAAAATGGCTCAAAAATACCACATGAGCTAACAGATTTTTGAGCCATTTTCCAGCTCTATAGCACTTGATTGAAAGCTTTTATGCAGAAAGGAAATTTTAAAAAGGGTTGCTACGCAGGAGTACGCGATGATACTCTTTACCCGGTCTTCTATTCGAAGAAATACGGTAGTTATGAATAAATTTATCCATTCCTAATCCAATCAGAATTTATATTATGAAGAAAATTATACGATTAACGGTTAAATTGGCTGGCTGCCAAGTTACAACGAACAACTCTTGTCCGGGTAATTTTGCTCTATAAACAACAGTTTCCAAAAGATATGCGTAAAGATACTTTGCGAAACAATTGCGCGTTTGTTGGAGTGTCTTGGACTCATTTGTCTTGCCTACCTGTACAATATCTTCCCCATTGATCTTCTGGCATTGCTTCTTTTGAAACGAACCTAAAATGAAGTAAAATTATGATATTAATTAAGAAAAAAGGTGCGCTAATGGGCAAGGTGCGGAAAAAAAGGTGCGCAAATGTCCGGGTGCGCAAAAAAGAGGTCGCATTTGTCCCACTCCCCTAGAATTTAAAAAATTAACGAATTTTCCTCACCAAGGTGATCCCGGATCTCGAATCACGTTCCCATAGTAGAGCAAACACGTGAAAGTTTTATTCGTTTTTACCCTAAACAACTTTTTTTTTTGAGGCTTTGCCAATTTTAGTACTTGTTCTTTTCGAAATCCTCCATAAAGCCGAAAATGTTTGGTAAAAGATCATCTAGAAAAAGAAATGACTTGAACATGATTGAACAGAAATGATTCTGTAAAAGAAATGATTTGAACAAACCATCTAATTTGACGACAAGTTGAACACTTGGACAGTGATCTCGAAGAAATCGCATCCAGCTTAAGCCCTGGAATTTTTTTTGCTTTTTAACAAAATCGATTTACAACCTTGATCGTCAAATTTCGATAGTGATCGATGAAATCGGCTTGCACGATGTCTTGATGGAATCTGAAGGATTTTAAGATTTGAAAGCTTTAGTTTAAGTGAAATGGCTTGTGCTTATCAATGACCGTTATCAAAAGCCGCTAATAGATAAGAACTAGGTTCCAAAATCTCTTCTTGTCATTCATTTACTTTATAGATAGCTGCCACGTGTGTGATTTTGTTTGTTATCAATTAAAACATGTCGAATACTTACTGTAAAGTTAAAATAGAGCTAATTCGAGTTAAAAATAAAAGGAAAACAAAAGGAAGGAATTGAACCCGAGCAAAAGTCTGAGATCTTGTTTTGGAAACAAGATCCTTACCCACTACACCACAAGCTCACATTTCAAGACGATGAAAGAAGGATCTAATAAATAATCAATGACTGGTGGGACGATGTGTGCCCTCATTTATCCGCCAGTCTTTGAGATGATCACTTTTTGGGACGAATGGAGGGTTGGGTGGTTTCAGTGTAAAAACGACTAGTACCATATGATCCTCCATAGCCCCCGATTTATCATGAACCAAGCCAGTTTTTCTTTCTAATACCGTATTTTCTCTAATAGTAGTGCCCCGCGCAAAGCCGAGTTGATGACTATTTTACAATTTCCAATTTTTCCCAGAAGCTCAACACTCAAATCCCCCACAAGATCTCATCGTCAGCTACATTTTCCGACCCCACATCGATCGGTTCTTATAAGCGCTTTTCGAGATTTCGAGCAATTTAGGTGAAGCGAAAATACGACATACATTTGAAAGCTAACGACTCTTCACATTTGCTTCAAAAGTACCTTTCACAAAACGCGATCAACAAATTAATGTATTAACTATTTTAGATTTTAATTTGTTGATTGGGTAACCCAATTTGTGCATCTGGATGCCAATAAACTGGTAGACCAGAAAGCTAATTTGCATAGGCTTAGGTAAGATACTTGTGCGATGGGTAAGATGCACAAGTACCGTTGAAAGATTGGGAAAGTTTTCGAGCAATTTATGCGATTAGTGAAAATACGTTACGTATTTTTACTTTTCCAAGTCACTCACTTTGCCTCGGCCTCCAATTGTTGCTCATCATTTCGATCCATTGAGCGTCCAGTCGCAAAAAGGGTACGAATGTGGTACTAGATTTTGAAAAAATGATTCTTTTACAGGGATTTCTTCTACTATTTCTAACCAACCTTTTTATACCATTGCATATTCGCATAAGTGTCCCTAATCGCGGCTCGTTTTTCCTTGTTCGAGACGGCTGTGTGGACCTGAAAAAGCTTAAAATAAACTTTTAAAGATCTAGATCTTGATTGAATATTCAATATAGAGAATATTCAAGATTCAATCTTTTAAATGACTTTTTTCTCACCACAAATACGACTTTCATATCGTTTTGGCAAAAGTTTTGCGGCAAGATCGTCCAACGAAATGGTTGATACCACTGAAAATTTAAGATAGATTCTTTTGCAGATGATTGAAATTCTTAAGAGCATAAAAAGCTTTAATCTTACTGGATGCGGCACAATGGTGATTGGTTGATTGTTGGCGTTGACGAGTTGAATTGAGTGCGCTGGTTGGTGTTGTCTCAGCATTGGATGCACCTAAATAGAAAGCATATTGTCCTTGAAAGTTTTGGCTTTGGCTTTCAAAGAATTCGCTTATAAAGCCTAAAAGAAAGATTCTCTAATATTTTCTGGTACCCAAAGGATAGCACTGTTTCAATTCGAATGTTGAAATCGTTTGCTAAAGGTTGAGATTCTGTTCCTCTAAATCACGACCCTTTTTCTTCGTCGGATTACTGTAATTGTGCCTTTATAAGGTGATTTTTCGTCACTTTTTAGGGGTCGGACAAATGCGACCTTTTTTTGCGCACCTGGACATTTGCGCACCATTTTTTTTTGCCGGAAAAGGCCTTAGGAAAGGTCGTAGAGCTTCAAAAATGTTTTCATAGAAGGGAATCGTATGCGTAGATTCCGAATTTCGACAAATCAGACCTCGCTGACACGTCAAATTTGGGCTAAAAGGCAAAAACTACGCAACTTAACGCTTTTCCGCAGTTTTTTGCCTTTTAGCCCAAATTGACGTGTCAGCGAGGTCTGATTTGTCGAAATTCGGAATCTACGCATACGATTCCCTTATATGGAAATATTTTCGAAGCTCTACGGCCTTGCCTAAGGCCTTTTCCAGCAAAAAAAAAAGGTGCGCAAATGTCCAGGTGCGCAAAAAAAGGTCGCATTCGTCCCACCCCCGATTTTTCGTCCCTTTTTTCTCTCTTCAAAATCATTTTCTACCGCTTAACCTCTTTTGATAAAGTTTTCGTTTGTTTTGAACACTTTCAAATCACAATGGTGATTGGTTGATTGTTGGTGTTGACGAGTTGAATTGAGTGCGCTGGCTGGTGTTAGACAATCGTGTTAGACGCTCGGATAATCGTAAGCATCATACAAGCGAATTCTATTGATTTCTATCACATTCGGATCAAGTTTCAAATAAAGAACACAAGTTTGGCCGCAAAGAAAAGGTCTTTAGTTCTTACGCGTACAACTAATACAAAATTCGAGCAAAAACATTAAACAATTGACAACTCTGATACCCTTTGTGGTGCTCCGAATGCGCTCGGATAATCGTAAGCATTCGAATACATCGGAATGATGACATTTCGTTGACTTTCTTGATAATCATGATACAATAAATAGATGATTACAGCCGCCGAAGCGAGAAATAAATAGCGATAGTCGACGTTTTTCATCGTTGCATTTCTAAAGGAATATTTGTAGTTGACAAATTACAAATTAACAAAAACTAACAAAAAGCACGTACAATTAGCACCTTGAAAACAACAAACTTTAAAAAAAAGTTATCAAGATTGATAATAGGTCGCAAATATAACCTAAAAACTGGGGTTTCTTTAAAAAAAAAATATTGTCAGTTGAATACTTCTTACTTCAGAATATTGTAGTATGTCAAGGGATTTAGGTTTTACAATAAAATTTAATTCAAGAGTATGAATGCATTAAAATCTATGGCATTAAAACCTGTAGTAGCATTAAAATCTATGACATTAAAACCTGTAGTAGCATCAAAATCTATGGCGTTAAAACCTGTAGTAGCATTAAAATCTATGGCATTAAAACCTGTAGTAGCATCAAAATCTATGGCATTAAAACCTGTAGTAGCATCAAAATCTATGGCGTTAAAGCCTGTAGTAAAGCAAGATATTGATCTTTTTAAGAAAAGAAAATGTAAAATTTCCTAAAATTCATTGATTGTTTTCAGGATTGAAGTCTGTTTTCACAAATGGTGGAGAAAGCACAAATGGAGAAAGGAGAAAGCACCTTAAAAGACTGAAAGATTTGGAAATGAGAAAAGAAGATGAAGAAAAAAGGGGTTAAGAACAAGAATTAGAAGGGGAATGGGGAAAGGATTGAAGAGATTGAATGGGGGAACTGTTCAGCCTTGTTTCTTCCTTTTCCATTTTCTTTTCTTTGTCCATATCCAGTTCAATCCTTTTTTCTTGCTCCATTTGAGGGGGGAAACCTGCACATTGTGCACACAAAATCAATCGTAATTACTGAAGAAAAGGGTATTGAAACATGCTTTGTTACATCATACCTTTCTTTTTTGAAATTTTTGAGATAAACAACTGTATTACTGTTGTATGCTGTACTTGACTAGAAGCTTATACAGCTTATGTATGTAGCACGAGACTGTTTTGTAGCCTCACCGATAAGAACATAAAGAAAATTTGTCTCAAATTTGAGCTTCCAAATAGAAGTCTCGGAGTTTGGGAACTTCTCTATTTTACTTTATAACTCGACTTCCAATTATCAGATCGACTTAAGGTTGGTTTTAAAATGATCCCTATGAATAGATGAATATGAATCTAAATAGCATAGCGAATTTCTCTTAAATCCTATTCTTATGGTTATATCATAATTCCTACTGTTTTATAAAGATTAAACTTTAATTTAAATCTATGCTATTTGATTTTAAACACTTATTATTCATTTATGAGTAAATAAAAATGAAAAAGGGCGTGTTTCTTGAATTGAAACTGATGAAAATTGAAACTGAATTGAAACTGAAAACAACATGAACTTCTAAGGTCCGTTTTGATTCAAAAAAGTATAGCTTTTTTTTCAGTTTTCATCCATTTCCCTTATTTTCCCTGTCACTTTTCGCCAATTCCGCTCAAAAGCGGGATTTCCCGGGGTTAACGGCTGAAAAGGCTGAGTGTGACCTGAAAAAGTGAAAGATTTCTCTTTCAACTCTTTCAGAAATAAAATGAACTGTTTATTGGAAAGGTTTAACAATGGTAAGCATATCAAAATTTAAAATATTATCAACTCTATTCATCAGCACTATCAAGAGGTGCCCAATTGATGAAGGGGAATGGGGAAAGGAGCATTCCTTCTTTTCCAACTTTTGCCACCATGACTGACTGGCTAAGAGCCCTGTATCTTAGTCGGGAGGTCAAGGGTTCAATCCTGCCAGCTAGATTATTGGTTTCCACACGCTCTGTTATGTCAAAATTTGAATTCTACACCCTAAAATTACCTAGAAAAACAACATTTGGAATAGAAATTGGTTAATATTAGCTTTTTAGAGCTTTTTAAAACGCGAAAAAGGTGCGCTAATGGGCAAGGTGCGGAAAAAAAGAACCAATTTCGCTCAAGAGCGGGATTTCCCGGGGTTAACAGCTGAAAAGGCTGAGTGTGACCTGAAAAGGTGAAAGATTTCTCTTTCAACTCTTTCAGAAATAAAATGAACTGTTTATTGGAAAGGTTAACAATGGTAAGCATATCAAAATTTAAAATATTATCAACTCTATTCATCAGCACTATCAAGAGGTGCCCAATTGATGAAACGGTCGATGATGTGCTTGGCGACGATTGGGTTGTCTTTTGGAACCATGTGACCAGAGCCCTAGAAATTCTCATTGGATTCACAAAAGCAATCCGATATCCAAAATGTCTGTTATTTGGAAAAGTTACGATGAAGAGATGAAGATGATTTGACTTTTTCTTCTTTGTGATCTCTGTGATCATTTTTTCATTATCTCCGACGATCGCTTGAAAAAAAGTAGATAATTTTATTCTGCGTTGCAAAATGTAGATAATTTTATTTTGCATTCAATAAGAATAAAAGAACACATAGAAACTTAATAGCGGAGGGAGTATTTTTGCCTTGTACGCGGCGCTGTGTTGTTTTGACCAGCTCCTTTTTTTTGAGCGCGCGTTTTAGGAAACGCATTAACCGAGAGGAACACAATCTATCCTAGTAAGTTCAAACTATGATATAGAGATCTAAACCAGGGTAATAGAGATCTAAACCAGGTTAGGGCCTACTTCAGAGTGACTAGCCAAGCTAGTGTTCAAGAAAAGTTCGCGAAACACTTCTGACTCACTCTAACAGAGACGAATCGAAAATTCCCCTCTTGCATCCATTTCCCACCGGCTACACGATCAACAAAGTACCATTTGAATGTATTCTCCGGCTAAGAATAGGTAAAACTAAAGAAAGGTCATGTCCACTCACGTCTTTGATAAATTCCTCGGAAAATTGTTGACCGTGCATCACATTACAAGCCATGTCAACATCTCCGTAATAGAGCATCGTCTGAATTGATGGCTGTACTCATTCAACTCCTTGACATTCAACTCCTTATTTTATAGCTATACTATACAATTCCCCAAGAACTTAAGCGATTTAAGACGATTTTTGAATTGATTCAAGCCTTTATCCATACTTTGACTCCTCGCTTCAGCGCTCTGTCAATTTGATCGTGCACTGATGGGTACTTGCTTTGATCGTATCCCAAAAGTCTGCAAGTAATTTTAGAAATTAGAAAATGTCAATTAAATAAAACAAACACGTTGGTGTTACATTCGTTAAATGATTGAACATTAGCTGGAATTCCGAGAGCTTTTCGAACAGTCGGTTTGTTGAGATAAGTCTCCGCCTGTGCATCTAGATCACAAGCAGGCGCTTTGCTTTTAGCATGTCGCTCCAGAAACTGAAAGTTTCTGTAAATTGAAAGAATAAAGGCCAACAAACAAGCATGATAGCTTTTCTGTAAAGAAATAGATCTCAATTAACAAGTATGAAAGTTTTTCCTTTAGTACTTTTTATACCCTTGATGATTGGAGTGTTTTTTTTCTCTAAAAGACAGAAACTTTCAAAAACCACGTAATCTTATCTCCAGTTTTTTAAAAATTTCATTTCAGAATCATTCGTGATTCATCACAGACTACGCTTTAAACAGACTACGCTTTAAACAGACTACGCTTTAAACAGACTACGCTTTAAACAGACTACGCTTTAAACAGAATACGCTTTAAACAGAATACGCTTTAAACAGAATACGCTTTAAACAGAATACGCTTTAAACAGAATACGTTTTAAACAGAATACGCTTTAAACAGAATACGCTTTAAAAGTTAACATATTTTAAAATGAGCATTGATCGTACTTCTTCACCGAAATCTTTTTAAAAGTAAACCTTGTCAAAGTTTCGTTTTTCTCGAAAGCGATACTGTAAATCGAAAAGAAATCTATCCTGTGAAGGTTTACACTTTTGATACATGTTATATGGCGAGATAGGCGAATCCCTAAATATTATTTATCTTTTTATTGTTTACTCTAGACTACAAACTACAAACGTAAACTACAAACGCCTCTAACTTGCTTCAAATCTACCGCGTTGATCTGATCTATAGCTCAAAAAATAGAGAATCTCAAGAGCTTTTCAATAAACTAAAGTAAACCGAAAAATATAAATCCTAAAGAAAGTTACAGTGGTTTGAAGCGCTTCGATTATGCGCGAGTACGGTCTATTTCGAGTCCGGCTACAAACCATTATAACTTTTTTTAGGCTTGATATTTTTGAGTGTACTTTAGTTCATTCAAAAGCTCTTGAGATTCTCTATTCTTTGAGCTATAGATCATGTCAATTCGGTAGATTTGAAGCAAGTTAGATGCGTTTGTAGTGTGACAGTTCATCATTTTTGTAGTTTATAGTTTCCCATGTCTAGTTTACTCAGTATTTACCAGGCTTGATAAATGAACTCTTGCCATTCGGCGTTGCAGATTGCACTCTAAAAACTTTTGCTATTGATTTTGTCATAGAGTTTATAGTTTTTTTTGTGTGATTGTACGCTTTCTGGCATACTGATGTAAGTGTGGGGTCATAGCCGGGTAACTCATAAACGGTCATAGCCGGGTAACCAGTTCACAGGACAATTTTTGAGACAGTTCAAACTAATGCTAGATTTTGACAGATTAGTTTAGATAGATTAGTTTATAGATTAGTTTATAGATTAGTTTATAGATTAGTCTCTGGTAGCTAGTCATTTAAAATCGAACGCGATTCAAACTTGTTCTTGTTGACACAGTGCCACATTGCCTTGGCAGCATTTTTTGACATGAGCATTCCATTCTCTAAAAATTGCTTTCACAATGATTTACCCTATATTGCTCTGTAGCAAATTTTGCTCACTTTTCATCATACATCAAGTGTTGATTGAGAAATATGGGCAATGTGGCATCTACAAGTGCATCCGCCATTAATCCATTACCGATTGCCATTCCCTAAATAAAGAAATATGTTTGAATTTCTTGGAATTGAGTTTTTGAAAGCCTTGCTCGAAAGCCCTGAAAGCCTTGCTCGAAAGCCTTGCTCGAAAGCCTTGCTCGAAAGCCTTGCTCGAAAGCCTTGCTCGAAAGCCTTGCTCGAAAGCCTTGCTCGAAAGCCTTGCTCGAAAGCCCTGAAAGCCTTGCTCGTCTACTTGGATAACTCCTCCAAACTTTAAAGTATTACTTTTCTAAAAGAACTCTTCTTTTCTCTTACTTTCAATTTCATTTTAAACTCCGGTGTTCGGTTGAGAATTTCGTCGACAAGTGTTGGAATGTACTTTCCGGCTGCAAAAATTGGCATGATTAAATTTTGCAAAGTATTTAAATCTCACCTACCATATGACTCTCCAGTGATGTAAAAATCGTTGCTTTTGAATCGGGGAAACTCGTTGAAAAACTGCACCAACGCTTCCCAGTTTTTCGTGGCAGTCTGAATAAAAAAAAATAGCACAGTTTGGGTGGTTTTTATGATAAAACATCCGTACAATATCATCGTCTAGTCTTTCATCCGGTGCATCAGTGTACGAAAAGCCGACTCCAGCCGGTGCTTCGAGATAGAGAACCGAGGCGTTTGCGTTCCACGAGTGCGCGTTCAAATGTAACGCTTTTCCATCGGCGTTGATCTGAAAAACGAAAGTACAGATGAACGCAATGAGTTTTGATTCGGAATAAATGCTTACTAATAACCCTATCTTTTTAAAATAACAATAATCTAGGGAAACTTTAGCTTTAAGAGTTGAAATTAACGTAATCTTTGCTCAACAGTACTTACCGTCAGCTTGGATAAAAGTAAAAGTGAGATTACGGTGGCTTTTAAAAGTCGCCACGTAGAACACATTATGGGAAAGCTTCTGACACTATTCAAAAAGTGCCAGAAGGCACTACAGCTCACGTATTCAAAAATACATCTATTCAGACGAATATTGTGGTACAAACATAATCGTCATTAGTAAAGCCCAGTGGGCCATCTCATCGTTATTGTGTTAATAGAAATTGGCGTTAAACTACAGTATGCTTTTGTATTATCTTAAAAGTATATGGCTACTTTCCGCCATTTTATTTGCGCAACAGGGTCATTTGCGCAACGAGGTCTTTTGCGCAACACGCCATAACTGTCTTCTAAGTGGGCCAATCTTTATGATTTTGGTTTCATTTTGTTGCACTTATTGAGATCTACAAAATGAAAATAAAATCATAAAGATTGACTCACTTAGAAGAAAGTTATGATGAGTTGCGCAAATGACCCTGTTGCGCAAAAAAAAGTTGCGGAAACTAGCCTACCCCAAGTATATGTTTTGTGACGCTTTGTAACGCTTTTATAGTAGATCTCAAACATTAGAAAGATATGTTTTCATTTAAACTCACCAAGAACGGTCCATTCTCTTGCAGCAATCCCAACAAACTCGAGCATCCCGGGCCTCCATTGAGCCAGAGAATGAGTGGATCGTTTTTCGGGTTTGATTGCGATTCCACAAACCTGTATCAAACTCTCCAAGTTATTAGTTCTCAAAAAGAATTGATAAATTTTCACAAACCAATAATGCAAATGATCCTTTTTCCCTTCGCCTACATGAAAATATCCGGAGTAGTGATTAAAGGAAACTTTCGGTTGATTGGGTAAATTTTCGACTTTAATCGAAAAACTAGCACCGAAGAAAAGAAGCAGAAATGTTAGAAATTTCATTTTCATTTATTTAAAAGTAAAATTCTATCTTTATATACTTTTTCCTGAGATCAAAAGTTCGCTTTGTTCCTATAGAAAACGCCACATTTGGAGTCATTTTTTATTTTTATCATTTTTGAATCACTTTTATCAATGCATTGAATGACGTTTTTTTCAATATAATTTTCATCGATGATTTTAACTTTTATAAAGTATTTTTTTGAATATTTAGGTTTTAATATACCGTAAATATTGAATGAACCGAGCAATTTTGTTTGTTAATTGAATAGCTTTTCATTAATAATGTTAATTTCTTTTGATCAATCTTTATTTTCAAATGGCAAAGTTCTGTTCAAAATTTCTTATCGTTGATGAAAGCATTGAGGATATAGGAGGCAACAGCCGGCTTGTCGGTGGGAACCATGTGACCAGCGCCCTGGAACAAAATAAGTAAAACATATTAGAAGGAGAATCTTATAGCAAAGAGATTATGCATTTTATGGAAATCTCAATCTTTTGTGTAACTCTAGTACCCAAAGTAGAGGTAAACTGGGGGGTAAAATTACATCAAATTCTAAAGTGCTTTCTATTAGTCGAATTCTTGATCATACGTTGATCTCTGAATCTACAAGTTTAACTTTAAAACAACCTACCGTAAATACTGTAATAGTACCCCACCCCCCTCGTACAGTCGCGTAGTCGCAAAAGTTTTTTAGTATTTCATTTTTTTCAAAGCGCCCGTACTTTCAAAAAATGTGTCTTTGGTATCAAAAAATAGCCCTGAATTTCAGCTATTTTTTGATACCTAAGCGCGCATTTTAGCATAAACCAGTGTCGAGAAAAACTCGTTCAAAGCTAGACTACGCAACGCTCCGCACCGTCATTATGGGGGTGGGGTACTATTACAGTATTTACGGTAGGTATATTTCGCGGCTGCTTTGCTAAAATTTGCATACGAAAACTGTCCTTTCCCTCATTCTTGCCAAAACTCGGTTCATTCAATTTCAGAAATTTGCATATTTGACGACTACGCGCGAGTACGGTCCGTTTCAAGTCAGGGCTACAATCCACTGTAACTTTCTTTAGCATTTATATTTTTGGGTGTGCTTTAGTCCATTCAAAAGCTCTTGAGATTCTCTATCCTTTGAGCTATAGATCAGATCAATGCGGTAGATTTGAAGCAATTTAGAAGCGTTTGTAGTTTTTAGTGCCCATGTCTAATTTCGACGATCAACTCGGCTCCATCAAGTGCTCTCTTCGCTATAACTAATCATTTTTCTTCGAATCTTTGTGTAAATGCTTTTCACGTGAGCTCGTTTGTGATCCATTTTGATAGTGTCTTCTGTGTTCAATAAATGGTTGCCTCTAGAATTGACTGGAACGTTTAAACGTTTAAAACGTTTAAAAAATCCACAATAACAAGACTAAAGATAGGATGCACATGATCAAGACCACAATATAAGACATATTGTTCAACAAATTGAGAAATTATATGGTTTTTGTTAATCATAAATCAGATGGAGATGAGTCAAATCTGCAAACAGTTTACTTAGCTTGATATATTTGACGTTAAATTCTTTCTTATGTTTTTGAAATTTAACATAAAAAGTTTCATTAACTTATCAATAATAAAAATAAAATGCAAGTAACCCCTTTATTCATGTACTTAGTAATTGATTCATGGTGTCGAATGGGAGGCTGGCTTTACGGCTTTGGACTTTGGGCTTTTACTGCGAGAACGAGGTGGCTGTTGATTTGGGTCGTATTGCACAGAGTTCGTTCTGGCTGCGGCCACAAAAGGCTGGTCGTTCTTCACTGGATAGGAGTCCTGAAAGAAAACAATATAACCAATGTTGAGTAAACTATCAAACCGGGTAACTTAGCAAAAGACTTAGGCACTTGCGTTAAACATTGACATCCTTTTTAAAAAGGTGATTTTGTTAAAATGAACTATTCAAATGCCCAAAAAATCAACTCACCGAGTGAACCGATTTGCGCCCATCATCCGATGAACTCTTGTCGAAGAGTTTACGTGTTTCAGCCACCGATTTGGCTCGTCCAGTTTTGACTAAATAATTAAATTACGATCAATTCAACAAACAAACATTTAAACATTTAAAATTCAACATTCAACAAACAAACATTTAAAAATCCACAACTTACTCTCTCCGCTTGTGCTTGAAGAGGTTCTGTGAAGTGGACTGATGGCGGTGATGGTAGACGGGCAAGCAATCGATCCGGAAACTGGCGATTGTTGAGTGATGTCCGTTTTCCATGATTGACGACTCATCGATGCGTGGCTCTCTTCAAGCTTTGGCTTTTTCCAACACTAAAAGTTAACGTAAAACAATACATAATAGAATATTAAGAAAACTTTCACACTCTAAAGAAACCTCTTAAATCAACAATACAAACAATCATTTTTATTCTGACAAGTCTAGAATCAAATCATTTTCATACCATACACACTAGGTCAAAAAACAAAGCTTGCTTAATGAAAAAGTCGTCGAGCACCCTATTTATGGTCACAAAACTGGCAACAAAATCTAACCTGCCAAAGGAGCCATATAATGACAATGATTGTGATGATGATAGCCGGAAGATCATAAGAAGGCATCACTCGGGTTGTTCCCTTCTCGTTGAAGATGAGTAAGATGAAGTCGATTGATGTCACCAACCGACCTGAATCGAATAGAGAATGATAAATGAGGTGACTGTGAAAAAGAAAAAGGCGCGGAAAGGTTTTAAATACAAATTTCCACGTTGAGGGCAAATTAAGTTTAACAGACAACTGAATATCTTTACTTTATTTTTTTGTTTCCTTTTTCGTTTATTTCTGCTCGCCCAAATTTCATATCTTTTTCATCCGATTTGATTTTACTTCAGGTAAATCTGTTATCTAGATATTTTCACACAAATTTTATTCTTTTTAGGATGAATTTGGATATAATTGATGCAATTCTGTTGGTGTTGCTTCTCATCGCTTTTTATTTGCTCGGTTGGATGAGCACCGAGGGAAATCGAAGAGAAATATTGGTCCAGGATGAAAGAAGTGTGAGTTTTTTTTTAATGAATATCACTTTTTATTATGCTAACTTTTTGTATTTTGACGAAAGCATCATCTTAAGTCTTAAGTTTACATTACTACTCTCTATCTAACGCTTAAAATTTAGATTGTATGCAAAAGATGCAGCCAACGAGTTAAACGGCGAAATTGTCTGGTTGATGATGGCCAAAAAGAGAAAGAAAACCGTTCAATTGATTCAACGAACAGCTCTTCAACGATTTATGATACAGGTACTTAAAATCTTAAATGCGCAATTCTTTTCGTAGTTAGTTTTTGTTAAATCAAGACACAATTTTTGTTTTAGCAAGATCTTCAAGCATTAGAATGGCCGTCAAAGCGACTTCCGACGGCGAATTGAAAACGACTCGCGTGAATTCGTCAAGTCAATCAGAAGCCACCAGCCTCGCGGGAGCCAAATACACTCAAGTAGCTTCATTTTTTTCTCACTAATGATTATTTTTGTCATTCAGAACACCCATAAAACAGAAGTGGCTATCTCATCAGAAAGCCGACTAAATTCCATGCCAAATCCATCGGTGTATACAAATGATGTTGAGGTAACGATTTAAAATTTTTGTTTTTAACTTACCCCTTAAATTTAACTTCCCTTATAACTATAAAATACATCTTATTTTAAAGAAAAGCACTTAAATCTATTTTTTTCATAATTCTTCTTCAGGTGTTGCCCGGTCCGATGGTTATTCAGCGTATCAATCGGCCATCTCACTCCACTTCATAATGCTTCATCGAAATCTCACAAGAATTAACGCAATTTTGGTATTTAAATGTTTAAGTAACAAACTTTTTATATTTGTACTCGTTGTCAATCCGCGTTACCCAGAAAGAATCGAATAATCAAAAATACGTATGGTTCCTGCTGAACCTCCGGTTTCAACTTTTATTCTTGTATACAAATTTGATTTTTTCAAAACTTCTTGTTATTCAAGAAGGAGTCCAAAATGTGGAAAGCTACCGATGGCTTGTCGGTGGGAACCATGTGACCAGCACCCTGAAATCAAATTTTCTTGAGCTTTTTTTTTAAAACCTTTAGTCTTTAGCGTAAACATTTAACGTCTGCTACACAAAACTAAGTTCCAATAGCAAAAAAAACCAAAACCAATTTCTGGGACCAAAAGTCCTAAAGAACGTTTGTTTTTAAGGTGAAAAATATTCGAGTTAAAGGTAATTGAAAGGGTATTTTCAATAGACAAACTCTCAATTTGTAGTACTGAACAAACCTTGACAGTGACAAATTTCAGCTGTCCCCAATCGGTGACAAAACCGGCCACTTGCCCGTCCACGTGATAGGATTTCTTGGCGGCAACTTGCTGAATTGTTACTTCATAAGTTTAAACTCATATTTAGTCTTTATCTCTAGAAGGGGTGCCAAGATTCCTTCCAAAATCTCTACATTATGGTATCCTTAGTGACTTGAGATTTTGAAAGAATTCTTGTATCTCTCATCCATAATGTATTATCCAAGTTTCGATTTATTTCGAACTTTACTTTAAGTCCAAGATTTGCGGCAAATCGCTGTCCCATGAAGAAATTGCACGCCATATCGATGTCTCCATAGTACAACATTACCTGGGAATGTGGAATTTGAATTGAAGGTTTTGATATAGTAAAGAGTAATCAAGCTACCGGATAAACTAGCTAGCTAAACTTACCTTAAGTCCTGCGGTGATCGCGTTTTTCACTTGTGGCCCAACGGTTGCATATTGACGGTTATAGTTCTCGTTGAGGTCATCACTAATATATAGGTATATCGCTAATTAGCGAAAGTATGCATTCTTAAGCTTTATTGTTAGTTTACTTGCAAATGCTCCAGTCGGGCAACATTCCAGGAATGCCGAGAACACTGCGCACATCGCGACGATTCAGATATACGGTAACCGCCGTCTCATTCATACAGGGCACAGTACCCAACTGTTTAAATCGTTATTACAATTAGCCAAAGCCAAAGCCAAAATTGTAGTCATCAGTTGTAGCTCAACCCAAAAAAGTGAACTTTCCTACCTCTTCCGGCTTTGGCAATCGACCCATTCGCTTCTTGAAATCCAACGCGAATCTTTTCGGAATCTGGCCCTGATTGGTGCAGTCTTGGTACATGTTGTATGGGTTTAGTCCGCCACCCCTCAAATACAAAATACAAATGTTTTGTATGAAAATCTAACCATGCCGTGTTCGCTGCATTGTTGACAAAATTGCCGCATTGGTCTTGTTTCTGAAAATGCAATTACCCTAAAGTCGCGAGTATAAGTTCTGTTTGGTTTTCGCATGCAAATTGACGGCTGTCTCCAGTGCGGTGCGTCGAGGGTTCGAACCCCGCTGCAGCATAACTTTTTTGCTTTTACAGCTCATTTACAGCTCGTTGTTTTGATCGCCTCTCCAGAACCCATGCCTTCAGATCTTTCTCCACATCCGGCCATTTTGCCCTCAATCCTCAGAAAACTCGATTATTTTTTGATGAACTCATCAGTGCCGGCTCAGCTTGTTTCCAGCGGTTAATCATCTGTTCGGCGACTTCAAATTCGATCGCAGCCGCGTTCGTTCCAAATTTCCTCGCAAATTTGACCGCTTCGAGCTTCGTTTCGGTGGCGTATTAAGGCAGAACTTATACTCGAGACTTTAGGGTAGGTACAGATCTTGATAACTTTTGAACTTCAGGTTCAGGCAGTTTCCCTACTGCCTGAACTGAATGGATTTCTATCAACTTACCGTAAAACTATGATAAGGACAATCGTCAGTGTTCGCATTCGGGCAACATTGCTGTTGAATCTTTTGCCAGGTCCTGTAAATGGTAGAAATTGTGAGCTCAAGTAGGCTGTAGTGAATTGAGCAATAAAAGTTTTACTCACAGCTGATCAATCAATCCGTGCTTGTGCAAGAATTGTATGATCGAATCTGTGCCCAGATCTTCATCAACTAAACCATTTCCAATAGCGAATCCCTGAAATTATTTGATCTTTAGAAGTTTTAGGTGAAATTATAAGCTTTGAAAAGTCTTGTTTACTTTGATATTAATTTGAAATTGACTTTGCCGGTCGAGAATCGTTTGAACCAACGTTGGCACATAGATTCCACCTGAAATTTGTAGATAAATATGGTAATTTTGATGGGCAATTGACTAACAATTGATTTACATTGATTACTTTTTATATAAACTCACCGTACGACTCTCCAGTCACGTAGAAATCGTTCTTTTGATATTGCGAGAACTCAGTGAAGAAAGCTTTCAAAGCATCCCAATTCTCTGAGGCTGTCTAAAAGCTTGTTTTCAAAACACAACCACGTTCCTCGGTAGTATAGTGGTTAGTATCCGCGTCTGTCACATGCGAGACCCGGGGTCAATTCCCGGCCGGGGAGAAAGATTTTTGATTTCAAATTTTTTTGCTTGCTAAGACTTGCTAAGACTTTTTAAGTCTGTTTCTACTCTCCATTTCTAAATTTCATTAACTTTTGTAACCTGATCATCTCCTGTTGAAACATCTCCACTCTTTGACCACGAGAAACCGACTCCTGCTGGCGACTCGAGCACCAAAACGGAAGCATTTCGATTCCACCCATATGGATTTGCTCGAAGAGTCGCCCCATCGGCATTCACCTAAAGATGAAGTAGTAAATGCACAATATGAACTCACAAAGAATGGTCCCCATTCAGTGAGAAGCGCTGAGAGTCCCGAACACCCTGGACCACCCGTCAGCCACAAAAGCACTGGATCGGTGCTGGGATTACTTTGTGACTCGATGAACCTAAAAATGGAGCCAGTATTCAGCCAGCAAGGTTGGAGTTTCTCAAAGTTCTCAAATCTCAATTCAAAGCATTCATCACTGGCGTTTGATTACGTTTTACTCAAATATACTGTAATTTTGAACACTACAACACAGGACTCAAATTAAGCTACCCAAGGAGTTAAATGCAACTGGTTACGTCAGCCACAAAAGCACTGGATCGGTGTTGGGCTGGGAAATGCAAGGGGTTAAATGCAAGGGGTTAAATGCAAGGAGTTAAATGCAAGGAGTTAAATGCAACTGGTTACGGGACTCATTTACTGTACTGTATCTTACTATAGTCCAGTGTACTGTGAACAAGCTCACCAATAATGCAGTTGATGATTCCCATCCGATCCCACCGAATAATAGCCAGAGTATTGCTTGAAATTCGCATTCGGTTGCCCGGGAAGGTTTTGAATTTGAAGGGAATAACAAAACCCGAAAACGGCGCTCAAGACAGCCAAACGGCTCATCATCACCTTAACTTTGGGGATTTAAAGAAAATTTTAATGATTAACAATTCGAATTTCAAAGTTTTCCAGTTCGAAAACGTAATGGGGAAATTTGCTATCAAAGGACGAAGAATTTGCTCTTTCCCTTCCCCCCAAAAAAATCCTCTCTGTGGGAAAAATGATAAGGCAAATTTTTAAAATACAATGGTCTAAAATATAGCTGAAATTTAGAAAAGTTGAAAATAGTTTAAAAAATCAAATTCTATTTGATTTAATTGAATTGAAAGAAAGAAAGAAAGAAAGAAGAAAAGAAGAAAAGAAGAAAAGAAATCAATTGAAAGAATTCTATTTACTTGACTCAAGTCCGTAAAGCTCCGTAAAGCAGATCCGTAAAGCAATGCATAAACATTTAGCATAGCAATGTATAAACATAGATTCCACCGATCTGGGATGCACACTTTGACATTTACAGGAAACGGGCTCTCTTTGCTGCATATTAAAATGAAAGCATAAAAATTGATTTAACTAACTAACTTTAACTTTTTAACTAACTGAAAGTTCTAAAAACAATGCAATTTTGTTTGTTAATTGAATAGCTTTTCATCAATAATGTTAATTTCTTTTGATCAATCTTTATTTTCAAATGGCAAAGTTCTGTTCAAAATTTCTTATCGTTGATGAAAGCATTGAGGATATAGGAGGCAACAGCCGGCTTGTCGGTGGGAACCATGTGACCAGCGCCCTGGAACAAAATAAGTAAAACATATTAGAAGGAGAATCTTATAGCAAAGAGATTATGCATTTTATGGAAATCTCAATCTTTTGTGTAACTCTAGTACCCAAAGTAGAGGTAAACTGGGGGGTAAAATTACATCAAATTCGAAAGTGCTTTCTATTAGTCGAATTCTTGATCATACGTTGATCTCTGAATCTACAAGTTTAACTTTAAAACAACCTACCGTAAATACTGTAATAGTACGCCACCACCCTCGTACAGTCGCGTAGTCGCAAAAGTTTTTTAGTATTTCATTTTTTTCAAAGCACCCGTACTTTCAAAAAATGCGTCTTTGGTGTCAAAAAATAGCTGGAATTCAGGGCTATTTTTTGATACCAAAGATAATGACGGCGCGGAGTGTTGCGTAGTCTAGCTTTGAACGAGTTTTGAACGAACACTGGTTTATGCTACAATGCGCGCTTAGGTATCAAAAAATAGCTGAAATTCAGGGCTATTTTTTGATACCTAAGCGCGCATTGTAGCTTAAACCAGTGTCGAGAAAAACTCGTTCAAAGCTAGACTGTGCAACACTCCACACCGTCATTATGGAGCTGGGGCACTTTTACAGTATTTGCGGTATAATGATTTTTGCAATAGGAAAACCGTTTCACCTTAACTGTCAAGAACTTGAGTTGTCCCCAATCGGTGACAAATCCGCCCACTTGACCATTCACATGATATGATCGTTTTGCTGATACTTGCTAAAGATTAAAGTTTATAGTAAAGCTGTGCATTTTCCAGCTGATTGTCAATAGGTGTACAATGGAAAGATGAGTTTTAACCACTTCAACAGCAACTTTTTCAACTTATTCAGATCAAAAGATAGAGCTTGGAAAAGTCTACCTTTCCTGCAAGAAATCCTGAAAAAGTAGCCATTGAAGTAATCAAATCTCGTTGTTTCGTTGTACACCTATTGACAATCAGACGGAAAATGAACAGCTCTAGTTTATAGTACAGTTTATAGTACAGTTTATAGTACAGTTTATAGTACAGTTTATAGTACCGTTTATAGTACAGTTTATAGTACAGTTTATAGTACAGTTTATAGTTAAACGTACTGTTAGATTGAGATTCGTGGTGAACCTTTGTCCTTGGAAGAAATTGCACACCATATCGATATCTCCATGATAAAGCATGACCTAGAAAGTGATCAATTTCTGATTTGATTTGTTTCTATTTCTGTTTTTTTGTTGTACCTTCAAGCCAGCAGTGAGAGCATTTTTGATTTGCGGAGCCACAGTGGAATATTGCTCTTCATAGACAACACTGATCACATCACTAGAAAATGCACAATAAAAGAATAGCACAAAAAGCACAATAATAAAAGAAGCCGTCAATAAAAGGCGTCAATAAAAGCACAAAAATTAAGATACGGTAAGTGATTTATCTTTTAGATAAGTCTTGAAACTAAAAACTAACAAAACAAATCACTGAATGGATAGACTTGACGGCTAGCTAAGTGCTAGCGTAGCTAATGATAAGCACAGGCCGTGTCAAAAGTCAAATTGATTGCTTAATTGTTAGCTAGCCGTTAGTTTAATTGATTTTACTTTGCTTTTGATCTTGATCTTTATTCTATTTACAGGTAAACTTTCAACCTGCAAGTACTCCAATTTGGCAATAGTCCGGGAATGCCCAGCGCCGTCCTCACATCTCTTCTATTCATGTACTTCTCTGTCACCGAATCGTCGAGACACGGTGTGCCTGCGTCCTAATAAAGCTTTTCAACTATTTTTTTCGACAATAACTTGCTTTGTTTGATTCTAGACTTTTAAAATCCAAAAAAATTGCTTTTTAAACTCACCAAAACATTGGGCTCTTTCCCGAAACGCCTCCGATAGTCGACCTTGAAGCGTTTTGTGCCCGAGTGTTGACAATCCGCGTACATATTGTACGGGTTTATTCCGCTTTCCCTAAAACAATAAATTTACATTCAATGACAAGTATACAAATCTCTTTATCAACTTTTTCATTAAACTTATCCCACCATTGTCTACCCACCGCTTCTTCCATGAACAGTCCGCACCAACCAAGCTGTAAAAATGGTTTGATTCGTTTTTCAATCTATTTCAAAACTTACAACATGTTTATGAAATAGACAGTCATCAGTGTTCCCATTTGTGCAGCATTCCTTTTGCGCGCGTTGCCAATGTCTGAATTGGTTTGAGGCTGGCATTCGTTTGTTAAAAGTTTCATTTTAAGCCTTATTTCATTGCGCCTTTCTGCGTTTCGCCCACAAAATACAATTTTGTGCATATTCTCGTAGCTAGTAGTTTATCGGTTAGCAAGACAAGGCAAAGACAATTGACAGTTGACAGTTTGAGAAAAACCTTATGGTTCCAATATGGTTCCAATATGGTTCCAATATGCTTCCAATATGGTTCGGATACAGTTCCAATACGGTTCGAATACAGTTCCAATACGGTTCGGATACAGTTCCAATATGGTTCGGATACAGTTCCAATACGGTTCGGATACAGTTCCAATACGGCCCCTGCTTACTCTGCTAGACAATTAAACCAGAATGAAAATTTTTCACTCAAAAATTCGTCCTTTCACTGCTTTAGGATGCGCCGATGCTCGCCTACGGTAGAATATACACAAAAACGTATTTTAGAGTACCCACAGTTGATCGATCATGCCGTGTTTGTGCTCAAATTGGATGATTGTGTCGGTGTCAAGGCCCTTGTCGAGCACACCGTTTCCGATTGCGAATCCCTAAAATGTGAGGCCTATTAAGAATGACACCAACCTCATTTAATACGGTTGGAGTACTGGGGATTTTCTTTACAAATTCCTTGTTAGTAAGTGTCCAATTGTAAGTGGTTAGACTGTCAATGAGTCTAACAAAGGAAGATCAAGTGGGCAAGGTGGCCAAATGGCATTCGCTGTAAACCATTCGACGCAGAATTTCACGCTGATTCCGAATCTGCTTTCCGTTTTTGCAAAATGGTTTTCTATAAAAAGTTATACGAGTTTAAAGTTTCGCAAAGGTATTTTCGAACTCAAGTTCAAATTATGATAATTTAGTTTCTAAAAAGCGTTTCAAAAGCACCGGTAGCCGAGTGGTAGTGGGTCAGCATGAGAAGCGAACTGGTTCGACTTCTCTGGTTCGACTTCTCTGGTTCGACTTCTCTGGTTCGACTTCTCTGGTTCGACTTCTCTGGTTCGACTTCTCTGGTTCGACTTCTCTGGTTCGACTTCTCTGGTTCGACTTCTCTGGTTCGACTTCTCTGGTTCGACTCCCCCTTCATCTTTTCTTTTTTCCTTTGACCGATAGAGTAGCGCATATCAAAAACTGAAACCATCATCGGCATCAGAAATTCTGCGTCGAATGGTATATATCACATGCCATTTGGCCACCATGCCCACTTGACCTTCCTTGGGAACAAAGCTTTACATTACAAAATTCAACGTTTGACCTGTTATCGTTAAACTGTAAAGGTAACACGATAAGCTCTGCCTTACTACAGTATGCCTAATCAAGATTTTTAGCCAGTCTATTAAAATAGCTAATAAATAGGCTTGAGAACATAGCTTTTCCATTACAAAATTCAACTCTGACCTTTAAATTAAAGCTATACTGTTGTTTTCGATCCAAAATGTCTTGAACAAGCGTCGGAATGTACATGCCAGCTGAATATCCAATTTTAATTGTTATATTATGGAAAAACCTACCGTACGACTCTCCCGTGATATAGAAATCGTTCTTTTGATATTGGGAGAACTCGGTGAAGAAAGCTTTCAAAGCATCCCAATTCTCTGAGGCTGTCTAAAGGCCTAATTTCAGCCAAGCAAACCGTTCCTCAGTAGTATAGTGGTTAGTATCCGCGTCTGTCACATGCGAGACCCGGGTTCAATTCCCGGCCGGGGAGAAATCATTTTTCTTTTTCGAAAATTTACCCGATTATCTCCAGTGAACAGATTTTGATCTTTCGAGTACGAGTAGCCGACCCCGACTGGGGACTCAAAAATCAACAAGGATGCGTTATTATTCCAACTGTACGGATTCAAATTTAACGTGGCTCCATCAGAATTGATCTAAAGTTATTGTAGTTTGATTTCTTGAAGAAATAAACCTGAAATGGGCCGAGTTCTTCAAAAAGAGCCGAGATTCCCGAGCAGCCAGGTCCTCCCGTTAACCAGAGAATCACAGGGTCAGTTGAGGGATTGTTTTTCGATTCAGTAAACCTAAGTGATGGTATTTATTGTAGAAAAGTGACTTTTACAACATTTCATACAAATTTTAGAAATTTAGCTTGCCTTTTTCTGTCCTTTTTCTATTGCGTTTCTAAAAAGTGAATAATTACAGGAAAGCTACCGTAGTTTTTTTTCTTTAGGTCCGTTCTATTTTTGGTTTTGATTCCATTCATCGAATGATATCAAAAGGAGAGATTACGGCAATACAAATTGATCGTCTTTTAGGAAACAATTGTAAACCTGTGATAAGTAGTGCATAATTTATTGGATTTTTTTAAATTCTATTAGATTCTTTAAGCCAATTTATTCACTAAATCTATTCTGCCTTTTCATTTCCTATCACCGTACAAAACTGACTCGAAATCTCTCACCAATAGTGCATCTGATGATTTCCACTCTCGCCAACACTGTAATACCCGGAGTATTGCTTGAAAGTGACTGGCGGTTGACCGGGAAGATTTGGCACCAAAATTGCGGATGTTAATCCCAAAAGATTGAGAAAAACGAGAGACCAAGCCATTTCTGAAACAAAAAAAAATTGAGTAAAAAAGTTGAAATTTTGAAAAACGGAAGAATTGAAGCGAGTCGATTTTTTTTCAAATTCTTTTTTCACTCAGCCGCTTCACAAAAACGCGATAAGGACATTTTCCGACTTTTCCGAAATTGAAATTTTCCGACAAATCACGAAGATTACTTGGCAGTTGTTTTATTTTAAAATTCAGGAAAGTAAGACTGTACTTTGTGTTCAAAAGCAAAAGCGCAACCTTTCTACTACACTGAGATCTTCATTTTTCCTTCAGCAGCAATAGCAGCAATAAAGAATTCATTTAGAAATTCAGAAAAGAAAATCTGTTCACTGGAGATAATCGGGTAAATTTTCGAAAAACAAAAATGGATTCTCCCCGGCCGGGAATTGAACCCGGGTCTCGCATGTGACAGACGCGGATACTAACCACTATACTACCGAGGAACGGGGTTGTCTTTTGAAAACAAGCTTTTAGACAGCCTCAGAGAATTGGGATGCTTTGAAAGCTTTCTTCACTGATATCAAAAGAACGATTTCTACGTGACTGGAGAGTCGTACGGTGAGTTTATATAAAAAGTAATCAATGGAAATCAATTGCTAATCAATTGATCATCCAAATTACCATACTTGTAAACAATTCTCCTGCTAAAATTAAGCCTTTAGACCTCACATTACAAGTGAAACGTATTAGATTATTTGTTTGTGCTTTCTTGTCTTGAATTTTGTGTTTCTTTTAAATTAAACGATTCTTTTTCTTTTATATTTCTTTTCATAAATACAGATAATGTACAGCAAGATTTAATCACATTTCTTAGAATTTCTTGTTGTTGATAAACGCGTCGAGAATATAGGCGGCGGTGACGGGTTTGTCACCGGGAACGAGATGGCCGGCTCCCTGGAAATGTTGTGAAGAGTTATGATGATTGAGTCATGGAAGATGTGTACTAGTAAATGCTAAGGATTAAGTAGCTACTAGAGATTCTAGATGGCAAAGAGATTCTAGATTGATATTGGCAGAACTGAAGAAAGTTTCAATCCTCCCCAGTTCTCGATCTAAAGGTTTAATATCAGCCAGGCCGAACGTTCCTCGGTAGTATAGTGGTTAGTATCCGCGTCTGTCACATGCGAGACCCGGGTTCAATTCCCGGCCGGGGAGAAAGCTTTTTGTTTTACAGTAGTAAGTACTAGACATGAGGGGTATCGGCGTTGGGACCAACTCCTAAGTCTAGCAGCTGGAAAGTGCAAAGCCTAGTCTGAAGCCAGGATCTTTATTGTAGAAAAAGTGCTGAATATTAAAATCAATCCTCGAATTCACATACCTTCACCGTGACGAATTTCAACTGTCCCCAATCGGTGATAAAACCGGCCACTTGACCACCGACGTGATAGGATCGCTTGGCAGCCACTTGCTAAAGGAATTATTTTGTTTAAATATGTTGTTTCTTGTACAAAGTACAGTAAGCACAGCACAAAGTACAGTAAGCACAGTACGAAGTACAGTAAGCACAGTAAGCACAGTACAAAGTACAGTAAGTACAGTAAGCACAGTACAAAGTACAGTAAGTACAGTACAAAGTACAGTAATCCTATAATATGCAGTAATCGATTTACCGTTAATCCAAGTCCGGCGGTGAACTTTTGACCGCCCATGAAATTGCACGCCATATCGATGTCTCCATAGTAAAGCATCACCTAAAATCGTTGTCTTATAGAATTTTAAAGTTTTATAAAATTTGAAATCAAGCAATTCAGCGATAAATCTCAAAACCTTGAGCCCGGCGCTGAGCGCATTTTTGACTTGCGACGAGACGTTGTCATATTGACGGCGATACTCTTGCGAAACTTGGTCACTAAAATTTACTCTCTACACTCCAGTAAGACTTATTGCGGTAAGATTTATTGTACAGATGCCTTTAATTCATTTCCTATTCACCTGCAAATACTCCACGCTCCCAAGAGGCCGGGCACCGCGAAAGCCACTCGCACATCACGACGATTCATGTAAACCGTCACAGCTGACTCGTTTACGCACGGTGGGGTGCTCAACTAATAGGAAACGATTGGAATTAGTGGTGGAATCTCAATATGCGGTATAGCAAATCTTGTAGAGCTTGGAAAGACGAGTCGAATTGTGTAAAAATTAATTGCTTATGAGCAACAGTTGCTTGTAAACACACTAAAACTAGCTTACAAGTTTTTGCTAGATAATCTTATCGAGATTCCACCGCGAACTCCAACCAGTTCCTTGTAAATAACAGAAATAAAATGAATGGTTCTGTTGGTTATTGTTGATTATGCTGTCCCTGGCTACAGTAGCATAGATACTAGAGTTTATAGGTGTCGACAAATACCGAAATCTTGCCTCTATCTTGCCTGTGTAGCAAAAAAAGGCCACGTTTCAGATTTAAAAGTGTCAGTCATGAAACCAGCCAATTTAATCATAAAAGTACAAGGATATTATTTTTTAGAGAATCTTTTCACCTTGTTTAATGTGTTTTTAAAAGTTTGAACAGTGAAACTTGGGTTTAGAGATTTCAGAGTACAGATTTCAGATTCACTGTAAGATTTCAACAAACTCCGAGCACTATAAATTTGTTGGCCAACTTCATAGACAAATGCAGACAAATATAATTAACCGAATCTCTAGTTTTGCTAACCAATCCCAACCTGATGCGGTTGCACCCCATCGACAGGGCCGAATTTCCTCCTCAAATCGATTTGGTATTGCTGAGCGAGGGCCGAATTGACACAATCACCGTACATATTGTACGGATTCAAGCCACCTCGCCTAAATGAAAAACAAATTTTTCTTTAAACTTTCAACCTACCATGCCATATTTACAGCGTTGTTTACGAAAGAGCCACAGAAATCAAAACCCTAAATAGAGAATTGCTATTAGGTTGGAAAGAAAGTTCTCGGCAAAAGTTTGAACAGTGATTTCTCAAAAATGAAGCCATGAATTCTTTTCAGATTTTTTGATAAATTTTACTGATATTTCAAAAAGTTTTTAACAAAAAAAAATCGGAGTGGGCTTCCGGTAAAAAAAGAGATTTTTTTCAGCGGAAGTGACTTGCTCACTTTTTGAGTGATCAGCCTTTAGACAAGTTTTTAATGGGTTAATGAATAGGCAATGGGTCTCATTCAAAACCTAAAATCAAGTACTTAAAATAGGGAAAATTTGTGATTAAGGCAAATTTTGTGATTAAGGCAAATTAATGCTTTAACTTTTCAAAATGAACAGTATTTTAGCAAACACTCATTGCCAAGAAGATGACACGAGAAAATGATTTTTTTTTAAAATACAGCTTCTTTCTAAAAGAATTTTTGGTCAATAATAGAGATTATAGAGCGTATTGCTCATTTTGTGCTAGCTTTATCTCATAAGGAATCGTTTTTCTGATGCAAAAAGTGAGCTGAAAGCTTAAGCTGGAAAATAATAATTTTTCAAAAATCACTAAAATTTTAAGGGAAAGGTGCATTCATTTCTTGTCCAAAAATAGAGTTTATAGAGCGTATTGCTCATTTATGCTAGCTTTATCTAGCTCATAAGGAAATGTTTTTCTGGTGCAAAAAGTTGAATTCAAGCTGAAAAATAAGAACTTTTCAAAAATCTCATTTTATGCAAAAGCTTCACTCATTTTTTACTCATTTTTTTACGAGTAATTTCTTGGAGTCCGCTTGTAAATAATAGAAGAAAATATTCTTAAATTAGTGGATTTGCTTTTTAAGAAATTCCATTCAAACATTTTCCGAGAATTTTCTTTCCAACTTAATATAAAAGCTCTGAAATCTTTACATTCATGTTATGAAACGGGCAATCGTCCATATTCCCATTTGTGCAGCATTGCGTTTGCGCCTTTTGATATTGCCTAAATTTTGTCGGTCGTAAACGCACGCTTTCTACACAGTCAAGCCAACGAACTTGCTCGGCTTAATTACGCTTAATCGGCTTAATCTCTAGATCTTCTAGATCTCTAGATCTTCTAGGTCTCTAGATCTTCTAGATCTCTAGATCTTCTAGATCTCTAGATCTTCTAGATCTCTAGATCTTCTAGATCTCTAGATCTTCTAGATCTCTAGATCTTCTAGATCTCTAGATCTTCTAGATCTCTAGATCTTCTAGATCTCTAGATCTTCTAGATCTCTAGGTCTTCTAGATCTCTAGATCTTTTAGATCTCTAGATCTTTTAGATCTCTAGATCTTTTAGATCTCTAGAATTTCTCTAGATCTTTTAGATCTCTAGAATTTCTCTAAATCTAAAATTATGACTATAGCTTTTTTTTTCACTAACAGTTGATCAATTAATCCATGCTTGTGCGTGAATTGAACAAGTCCATCCGTATCAGTGTCAGCAGAAACAAGACCGTTTCCAATTGCAAAACCCTGAAAAACAAAATTTACTTGCAAAATTCGAAATCCCAATCAATTTCTTACCTTAATATTGATTTGAAATTGGCTTTGCCGATCGAGAATCGTTTGAGCCAACGTTGGCACATAAACTCCGCCTAAAATTTGTTTACAAGTATGGTAATTTGGATGATCAATTGATTAACAATTGATTTGCATTGATTACTTTTTATATAAACTCACCGTACGACTCTCCCGTGATATAGAAATCATTCTTTTGATATTGGGAGAACTCGGTGAAGAAAGCTTTCAATCCTTCCCAATTCTCTGAGGCTGTCTAAAAGCTTGTTTTCAACAGACAACAGACAACTGAACTTTGGTGAAATTTTGATTGTTAACTAACAAGTTAGAAGTTAAGAAATGAAATGGATACTGCTCGATCAATCACTTTTAATTTTAGCTCTCTGAATTTCTTCTAAAACAAGAAATCATTCATTTAATATTTAGAGAAATCGGTGAAGAAAGCTTTCATTCCTGTTCAGGCTGTCTAAAAGCTTGTTTTCAACAGACAACCCTCGTTCCTCGGTAGTATAGTGGTTAGTATCCGCGTCTGTCACATGCGAGACCCGGGTTCAATTCCCGGCCGGGGAGATTTTTTTTTGGCTTTTGCTTTTAACTGATTACTTTAACTTTAACTTTTAAACCTGATCATCTCCTGTTCGAACATTTCCATCCTTTGAGTAGGAATAGCCGACACCGGCCGGTGACTCGAACACCAGCATTGAAGCGTTTCTGTTCCAGCTGTACGGGTTTAGCGAGAGTGATGCGCCGTCACCGTTTACCTAAATTTAGGCATTGATTATACATTGCTTTGATTAACTAACTGATATGAGTAAATTATGTAAACTTTCCACTACCGTAAATGCTGTAATAAAGCGACCCACTATAGGAGCGTCGCGTACTTCGACCACTTTTCAAACATTTTTTTTAAGAGCTGGTTAATGGTAAAAACATGTGTTATATCTCAAAGATTCACCTATCCCCTCTGCTTTAATTTGATACCTAAGCGTGCAGAAACAAACGTACTAGTGTCGAGATATGAGCATTCGTTTGAGAGTAAACCTAGACTACGCGACACTCCTATAGTGGGGCCGCTCTATTACAGCGTTTACGGTATCTTGCTTACGGTATCTTTTAAAGCTTTTAAGGCTTACTGTGAAAGGTCCCCATTCGCCGAAAACCGCCGAGAAACCTGAGCAACCGGGTCCACCAGTCAGCCACAACAAAACTGGATCAGTGGAGGGATTGTTTTGAGATTCCAAGAACCTTAAAGACAATAAATATAAATCTTTAGCTGAAGTTGAAGTTACCAATAATGAAGTTGATGATTTCCATTTGTTCCCACTGAGTAATAGTCGGAATATTGTTTGAATTTGACGGGTGGTTGATTGGGAAGATTTGGGATGAGAACGGCTGAGGTAAAGCCCAAGAAAATGAGAAATAATGGCAGATGGGCCATTTCTGAAGTGATATTAATTTTAAAAAAAACACAGCACAATCAAAAAGCTGCATAAAGTTTCAATTTGAGTCAAATTTTGGATATAATCTTGATCAGAAGAAGCCAGGAGATCTTGGCAATGTTAAGCTCTTGGCAATGTTAAGCTCTTGGCAATGTTACGCTCTTGGCAATGTTACGCTCTTGGCAATGTTAAGCTCTTGGCAATGTTAAGCTCAACTTATCTTGAAATCTTTAAGGCTTACTGTGAAAATCTTTAAGGAAAAGATGAAAAAGTTCAAGACTTTGCCATTCTTTTCATGTTTAAACCAGATTCTTGTTAATAATCTCAAAGAAATTTCTTACAGTTATGGTTCTCAATTTATGGTTTCACAGAAGAACAAAGAGATAAATTTGATTGAGAGTCGAAAATTTCTTTTTATGTCTATCACCTGAAAATAGAAAAAGATAAGAAGCAGCGCCAAATTTCCGCAAGAAAAACGTCACTGACTGACCCGTTTGAGCAAAGAATAAAGAGCTAAGCCCGAGTATGATAGGCGACGAAAAATGAAGATAAAGTTTGAAATTTGAAACGGAACTTGAAAAGCCTACAAAATCACATCAGAATTCGGAGAAGTGAACTTTGGATTGCGCGTGGAGTTGACTGAGAAGAATATTTAAGGGATTCGCCAAAAATGAGAACAATTACACGATGCAAGATGGAGAATGCAAAGAATTGTGATGATGTTTAGCCAACAAATCAGTTTGCGAAGGTTTATGACTCATAATTTATGAGTAAACGGGTAGAATAGATCACATTTCAAATGATATTAATTATTTAAACTTGTTTTAAAAAAACAAAAAATTTTCTCCCCGGCCGGGAATTGAACCCGGGTCTCGCATGTGACAGACGCGGATACTAACCACTATACTACCGAGGAATGATTGGAGGGGCTGAAAAGTGGCTTTTAAACAGCGTAGAACCGGAAAGGAATGAAAGCTTTCTTCACCGATTTCTCTAAATATTAAATGAATGATTTCTTGTTTTAGAGGAGACTATCGAGGAACGGTGTGTGCTGCTTAAATTAAGATTTTAAAGACAGTAGCCTGTCCTGAAGTGGCTAAAAGCCAAGGCTCTTAGGCCTGCAAGCCAGAGCCCAGCCAAAAATCGAATCAGGGCTTTTTGTGGCCAGGGACCTTAGGGTTTAGTAAGCCAAGTCAGAGCCAGAGCTGATCAAAAGCCAAGCTCAAAAAGGTTTATAGGACAAGCCGGTAGGCCTCAAGTTGACCTTCTGACTTAGCCTTGCTCTTCCTATCATTTTTCAGCTTTAATTGAAGAAAGCTTCCCGCTAGTTTTCGATCTTTCTACCGACATCATCGTACGATGATTCAGCCCTTTTTGTGTTGAAAAGAAATGGTGAGAAAAGTGAAAAGAATGGGAAGTTGAAAGCTTTCACACTGACCCGATGAATGCACCACTTTTCTTTGTGTTTACCTCAACCACGAGCTGTTGCTGATTCACAGAGTTTTCTCGACTTGAGGGGCCTTCACTTTTCTAACATTATTTCAATTCTTGTCCGTTTTTGCTTGATTTTATGCTGTTCATTATGTCTTTACGTATTTGATTCTGGTACTAGTTCGAATTTAGATTTGTTTCTGGGTATTTATTTCATCAAATTACATCGTTTAAACTCTGAAATGATTTATGAAATCAATTCAAAACAAAACTTTGGTTATTTCTAAAATAACAAAGAAACTTTGGTGGTTAGAAGAGTTGGTACTTGTGGAGTATCGGGGGTCTTTCAATATCCGGGGCGGAGGGTAAAATTTTAAGATCCGGTGGGGTAAAATTTTATATACGTTATACACGACCCCTTTTAAAGATATTCAACCGTTTAGATGATTTGGTGGCAAATTCCCTTCAAATGTAAAGATATTCAATTTATTGAGGTTGGTTTTTGAAAGTTTACCCCGGATCTTAAAATTTTACCCCCGGATACTCCACAAGTACCGAAGGGTTAAAATTAGCTTCTCCCAATCATTAAAGTTTCAATTTTTTAATTCAATTTTAAAAAAATCTTTATATCTCAACACCAATTCCGAATGCCGGTAAACCGCATGAGTTTTTGCCAAAAAAAACGTGAGCGGTATTGGTGCGCAAAGAGAAATCAGTAGCGGACGATCCGGTATTTTTTTCTTTTGCGTTGGACTCTTTTTTGTACACAAAAGGAGGAGAACCTGAAAATAAAGAGACCAAGTGGTGAAAAGAAAATCGGAAAACGGAAAACGGAAAAGAAAATGGCCAGATAGACATACCATCGCTTTTGACGTGATTCCATTCTTCTTTTCAAGTATCATTCAACTTTTTTTTGAGTTGAGCTAACTTCAACTCAAAATTCAACTTGCCAACTTTGTGCTGAAATTTCTGAAATCAATTTACTGAAATGCATTCTTTCTAGAGCACTAAAGTCTGATCAAATGTTTTTAGTTACAGTAATCAAATTTACATAGTAATCTATAATAAAAGATCAAAAGATAGTGTGCCAGAAGCTTTACGTTTATAAATTTTAAGCCTAAATTGCTCAAAGAAAAAACTAGGTAGCTTTTTCAAAGAGAAACTTTTTCTAAAAGACAGATAGTTACCGTAATCTTTAGTTTTTAGTTAATGTACTTAGTTGTAAAAGATTACGGTAGCTTCGACATTACTAGAGCATTACTAGCTTAGTAATCTATAATAAAAGATCAAAAGATAATGTTTAAATTATCCACCTTTTATCAGATTACTGTAAGCCAGGCTTTACCAGGCTTTACCAGCCTTTGCCAGGCTTTACCAGCCTTTGCCAGGCTTTACCAGCCTTTACCAGGCTTTACCAGCCTTTACCAGGCTTTACCAGCCTTTACCAGGCTTTACCAGCCTTTACCAGGCTTTACCAGCCTTTACCAGGCTTTACCAGCCTTTACCAGGCTTTACCAGCCTTTACCAGGCTTTACCAGCCTTTACCAGGCTTTACCAGCCTTTACCAGGCTTTACCAGCCTTTACCAGGCTTTACCAGGCCTTACCAGGCTTTACCAGGCCTTACCAGGCTTTACCAGGCCTTACCAGGCTTTACCAGGCTATTGTAAGCGAATGGTTGATCGATTTTTGTAAGGGTTTCACTAAATCCAATCAAATCGAATTGATTTTAACGAATTTGGCCTGTCTCTTCTCATTCTTTCAAATCAAAACCAATATCATTGGCCCACTTGAATCGGGGTCATCTCCATTCCCTTCCCATTTGAGAGTCAATCCACACGTTTCTTTTCTTTGTTCTTTTCCCCTCAATCATTCCCAAATTTGGCTTCTTCTCTCTGAAATCTCTTTCGGAAATCGTATCAATTGAGCTTTTATTTCTAAAGTTTTATCTTTTTTTATAGTTTTAGATGAAATGGACGACCGGGTGACGGCACAACCAGCGATCATCAAAAACGATCTCGAGAATTTGGTAATTTATCCATTTATTTTGTACTTGAAAATTGAAACACACCATTTCTGGTGTAATAAATTTGTCATTTTAATCGTGATAAGTCGGTATCACTTCTTGAGTTCTTGAAAATTGACGAATTGAGTGCACCAGAAAGATGCGTATGCAATTTTTGTGTACAAAGTACATACCGTAAATACTGTAATAGTGCCCCACCGCCATAATGACGGTGCGGAGTGTGGCGTAGTCTAGCTTTGAACGCGTTTTTCTCGACACTGGTTTATGCTACAATGCGCGCTTAGGTATCAAAAAAATAGCCCTGAATTTCAGCTATTTTTTGATGCCTAAGCGCGCATTGTAGCTTAAACCAGTGTCGAGAAAAACGCGTTCAAAGCTAGACTACGCAACACTCCGCGCCGTCATTATCTTTGGTATCAAAAAATAGCCCTGAATTTCACTTATTTTTTGATACCAAAGACGCATTTTTGAAAGTACGGGTGCTTTGCAAAAAAATGAAATACTAAAAGACTTTTGCGACTACGCGACTGTACGAGGGTGGTGGCGTACTATTACAGTATTTACGGTAGTTTATTCTGTTTTCATAGTGATAAAGTGCAAAAGTAAAAAAAATGGCTTTAGGAATCAAAATACGGCTACGCGTTGCTCGGTTTAGATGGAACGATTCACTCGGAAACCCAAGAAACGATTAATGTCGAAGGATCGGTCATCGAATCGCTCACTGTTTGTTTTAAAGATAAAAATTACAAAAAAAAAAAGATACAAAATTTCCTTTAATGAAACTTTTCTTGTACTTATGGGTTGGAAAGGGGTTTAAGCAACTTTATACATTGTATTAGGTTGTCCAGTTATGAATGCGCGCCTGCTCTTAAACAGCGTACCTTAGGGCTATACAATTTTATCAAGCCCTATTCTCTATATGTTGTTCAAGATTTCTTATTTATTACAACTTTTCGTGTTTTTGACGTTAAACTAATTCATTTTTGATTTAATTTCCGTGTTTAGATGACCGAGACGAAGTTTCGTCTTCGTGCCAGTCTTTGGTATGACTTCAAATTGGGCAAAAATGCCGTTGAATCCCATCGAGATCTCTGCAAAATATTTGGCGAAGATGCTATTTCGGAAAGCCAGTGTCGCCGATGGTTTCAACGATTTCGCGAAGGAAATGAATCTTTGAAAGACGACGACCACCAACGACGACCTCCTGCGATCGATAATGCAGTACTGAAGCAGGCGATAGAAATGGATCCTCGACAAACTACACGTGAACTTGCAGAAATATTTAGAGTAAGCCCTCAAACAATTTCCGAGCATTTAAATCAATTGGGGAAAACAAACCGACAAGGGAAATGGGTTCCTCATCTTCTCAGCAATGCCAATAAAGCTACTCGTGTCACTATGGCGGGTATTCTTCTTCGTTTGGCAAAAAATACTGGGTTTTACGATGAAATCCTTACTTGCGATGAAAAATGGATTCAATATGATAATTCTACACGAAAACGGCAATGGCTAGAACCTGGTGAGGAGCCAATACCAACACCAAAACCCGACTTCCATGGCAAGAAAGTAATGCTTACTGTCTGGTGGAATTCCCAAGGCATTGTATATTTTGAGCTGCTTAAACCTGGACAAACAATCACGGGTGAAACGTATGCACAACAATTGGAACGAGTGAACAATGTATTGCTACAAAAAGGCCTTGATCCTTCAAACATAAAGTTCATTCAAGATGACGCCCGTCCACACGTTGCAAAGATTGTTCAGGAAAAACTCGAAGAGTTGGGCTGGGAAACTCTCCCGCATCCGCCATATTCTCCGGATATTTCTCCTTCGGATTACCATTTATTTCGCTGAATGCGAAACCATTTGGCCGAAAACAAATTCAAAGAAGTTCAAGAGGTCGAAAAATGGATAGCCGACTTCTATGCCTCAAAACAAGCCAATTTTTACGCGGAGGAAATTCATTCTTTGCATGGAAGATGGAAACAAATATTGTTAACAAATGGTGAATATATTGTTGATTGAGCTGTTAAACTGTTGGTTTTAAAATAAAGAGTTGTTATCTTAAAAACGCGCATTTATAACTGGACAACCTAATACATAGATCAATTTGAGACTTAGAACTTTAAAGTTGTTGAATTTCAAATGCTATTGATTATTTCAGCTTGTTTTGGTAGGAAAACAAAAAACATTCTCCCCGGCCGGGAATTGAACCCGGGTCTCGCATGTGACAGACGCGGATACTAACCACTATACTACCGAGGAATGATTAGAGGGGCTGAAAAGTGGCTTTTAAACAGCCTAGAACCGGAAAGGAATGAAAGCTTTCTTCATCCATTTCTTTAAATATTAAATGAATGATTTCTTGTTTTAGAGGAGACTATCGAGGAACGGTGTGCGCTGCTGAAATTAAGGTTTTAAAGACAGTAGCCTCAAGGATATTTTTATGATTTATGGCAACAAGCCAGGCCAGATCTAGCAAGCAGCAGGGTTCAAGGACTTTTTGTTTCAAAAATTAAAGATTCCAAATTCATAAGTAAGCAGTTAAAAGCAAAAGAAGTTAAAATCAAAAAGCTTTCTCCCCGGCCGGGAATTGAACCCGGGTCTCGCATGTGACAGACGCGGATACTAACCACTATACTACCGAGGAATAATTTGATGGGCTGAAAAGTGGCTTTTAGACAGCCTAGAACCGGAAAGGAATGAAAGCTTTCTTCATCCATTTCTTTAAAGATTAAATGAATGATTTCTTATTTTAGAAGAAATTCAGAGAGCTAAAATTAAAAGTGATTGATCGAGCAGTATCCATTTCATTTCTTAATTTCTAACTTGTTAGTTAACAATCAAAATTTCACCAAAGTTCAGACAAAAAGCTGTCAAGTTCTTTCGGAGAAAGTTCTTTTCGTTTTCTCTTTTTTTTTTTACGAACGCGGGGAGAATCTCGACGATAAACAAGACAAGCCTTCAACTCCTATTTCGAAGAATTTTCGACGAACATTCTCTACTTTCTATTCTCTACATTTCTAAACTAGTTTTTGGAATTGAAAACTTAATTGTACTTACTTAAAAGTAGAACTTTTAAACTCAATTTACAATTGAACAGCTGTAAATTTGACCGTCCAGCTTTCGTGGCCAATAAACCCTTATCCAAAAGTTTTTTTTGACTTAAGACTTAACTGACTTTTAGATCCAGCATATCCAGACTATTTCCCCAATCGTTCTGTCTAATACTTGAAAAAACACTGGTTCTTTTTGGGGTTGGACCATGAAAGTGAAACCCTGGCCTCCCCTCCCCCCATTTACCCGATTTCTCGCCACTTTTCTCACTTTTCCTTGGCCCACTTCATTTTTGGACGTTTCCGGATCTTTTCTTTTCACTCTTCAAACATCCATCAACAAGTTTTCTTTCAGACAATTCTTTGTTTTTAAAAAATTCAATGATATAGTAAATTTCCAGAAAAAATGCCAGCTCTAGTTCGTTATACTGGGCTTTCAATCAATTCACCGACCCCGAAAACCCCAGGGCACAAATTCACAGTTGAATATCAGCTGAATATTTACAGACCTAAAGAAGAAAAGGAGATTTACAATGCAAAAGAAAAATCCCCATGTAGAAGGGCCTAAGGTGTTGCTCTTCATCTGGCGTCTGGTGTAAGGTGCTTTGCTTTTGGGACCCTCAAAGTTCAGCGACTGAGCCATGGGAATTCAGCGACTGAGCCATCGGAATTCAGCGACTGAGCCATCGGAATCAGCGACTGAGCCATCGGAATTCAGCGACTGAGCCATCGGAATTCAGCGACGAGCCATCGGAATTCAGCGACTGAGCCACGGAATTCAGCGACTGAGCCATCGGAATTCAGCGACGAGCCATCGGAATTCAGCGACTGAGCCATCGGAATTCAGCGACTGAGCCATCGGAATTCAGCGACTGAGCCATCGGAATTCAGCGACTGAGCCATCGGAATTCAGCGACTGAGCCATCGGAATTCAGCGACTGAGCCATCGGAATTCAGCGACTGAGCCATCGGATTCAGCGACTGAGCCATCGGAATTCAGCGACTGAGCCATCGGAATTCAGCGACTGAGCCATCGGAATTCAGCGACAGCCATCGGAATTCAGCGACTGAGCCATCGGAATTCAGCGACTGAGCCATCGGAATTCAGCGACTGAGCCATCGGAATTCAGCGACTGAGCCATCGGAATTCAGCGACTGAGCCATCGGAATTCAGCGACTGAGCCATCGGAATTCAGCGACTGGCTGAGCGTTCTTGTGCCCGCCTTTTGCCCCGAATCCCCCTGGATTGTAGATCTTCTTGTGTTACTTTGATACTTTTCTTTCACAAGCAGTTTAAACAAAAATTTTCCCTAGATTTTCTACTAAACTACCCTCTGCTCTAGTGTTGATCCGTTTTTGCATTCAATGCAACAAAGAAGAATTTGTTGTCGATTTGGTGATTCTTTTGTGTAAGAAGAGTGAATTGGGATCGGGATGACAGCTTTCGGAGAAACGGGCAATGAACAGAGAATGGACAGCTCAATCACGACATTTCATCCCGAGAATCATCCCTTTTCTCCTCCCAAATAGTCTCCTGTTTCAAGAATTCCTCTTGTTTACCAATTCATTAAAGAACTAAATTGTTTTAGGAAATATCTAAGCAATTGAAATGAATTGTAATTTTCCTTTTCCTTTTCCTTTTCCAATTCCTACAATACCTTCAATTCAAAAGCTTCAACTTGACTTTATTTGTTGAGAATTGCAATTCCAAGAATAAAAAAAGAGCTATTCAATGCTTGTTAGAGAATTTTCTTAAAAATATTCAGCTATTCGAGTTTTGTTTCGTTTCTTAACGCAATTTTTACAGTCCTAGTTCAGTTTCGTCTAGATTTCAACCTCTTTTCATCAATTTTTTAGATTCTTCTTTAGATTTTAGAAAATTATCAAGCTTACTGTTTTGTTTAATTCTTATAAAAAAAAATAGCAAGGATTTTCAAGTCTTTTTTCAAGTCAGGAAAATCTTTTTAGAAAAGCCTTTCCCTTTCCTTACAATTTACTGTGTAAACTTCAACTTTGTTCGATTTCCATTCAAGCTGAAATTGAGTTCAAAAAGTTTTAAGAAGTTCAACTTTACAAGGAAATAATCCCCCCGTTGCGGTGACCTTGTCTAGAGATGGAGAACTCAAAACTGTTCTCATAACCGAAGATTCAGCCTTTTTAACTTTTTAATCAAGTTTTTGCAACTATTAATTAACTTTTTATAGATCTAACAAGCCTAAAAATAAGAAAAAATATTTTCAGGGTGAGCTCAAGGAAAAAACCCGCGCGCACAGGGTGACCTCGATTGGTGCGACGCCGATGGCCGAAGCGGGACGCCACAATTCACAGGTTTTGAGAAGAAATTTGAATGATGTAGATGAAAGATCAAAAAACAAGCAATATTATGAAAAATTGAAAATAAAATCATCTCCAAAATGCATTTTTAAGGGCAACCGCAGCCGGGAGCGCTCGGAGACGAATGCCGAAGACACGGGGATTTATTATCCGGAGAGGTGGGTGCAAATTGTTTAGATTTAATTAAAAATTAACATTTCAAAGCATTCAAAAGTGTTGATGTGGTTTATTTTTCAATTTTCCAATCGATTTTCCTTTGGTTTCGTTCACAAAGGATATTGAGCGCTGCTGAAATTAAGGTTTTAAAGACAGTAGCCTCAAGGATATTTTTATGATTTATGGCAGCAAGCCAGGCCAGATCTAGCAAGCAGCAGGGTTCAAGGACTCTTTGTTTCAAAAGTTAAAGATTCAAAAGTTATAAGTAAGCAGTTAAAAGGTACAAAAGTACAAAGGTACAAAAGTAAGCCCATCATTATAGCAGATAGCTTTATAGCTTTTTAGGTAGACAGAGCATTATAGCTTTTTTAGGTAGACAAAGAGAGTAAACTTTCGTTTTAAAATCTTTATTTGATATCAAAGAACAAATTAACAATTAAATTCAAAGCGATTACCATTTTGTCAAGTTGTCAAACGTTTAGGAAAGGCAATGGTTAAGTAACAAAGTAAAAAAAATGGATCAAAAAGAGTTTGGGATCGAGAGGGAATCGAACCCTCGACCTTCTGCTTTCAAGGTAGATGCTCTGCCACTGAGCTATTAGGGCCTTGTTTTAGCGAGAAGAAATAAGAAACACAAAGAAGATAGAGAGAAATAAGCCTTCTCGAGTTCATCCCAAGTTTTCAGAAGACTTTTCTTCAAACTTTTGAAATTTTTGATGCGATTTTGAGCCATTTCTGATAATATTAAGTAACAAAATCAAAAAAATCGATGACAAAGAGTTTGGGATCGAACGGGAATCGAACCCTCGACCTTCTGCTTTCGAGGTAGATGCTCTGCCACTGCCATTATAAAATTCTACAGAACTAATTTACCCAATCTATCATCAAATTTCAAATCCCTTTATTGTCTCTTCAACAATTCACTCTCAATTGCGCACTTTTGGGTGCCAAATTTCCCCCGATAACTCGATCCACAAACATTGAAATGATCCGATTAATTTCGCATCGCATTCACCATTTTTCCAAATTTGCAAGAAAAAGCGCTGACGTGTTGACCAAATCTAAACACAAAGGCTGAAAGGCTTGAATATTCATTTCGTTTTTTTTTGTCACTTTACCTCAATTTTATTACTAAAACTACTCGAATTCTGCATTTTTGATGAATTACCCACACCGTTACTCCTAAATCCTGAAATTCTATACTTATGCCTATCTAGTTCTTGAAAAAGTTGAAATAATTTATTGCTCAACCTTTACAAAAACCTTTTTCACTAACGAACACACAGCCTTTCTTTAGGCCAATCTTTTTTTGGGAGTGTTGAGAAGAAAGCTTGCTTGCGTGTGAACAGATTTCGTCTCTTTTTCTTTCTTTTTTCTTTTTTCTTTTTTTTTCTGTAATCCAAAACCGTCTTCTCGTCTCTTAGCACCTTTCTCCTCTCGTCTTTTAGCAAAAGAAAGAAACGCTTTCCCTGTACTCTTCGAAATCTTCGTGACAGTGTGTGCTGAAATTTGGGGATTTTGAAATAAGGAATGATGCGAATCAAGGTACTAGGCGGATCGTTTTGCTTTAGTTGCTAAGCATCTGTATAATTCTAATCGAATTGACTCACTTATTGGGTATTCTTACTAGGGCTTGAAGGGTAATAGCTCACCCAAGCCATTGTCCCAAGCCAGACAAGATTTGCACCAATTTTATTTTCAGATTCAGAGTTCCGTTTCGATTTTCTATACGTTTAACTTCTTTCGTTACAAATATTTGACCTAGTGCCTTCCCGAGTAAGAAACCCAAGCCATTGTAAAGCTCAGCCATTGTAAGCCAGCCATTGTAAAGCTCATAGTTATCTAACCAATGGTTTATAGCGTTTTGAAAAGCTAAACCACTTTCGTTAGGCCAATTAGGAAGTTGGTGCTAAAATCAACAAATTACTTTAATAATTTAGCTATAGCTATAGCATAAACAAGTTCAAATAGTACTATAGTATAGTACTTTAGCATAAACAAGTTCAAAAGGGATCATTAGAGGATTAGAGGATCAAAAAGATCATTTTACATCATTATATAAAATGATTTATGTAATTCTCTTGAGCTCATGAAAGCAAAATAGTCTTTAATTTTGCTTACGGTCTTGGTTTTTTGCTTACGGCCTTGGCTTCTAGCATATCTTCAAAAATTGTAGCTGTATCTGTATTCCGCAACAAAAACTAGAGTTTTATGACCCACATGAATCAAGAAAACGCTATGAAAGAAGGTGACGATATGGGTGAAACAGGTAGTTCCAGAGGTCCACGTATGGGATGGGTCTGTTAATGGAAAGGGGGAAAGGTTCAAGACCGGTCCAAAGAGAAAGGCGCAGAGGCGATCATCGGAAAAGGGATTGACACACACGACCGACAGACAAAGCCATCATTTTGGGTCTTTTTTTTCTGAGTGTTCTTCCCTCTTGCAATGACTTGGGCACTCCAAAATGGGGACAAGAGAAGGAATGGCCTGTGTTGGAAGTGCCCGAGGGATCTCCCCTCTCATCTTCCACTCAAATCTTTCCCTTTTTATGTTTCATAATTGATTTTTCTAATATTTTTATGATTTAATATAATCTCTTTGGAATACTTATTAAGGAATTAAAAAATGAAGATCTTTTACTTATAAAAATTTAGAAATTAGTCAAGTTTGCTGATTGATTTCAGCTTTGGTAGAACTAGATCACTAATCTGGTAGCTTTGATAGAACTAGATCACTAATATCACATTTAAATCTCATTTGGTTACTAGATTCCTAATGAAATGATACAATTTGTAATCATTTTATTATTTATATACATATATTATCTCAAATATTTGAATATATTATCGCAAATAAAGTTAGAAAGTCAGAAAATCAACTACTTTACCTATCATAGCTGAATATCTTTTCAAATTTTTAAATTCCGATTGTATTCCGATTATATTCCGATTGAAAAACCCTAGACAATGTCCAAGTGGACAGTGGGAAAGGCTTCCGTTTGGTGTCCAAACACACAAACAACGGAAAGGAATCGAAAGAGGAAAAGAGAAAGAAATGAAACAGAAACAAGGAATCTTCTGTTTTTCTTTCTTTTTTCCATTTCTTGTCCTTTTCTTTGCAATTTCCCTTCAGCCGATTTCTTGAGGCGCGAAGCTGCTTTTTCGAGAGAGGAGAACAGCTCCCCAATTCGGGAAGCACACAAAAGCCCCGGGACACACTATTTTTCACTTTTCCACTTTCCCACTACTTTTTCACCTTAGCTGCTCCCGTTCGCACTTTTGTCTCTCTTTGTGTTCGACAAAATGAGTCTGATTTCTATTGATTTATTTTTTTTCTATCGTAACATGGATCACTTCAGGAATCGCTTTATCTATAATTTTATAGAGCTCTGTAGAAAAAGTTAAAGAAGCTTTCAACTCTCAGTTTTGCTACAGTAAACCTGAGTAAGCTAATAAGCTAATAGAAGCTGATAAGCTGATAAGCTGATAAGCTAATTGTAGTAATATTAAGTTAATAATTAGCTGATAATAAGTTAATAAGCTAATAGAAGCTAAGAAGTTAATAATAATAATAATAATAGTAAGTTAATAATTAGCTGATAGTAAGTTAATAAGCTAATAGAAGCTTATAAGCTAATAGTAAGTTAATACCGTATTTGTTCAATTACTATAAAATGGTTCAATTTTAGATCTTTTGCTCTCCTTAAGCTCATTTCTTCGGAAAAAAAACACCTAACGATCATTGACAGTTTACTGTTCTAATTCGTTCAACCGAATCTTTTTTCAATTCAAATCTAGTTCAGACACAGTATTTTTAAGCCAACCGTTATTGTTTTTTTAACCAATCTTTATGTTCATCAGTTCATCTTTTATATAAATATATAAAAGATGCTAATAGAAGCTAATAGTAAGTTAATAAGAGAATAGAAGCTAGTAAGCTAATAGGAGATCATAAGCTAATAGAAGCTAAAAGTAAGTTAATAAGAGAATAGAAGCTAGTAAGCTAATAGGAGATAATAAGCTAATAGAAGCTAATAGTAAGTTAATAAGCTAATAGAACCCAATAAGCTACTAGAAGCTAATAGAACCCCATAAGCTAATAGAAGTCAATAAGTTAATAGAAGCTAATAGTAAGTTAATAAGCTAATAGAACCCAATAAGCTACTAGAAGCTAATAGAACCCAAAGAGCGTTAATAAGCTAAAGAACCCAATAAGCTACAGAAGCTAATAGAACCCCATAAGCTAATAGAAGTCAAAAGTTAGAAGCTAATAGTGTTATAAGCTAATAGACCCAAAAGCTACTAGAAGCTAATAGAACCCCAGTGAGCCAATAAGTTAATAGAAGCAAAAGTAGTTAATAAGCTAATAGAACCCAATAAGCTACTAGAAGCTAATAGAACCCCATAAGCTAATAGAAGCCAATAAGCTAATAGAAGCTAATAGTAAGTTAATAAGCTAATAGAACCCAATAAGCTAATAGAACCTCATAAGCTAATAGCTAATTTCATCTTTTATATAAATATAGAAAAGATAAGCCATTTTTAGATTAGAAATTTAGAGCGAACCAGATTTAAATCTAATTTAATGAGTAACTTTTGAGTCCAAATTCTTTGAGCAATAGATAATTTGTTTTATCTAATAGATTTTCTATATTCTATCCTTTTTCTTTTTACTTTTTATTCTATTGTACTTGATCGAAACTTTCAGAACCGAAGCCAATCAAAAAAACAAACTTTTTTTTCTTCAAACGATTGGCCACCCACTTCAACTGCAACTTTTTAACTAAAAATTTCTAGAAACTATTCTATTATGATCTCAGCGTTTATTCAATTCATTCAAATCATCTTTTGACCTGAATACTTGGTCAAAAAAACGAATAAGCAATGATGACCCTTGATCCGAGTCGGATCCCGACTCGACACCATTCAAACGATCAAATAAAAGACGATCAATCCTTTCCGAAACAAGTTTAAGAGTTTATTTTTGAAATTTTTAAACGATTTTTAGGATACTTATTATTTCACGACTGGTGGCGGGGATTCACCGGGCAGTTCCACGCAAAATCCACCTATCTCAGCGCACGAGGAAGCGAATCAAATACGCGAAAATATGAAAAACAAAGAATATGAGGCGTCATCCTTGTACGGGATTTGGCTTTTAATAGACTTGGATTTAGATTTGAATTTCTTTTATTGTTCTTTCTAACGTTACCAGAGATTCATCTCGTGTTCTCGTGGATCTCGGCATTGAGCTATCAAAAAGATCCCTACTTAAGATCTGATATAGCAAAAGTACTCGATTTTATAAATTATTCGATATCTAACTTAGATCTTTCCTCAATTAGATTTCTTCTTTATTGTGAAATCAAAAGATATTAAGTTAACAAAAGTTAAACTGAAATCTGCTTACTCAATCTTGGTCAAAAAAAAAAGTTCTTTAAACTTCTTCAAAATTTTATATGATCAATTTTATTTTAAAGTTTATTTTAAAGTTTATTATATAGTCCCTTAAAGGCTTAATCTCACAACTTTTTTTTGCTATTTTTTGTTTTAGAATAATATCATTTAAGATGAATACCTAAAAAGTCTCTTGTCTCCTTGTACTCCTATCCATTTGTTTATCCCCTCTTCTCAAAACCACATCAACACTCAACCCAAAATGAGTTGACAAATAAAAGACGAATCTTTGATCTAGAAGTTAATTCAAAAAATCTATCCAAAGGGATTAATCAGGTTTAAAAAAAAAAGCTCAAACTTTTAGCACAGCGATCGAGGCGAAAGGATGGGATATCTTTCGATTGTTGCCTCCACCACCCGACAAACTCGGCCACGGTATGAGGAATTTTGGTTTAAAAAATTGAAAATTAGAGCTAATGTGCTTCGAGTTTTGACAATTTTCTAGCAGCTTTATTTCCTGGCTCAGATTATTTATTAAATTGTAAGCATGGATCAAACCGAGCCGCCTGTGATCAGTAAAGCTAGCTCAGACTTGACTAGGTGCCCTAAACGTGTGATCAAAGGTCTCCCAAATAAATTTCCACTAAATGTTGGCTGTTTGAATGGGAAGAACAAAACCCATATATGGGAAGAACCAATAATCTAGCTGGCAGGATTGAGCCCTTGACCTCCCGACTAAGATACGGGGCTCTTAGCCAGTCAGTCATGGTGGCAAATGTTGGAAAAGAAGGAATGCGAGCATAGAGAAAAGTATTGGCAGTCTGGGTCACTTGCGCCTAGCACCTAATTTAGGCCGGACGTTCCTGTGGCACTGAGACATGAAGAAATAATGACGAGAGCTCGGGAGGAGACTGTAGAAGATATTCAAAATATGAATATCTTCTAGAGAGTAAACACAAAAAGGGGTATAAAACGGCGAATTGGCGTTGTTGTTTAACCCAAGATTGAGCTGAGCTAGCCTAGTTGACATTGAGCTGAGCTAGCCTAGTGGACATTGAGCTGAGCTAGCCTAGTGGACATTGAGCTGAGCTAGCCTAGTTGACATTGTGCTGAGCTAGCCTAGCTCAGACCCAGGATGCCAAGACCAGATGCCAAGCCAAAGTCAGAAGTTAAGCCAAGATTGACTTCTGACATGAGCTGACTTGGACGGATCAAACTTGGACCACTTGGACTTGACTTTTAAAAGATCTCTAACTGTAATCACTTTCAAATCCCAATCCGATCAAACTTTTCTCACCCCGGAAATGGAATTGCAATTGTTTGAAAGGTACTCGACCTCTTTTTCCGATTGACCGAAGCTTTTCATGTTTTTAACAAGGAAAGAACATTTTGGTCGACGCGCGTGTAGAATTTCTTCGGTATTACAGAAGGAAAAGACAAAAAGAAGAAAGAGAAAAGAGGAAGAATGGTATCGGGGAGAATTTGAGTGGGGCGGAAAAGAGAGCGGACAATCCATGGAACATGCAATGGATTGAATCGGTTTTTGTGTGTTGAAACATTTGGAAAAGTGGGGGAAACTTTGAAAAATCTAGGTTTAGCTTCTTTAGAAGTCAATGAGTTTTCTAAAGCTAGCGTCAATATTTCGTAGTTTCCAAAAAAAAAAAGCATTTAAGTTTAACATTAACATTACTCAAAACGATAATCCGCAAATTTTACTTGATCATTTTGATTCACTTGATCTATTTGATGACTTATTGAACTTTTAAAACCCAATAAATATTAGATTTAAAATCTGGTAGGATCATAAAAAAACCATCAAAAACCATCAAAAACCATCGAAAACCATCAAAAATCAAAAAACAAAACATTTTGTACCATCAAAAATTTGGTAGATCTAAGGTGCCATTTCTTTGTAAAGCTCTTTTTTGAAATTGAAATTAATATTATATTAAGTTAGATACAGTACTGGACAATGAAATATCATATTTGAAAAACGATCGTCACTTTCGCGCCTCTGTAACTCCCTTGTCTTTGAGCTTAAACTATTAGTGTTATACATTTTCTGAAAGCTCTTTTCAAGGGCTACACAATGGTAATATTAATATTTAGAAATATGGTAAAGACAATGGAGTTACAGACGCGCGAAAGTGACGATCTTTTTTCGAATATGATATTTCATTGTCCAGTAGTGTATCTAAGCTATCTGTGAACAAAGAAAATAAAGATAAATCCCAAAAATCAAAATCGTTTTAGGTTTCTGGCACGATGCTTCTCTGCAAGTGCTCAAATTGGGAACATTCGTTGTGTTATTTGCCTTAACATTGATCACAGCCACTGTCTCAAAAACGACTTTTCTTTTGATGACATCAGCGATTGGATGGGCTGGCAAAAATATGACTATTTGCAATGATCGATTACCGGGTTTGTTACCGAAAGTTGAACCTAATAGATTTGGATACTTTGACCATTTCTATTTAATTTTCTTTTTCTATTTTCTATTTCAAATTTCAGAAGCTCCAATCAACACTGTGGTTTTGTCAAATAAACTGGTGGTGAAATGGGTTTGGGCTGTGTACTTTGCGGTGATCGCTCCCGAAGTGATTTGCTTCATTCGATCATTTCATCGAACACTTTTCCGAAATGTGAAACGACCGACGATCTTTCAATTTGTGGCGGTTTGTGATAGAATTTAAATGATAAAATTTAACGAACGAAACTTAAACTAGAGTAACTGAACGATTCATTTCGAAAACTTTACTCATTATGAACTGAGAATTCTAGTTTAAAAGCATGTGAAAGTTTAAATGAAAGTGAAAATGAAAATGAAAATGAAAATGAAAGTCTAGGTTTTTGTGGTTGAGACACTGCACGCATTAGGAGTCGGCACACTCGTTTTTCTCGTTTTGCCTGATTTGGATGGAGTTACAGGTAAGATTTTTTAAATTTAAAAGAAGATAAACTTTTTAAAAAGATCAATTTTATAATGTATATATGTCGTAGCTGTTTACGAAATTCAGCCGCTAACGAATTATTCTTTATCGGCTAGCCTTTAACGAATCATTCTTTATCGGCTAGCCTTTAACGAATCATTCTTTATCGGCTAGCTTTTAACGAATCATTCTTTACCGGCTAGCCGTTAACGAATCATTCTTTATCGGCTAGCCGTTAACGAATCATTCTTTATCGGCTGAATTTCGTAAACGGCTACGACATATAGATAGATAGAAAACATTTTCTAAACCAAATTTCTAATAAAATTCATTTAGCGGCAATGTTGACAAACGCGGTGTGTTTTGTGCCGGCGATAATGACGCTTTTGTCGAGATCAGCCAGCAAGGTGAACATTTTTAAGCAAAAAAACGCACTTTTGTTGGTTAAAAACCATACTATAGTCGAAAAAGAACTCTACATTATCTTTAAATATCTACAGTATCTACAGTATGCAGAGGAAAGTCAAATACCTATTTAGCTGACTGCAATCCTTGTTCTTGTCGATATTGGCGCCATCGCGGCACAAAGTAGCGGTTTTTGGGCTTATTCGGTGAGACTTTTTAAACCATTTGTTCTTTTAAGCTTAAATTCTATAGAGTATTCAATATTACTATAAACACTGTAATAATTCCCCCTCGTAAAGTCGCGTACTAAAGTTTTTTTTTGTATTTCATTTTTTAAAGCGCTTGTACTTTCAAAAAATGTGTCTTTGGGATCAAAAAATAACCCTGAATTTCAGCTATTTTTTGACACCTAAGGGAACATTGTAGCTTAAACCAGTGTCGAGAAAAACTCGTTCAAAGCTAGACTACGCGACACTCCGCACCGTCATTATCGGGATGGGGTACTATTACAGTATTTACGATAGATTTAAAGCTCATTTTGTATAAGTTTAATGCTAAAAAGGCAATAAACTTATCAATAAGCCTAACGTGAACAACTTTAAGTTACTTTTTTTCAAAATTATTGCCCTTTGCGCTGTTGTTTGTCTAGAAACGTCTGGAAACGCTAGAAAGTCGGATAAATTGAGTTTATCACAAATTCTCGTTAAGTTTTCTTGAGAAAAACAAAACTAAAATTTGATTCTAGTATTTTTAATGTCCCGTAGATTCGAAAACTGTTAAATAGTGAAGACTTTCTCATCGTTAAACAAAAACAACTAGTGAAGTTTGGTCCTAAGTGTTAGTGAGCTTAAATTTTGTTACTAATTGATTGAGTACTAAGTGTAGTTGAGTTTAAATTCGATTTCAGATGCTATTGCCATCAGTTCAAAAGCACGCGGTCACTATTCCCGTTTGCTTGACGTTGATCTCGTTGGCGTGGTGGCAGAATTTCGTCTCGACCAAATCGATTTTCCCGCCGATTCGCGCGTTGGCCAGGTTGATGGAGTTAATAAAATGTTTCTAACTTTCTAAAGGGTAGAAAAGGCTATCGTACTTTGATCATTCGGATTTTTATGGTTATTGGGGGGATTGATCAATTATCGGGGAGGGGTCGAGTTTTTGACAATTTTACAGCCCGATTTTAGATAGGTTTTTGTTGATAAATTTTTAATTAAACAAATAGTTTTTGAACGCTGATGTTCTAAGCTATCTAAATATTATTAAAACTTCTTGATCTGACAAGTTTACAGCGATTAAAAATGAACGCAAAGTAAAAATAACCGTAAAGAGCCGATCATTCTAGTCCGATCGTAGTCTGACCATTTTTTTAAAATGAAAACAAGAAAGTAAAGAAAGAAGACGCTTTAGAAAGGCTGGATTAGCATTTTCAAGTGTATTTCTTAACTTTTGGCTTAACTTAACTTAACTTAACTTAACTTAACTTCTTAACTAAGACTGGGAGTAAAAAGAGTGGATCCTTTTGATATCCCGCCATCTCTAACACCCCGACAACCCAACTCAACTCCTCCGACGTATTAGAGGGAAGTCCCTGTGAAATGACCGACCTCAACTGCAGTTGCATAGACCCGGAAGATATACATCTTTATTTACAGTAGTACGATAAGACGAATAGATTACAAATGAGTGTAAGGGGAAGGGGGACTCCAAATGAGAGTCTCACTTGTCCTCCTAGGCAATCACAAGGACCGCCCATTCTCGGCAATAAAAGGGATAAGCACAGGGGAGAACACATTTGCATAAGAATAGACAAATCATTCAATACTAACAATAGTAGCTAAAATATCCGTTTGGCTCGGAGCTGACCGTCAACAATTCAAAAAAAATAAACCAATTTTTTAGATTCGCTTCGCATCTTTCCGAGAAACGCTCGAAAACCTATGCTTTTGTGTCAATTTGGAAAATGATAATCTATCTGCTTTGCGTCTTTTTCTTTATCGGATCCAGGTAGGCTTCGGTTTTAATAGTTAATAACAAAAAAAAAACCTTATCTACTCACTTATCTATATTCTTTTAGAATGCCCCACAAAACATTATTCCATTCGGATCCATTCGAATCAAAGTTGATCACCATCACGGGACATTCAATCAATGAGACTCAAATACAATCATTTCTTCATCGAATGGAAAAGATTCAATCAGGTGGAAGAAAGTTTAAAAAATTTCTTTTAACAATCTTTTAACAATCTTTTGACAATGTTTTAACAATCTTTTAACAATTCTTTTTATTCTACAGGTATGCCAAGAGATGATTATGATGACGAATCAGAAAGAAGCTCAAAAGGAAGCAAAAAGAAAAGTACAAAAGCACCGAAAGATGTGCCTGATGCAGGGCCAGTCGAGATCGAATCGGATGATTATGAAAAGTGAGAAGAATACTGTAAAGAAAATGTTTAACTTATTACCAAAGTGTCTAGTGTTATATAGAAAAAGAAAGTCCTTAATCTTGGCATCATTTATCAACAAAGAGCTTTCCGATTGGAATTATGAAAATGATTTTAAAAGCTCGAGAAGCCGAGCTCTTCTCTCCAGCGATCTGCCATAGAAAGCTTTAGTTTAAGATCTAAAACCTAGCTTGAATATCTTTATTCTTTATTCAATTGAATATTCAGTTTGATTTTTAATCCATCATTCACCGTATTCGCACCAAATCGGAACCAAATTGGCTGATTTTGACTTTGACACTTTTGACTGATTCCAAAAGATACCGAAAGATACAAATGTAAAGAATATATTGTAATCGAAAAGAATGTAAAGATAAAAAAGTAGATAGATTGGATAAAAACTACACCGCGAATTATGGCGACATTTTTTCCGGAAAAGTTGCTGGCAAACGTTTGACTTATTATCAAATTGGAACCAAATCGGAACCAAATCGGAACCGTATCGGAACGAACCAAGTCGGACCGTATTCGCACCAAATCGGAACCAAATTGAGCCCAAGTGTTATATAGCAAAATAAAGCCCTTAATCTTGGCATCATTTATCAACAAAGAACTTCCGGATTGGAATTTTACAAATCATTTTACAAGCTCGAGAAGCCGAGCTCTTCTCTCCAGCGATCTGCCACTTTTCTTAATAAAAAAGAATTGTTTAAAAGTTTTTTTCGATATTTATTTGATGAGAAAATAAGATTTAATATTATTTAATAACAATAAGAATAACAGTAAACTCTTTTATTAAACTTTCATAGCCAAAATTCGAGTTGATTTCTGGGTTTATTTAAAAAAAAAAAAGAGAAAATTGAGCATTTTCAAATATCCATTTGACAAGAAGATCTTGCTGTATAAGCTTCTCTAATATTCTATTTTTGTTGAATACTACTTTTAAAGGAAAATCCAACAATGTTGATTAAAGGAATCTCTTTCTTAAAATTTTAAAAATTTTTTTTTTTTTTTTTTTTTTTTTTTTTTTTTAAAAAAAAAAAAAAAAAATTTTTAAAAAAAAAAAATTTTTATATTTTTTTTTTTTTTTTTAAAAAAAAAAAAAAAAAAAAAAATTTTTTTTTTTTTTTTTAAATTTAAAAAAAAAAAAAAAAATTTTATTTTATTTTTTTTTTAAAAAAAAAAAAAAAAATTTTAAAAAAAAATTTTTTAAAAAAATTTAAAAAAAAAAAAAAAAAAAAAAAAAAAAATTTTTTTTTTTTTTAATAAAAATTTTTTTATATTTTTAAAAAAAAAAAAAAAAAAAAAAAAAAAAAAAAAAAAAAAAAAAAAAAAAAAAAAAAAAAAAAAAAAAAAAAAAAAAAATTTTTAAAAAAAAAAAAAAAAAAAAAAAAAAAAAAAAAAAAAAAAAAAAAAAAAAAAAAAAAAAAATTTTTTAAATTTTTTTTTTTATTAAAATAAAAATAAAAATAAAAAAATAGATGTAAATTTTGTGTATCAAAAAGTATCAAAAAATGGCAGATTGCCGGTGAGAAGCCGAGCTCATTCAAGAGCTTGTAAAATGATTTGCAAAAGTTCAATCGGAAAGCTCTTTGTAGACAAATGATGCTAAGATTAAGGGCTTTATTTTGCTAGATAACACTTGGTTCCAATTTGGTTCCGATTTGGTGCGAATACGGTCCGATTTGGTTCGTTCCGATACGGTTCTGATTTGGTTCCGATTTGGTTCCGATTTGATTCCAATTTGATAATAAGTCAGACGTTTGGCAGCAACTTTTCCGGAAAAAATGTCGCCATAATTTGCGGTGTAGTTTTTACCCAATCTATCTACTTTTTTATCTTTACATTCTTTTCGATTACAATATATTCTTTAGATTTATATCTTTCGGCATCTTTTGGAACCAGTCAAAAGTGGATAAATTGAATAGAAATATGAAAAATCTACAGTAGTTTTTGAAAGCTTGCACGATGGATTAAAAATCAAACTGAATATTCAATTGAATGTGGTTGATCGCTAAGAATAAAGATATTCAAGCTAGATTTTAGATCTTAAACTAAAGCTTTCTACTTGAAGTATTGGAAAGAAAAACTTTAGAACCCGGAGAATGAAAAGAGCCGCCGCGAAGCCGGAAGAAGAAGAGGATCTCCCACCGCTGTTCCAGGTACAAAAAGAGTTGTAACTTCAAGTACTCCCTGGGCGTCACCCTAAATTCCTCGAAATCTCGAAAGCCACTTATCAGAATCTATCGAAAATGTAGCTGACGATGAGATCTTTTGGGGGGATTAGAGTGTTGAGTCTCTGCGAAAAGAAACCGTAAAATAGTCACCAACTCGACTCGGCGTGCAATACTATTATGGAGAAAAACGGTATATTATTTTCTTTGACAGGTCTACGATAGCCACGTCGAGTTGAACATGTTCACCACTCCGTACGACGCTTTCTGGATGTGGTGTCTCCAGATGTTCACCGTTGTCATGTGCTATCAGTCGAGCAAATTCGCGTGCAAGGTTTTAATCTAATAGTTTTCTTAAAAAAATCGCTAATAGGTGATGATGCAAAGGCTTGGCTTTGCTCTACCGATGGTCCTCTCTGTCCCATGTACAGTACTCCTTTTAACGCAAGCCTGTGAATTCAGACGAATGAGCGCTTGTCATATGGTGAAAACGCTTGGATCAAGGGTGAGCTTAAAAATCATATAATATTAGGTTGGTGCATTGAAAACTTGCGGAACTTTGAACTAAAATTTATTCAACATAAAACGATCAATTCATTCGAAATAATTTCCATTATTATTGACGACTTCTGCCCATTTTACAGGCAATTTGCGGATTCCTCTTTCGTAGTAGGAATTTTTGACTGCTTCAAAGTGTTCTCCCGCAAGCTACTCATGATCCGGAATAAATAGTAATCAAAAGGGGCGAGGTCCGGACTGTATGGGGAATGCGCCAAAAGTTTCCAAACAAGGCTATTTATAATAATTTCCATTATTATTGGCGACTTCTGTCCATTTTGCAGGCAATTTACGGATTCCTCTTTCGTAGTAGGATTTTGGCTTGTGTGTGAGACAAGTGTGAGACTCAAAAATGGAGGACTGGAGACTGGAGACAAAAATGGAGGACCAGTTTGAGCACTTTCTTCAAAAGAAACCCATTTTGGTGTCAATAGAAAAGTTGTAGAGAATCAAAAATCAAGCTTATATCCAAATTTTCAGAACGATTCAAAAACTGGTTTCCAAGAAATGCCAAATTTACGAATTTCCACAAAACTTGCATTTTAAGCGAAACTACAAAGTGTGTCTTTTTGGAAATTTGGCTATAAGCCTAATTTTTGATTCTCTACAACTTTTCTATTGACACCAAAATGGGTTTCTTTTGAAGAAAGTGCTCAAACTCTCACAAATGACAATAGCCGGCAGTTTTCAATTCACCAACCCAATATTTATTAGCTAAAACATATCTATCTCTATTTCTTCTCTGTTCCAGGAACTTTTCTGGTCTTGTCCTCGTATTCACGGCATCACTGGTCTCTTCTCATCCACACAAGCATGGATCTGGTTGGCGTGGTTGATCTCGCAAGTCTGGGTTACCATTCATTTGTGGAATCCGAAGCATGAGAGATTGGCGAAGAGTGAGAAGTGAGTAGATGATTAGATTTGTCGTTTTGTCTCCAAGAAAATCTCAGATTAAGGACAAAAAGTCAAAGTATTTTTTATGATAAATTTTCTAAAATTTAAACCCTTAAAACCCCAATTTCTAGGTTGTTCATTCTTCCCTACTATGCAGCCGCTTTCGTCGATCAATCTTTGGCTTTCAATAGGCGACGAGATGATAAAGCGAAGATCAAGGCTGAGGTGAGGCATTGTAGATTACGAACAAAGAAATTAGAACAAAGTTATTGTACATTGTACACCGTAACATTGTACTGTAAGATAGCCTCACCTAGAGTCGACTCAGTAGTTCAGTATTTGCCCATAGACATCAAAACCAGTACAAATCCTTACCGAGCTCAAAATTCGCTAAACTTTACTCATCGAAAGTTCTAAATTAGTGCCTATCAAGTAAAAACAAAGTTCAGGATCTCGATTTCGATAATGAGGACTCATCACTGACGTATGAAACGATCCCAGGCAATGGTGGGGCTCCAAAAGCTCCGCCGAGTGTTTGCAGTCATGGGAGCAGTCGGCTAGCTGATGGATTGATACGGTAAATGCAAGGAGAAGCTAAGAATTTAGAAGTTTACGTTAAGAATAAGACTTTTATGTCATAATTGTTAACTCAAAAGCCATTGATTGCAGAGATGCCGCCTCGACAGCTGATGCGATTACGAAAATCTACGCGTGTGCAACAATGTGGCACGAGACGGCTCACGAAATGACATGCATGTTGAAGAGTATCTTCAGAATGGATGAGGATCAGTGTGCGAGAAGGAATGCGCAGAAATATTTCAAGGTGGGCGACGGGAACCCAGCTCTGATGGGGACACTGGGAATTATGGATGCTTGCTAGGGCTTTTCATTGTTATTTTCGAATCCAAATTCTATTTGAGCATTCGAAATTCATTACAATCTTTCTATTATATTATAAAAGCAATACTGATAACCAAGTCTAACTTCTATTTAAGGTGATCGATTCGGATTACTACGAGTTCGAAGCGCATATCTTCATCGATGACGCCTATGAGACTAATGAATATGGAGAGGTTGGTAAAAACTGGATTACATTTAAAAAAAGATTAACGAGAGAATAAACTAGTAATTACTAATGAATAAATGAATTCTAATAACTAGTAATTTCTATAATAATTCACGTAAATTTCCAGCCAGTCATCAACAAGTTCGTCAAGCAATTCGTCGAAGTGGTCGACCAGGCGGCGAGGTGAGCTAACAAAAAAAGGATGCAAATAAGAATACAAATAAGAATACAAATAAGAATACAAATAAGAATACAGATAAGAATACAGATAAGAATACAAATAAGAATACAAATAAGTAAAAGAATTGCTATAAAGATAAGGACTAGAGCTAGAGCTAGAGCTCTAGCTCTAGCTCTAGCTTAATGGGTTACTCAGGCTAGAGTAACCCATTAAATCTCGATTTTCAGCTGTGTTCATCAAACGCAAATGCGGCTGAAGCCACCGAAAAAGATCAAAACACCATATGGGGGAAAACTCTCATATATTTTGCCGGGAAAGAACAAAATGGTCGTCCATTTGAAAGATAAGAACAAAATTCGACACAGGAAACGATGGAGTCAAGTAAGGAAATGGGAGAATTTCGGAGAACAGAATGAGAATTTCAGGTCATGTATCTGTACTACCTGCTCGGCTATAGACTAATGTGCAAAGTGGAGGAGCAAAATCGGAAAGAGGTGAGCAGAGGAAATGACTTTTATATCATAATAAATCTTTCGCTAGAAAATAGAAACATAGGAAAATGGGGAAAATGGGAAAATCCCAACCCGAACCCAATGCCATTTTCGTTTTCTTAGCGGATCGTTCTGAAGTTTAGTCTACAAATATGTCTTTTCGTTCCTTTTCAAACTTTCGTTAAAAAATAACAAATTCACTAATTAATCTATGGTTTACTCTAAATAAAAAAAATGCTTATTTTTCAATTTAAGTATCTTTCGTCTTTTTAAGTCAATTTGGATTCATTTCCTAACAAATTCGTGGGTGAAAACACATGAAACATGAAATCGATACAACGAGATGTGATTGCTTTGTACTATTAAGTTGGTGAATAAGTCTTTTCGTTCCTTTTCATATTTTCGTTAAAAAAAACAAATTCACCAATTAACCTATGGTTTACTCTAAATAAAAAATGTTTATTGGTCAATTTCCCATCTTTTTAAGTCAATTTCGGTTCACTTCCTAGCAAATTCGTGGGTGAAAGCACGTGTTTTTCATAAAGACCCATAAAAGCCTCTACGAATAAATTGGCTGAATCAATTTCTCTGAAAATTTCGCTATATACCAAACGTTTTGTGCTCTATCTTTTATCTATTGACACCAAGATCGATTTCCTGAAGCTAAAGTGTCTAAATCGCATCATCAAGCCGTCACCCTTCTTTTGACTACCCGACTTCTCGTCCCCAAAAAAAAAAATGCAGAAATGAGACATTTGAAACCCGTTTTAATGTTATTTTGCAGAAAAATTATTGGCCTTTCTAATGAAACAAACCGTAGTTCAATTGATGTATTTGTTGGTTTTAAACGAAAGTACGAAAAGGAACGAAAAAAATAAAAAAAAAACATTTGCCAACCTAAAAGAAATCGACATTGTCAACTTGAAGACGAAAAATTTGCGAATTTTTTCTTGTCTTTTCTTGTTCTTTCTTTTCTTTACAATTTCTTTTTAGGTGATTTCGGAAAACACATTCATTTTGACTCTTGACGGAGACGTGGATTTCCAACCGGCTTGCGTGCATCTTCTTGTCGATCTGATGAAGAAAAATCGTCGACTCGGCGCCGCGTGCGGTCGCATTCATCCAAGAGGATCTGGATTGATGGTTTGGTCGGTGTAAAACGATAGCAATTAACCTCGATTCATCATTTGCATTTCTGAATACCATTTTAGGTATCAAAAGTTCGAGTACGCGGTAGGCCATTGGCTGCAAAAAGCCACCGAACATATGATCGGCTGTGTACTTTGCTCGCCCGGGTGTTTCTCGCTTTTCCGGTAAGATTGAGGCAATATTTATCTTAAAAAATGCACTGCATTATAGGTTTTACATGCACTGCATTATAGGTACTTTGAAAAGTTCTGTCCTCTCTCTTCAAGAATCATTTGTACGGCTCGAAGCAAGGAATTTAGAGAAAAAGCTACTTTAAATTTGAAAATTTTCAACTATTAAGGGTAGAAATCGTTAAAGATTTTCAAATTTGATGTCTCTATTTGTCTCTATTTTATTTGATTTTATCTGAAGAAACGACGACCTTTGGAGAGGGAACAGAACTTTTATTCCTAAGCAATTCAGCAAGCAAGAATAGTTTGAAGCCATTCACAAAGCTATGAATTGTCTAAACTGTCCTAAACAAAGCATTGTCTCAAGTTCCAGATTATATTATGTTTTGTTTCAGACATATTTTAGGCCAGACCAGGCAAAGTCAGGAAGCAAGCAAGAATAGTTCTAAGCCTAAGCCAGAAGCCAGTTGCTGGCCTGGCTTTAGTCTTGCCTCACCTAGCTTGATCCTGACTTCTGACCAGGCTATGGCTTTACCTTGATTGACCTAGAATCATCATTCTTCTGTCATTAAACCTTGCTCTGGTTAAGCCTCAGATCCATTTCATTATCGATTTCAGCTCGTATGCCTTGATGGATGATAATGTGACAAGAAGATACGCGTCGAAATCCGATCAACCACTTGACTATATCCAGTACGATCAAGGAGAGGATCGATGGCTTTGCACACTGTTGCTGCAACGGGGATATCGGTGAGCGAACACTGGGAAAATCTTTCTTTCAATCTGATCGAATTCTTGACATCGAATCGAATTCTTGACACTTCAGAGTCGAGTACTGTGCCGCTTCCGATGCGCTCACTTTTGCGCCCGAGGGTTTCAATGAGTTTTTCAATCAACGGAGACGCTGGATTCCATCTACGATTGCCAATATTATGGATTTACTCAAAGATTACAAAAATGTCGTCCGTGTGAATGAGAGTATTTCGATTTGGTGAGTATTTCAAGAATTTCAGCCCTAAACGAACTTTGACTCTAGTGAGTCAAAGTTCGTTTAGGGCTGAAAATCTGTTTTTGTTTACAAAGGTAAACATATCCTTTCTAACGTACTGAATTCCTCACTTTTCTATTGATTGTATCGGAGGAAAGGTGCCGAAGTTGTAAATATGTAAACACATCCGCTCTGGTGCACAAAGTACCTCATTTTTCTGCTATTCAAGAAAGAAAGCAAGGATTGAGTGCACCAGAAAGTGTGCGTTTCCGTTTTTTAGCTTAAAGCTTTTCATGCAAGCAATCGTTGTGCTTATCGTTGTTTCGTTCTTTGTCGATGTCCCCGTTTTCCCTTTAGGTATATCATCTACCAAGTGGTGATGTTGATCTCGTCAATCCTCGGCCCCGGCACGATCTTCCTGATGATTGTCGGTGCCATCTCGATCTCGTTCACCATTTCCACGAATGTCTCTTTGTTGATTGTCACTGTGCCCGTCATTTTGTTCATCATTGTTTGTCTCGTCTGTACGCAGGAGAAACAAGTATGTGTGTTGTTAGTGAAAAGTGAAAAGTGTCAACTGAGGCATTTAAAATGTGTCAGCTTACAAAATCTACCAAAATCTTAGCTCTTAATCTTAGTCTCTTATTTCTTAATCTCAAAAAATCTTAGCTAAGTTTTTATCCAATTCATTTTAGCCTTTCATTTAGCCATTCTTCATTTTAGCCTTCGAGATTGGATAAAAACTTAGCCAAGAGTACGAGTAGCTTTCGAGAGTTGGCACATTTTAGAAAAGGAATTATATGAACAAACATAGATACCGTAAATACTGTAATAGTACCCCACCCCCATAATGACGGTGCGGAGAGTTGCGTAGTCTAGCTTTGAACGAGTTTTTCTCGACACTGGTTTATGCTACAATGCGCGCTTAGATATCAAAAAATAGCTGAAATTCAGGGCTATTTTTGATCCCAAAGACATATTTTTTGAAAGTACGGGCGCTTTGAAAAAAATGAAACACTAAAAAACTTTTGCGACTACGCGACTATACGAGGGAGGTGCGGTACTATTACAGTATTTACGGCGGTAGGTAATGTCGAACAAAACCAAATTTTTCAGCTACTAGTTGCGCAAGTGATCGGTGCTCTGTTCGCCATGTTGATGACGGCGGTGATCGTCGGTACTTCATTGCAAATTCAAAAGGACGGTATCTTCTCACCTCACTCGATGTTCTTGTTCGCTGTCATTACCAGGTACAGTAACAAAAGACTAAAACAAAAAACAACAACAACCTGGACAACAACAAAAAAATCTAAGGGATTTCGAAAAACATTTCTGTTATCAAGGCTTTGCTAATACTAAGAAATGGTCTAAAAAGAATAAAAATATAGAAAAATGTGCTCTTTGGTACTACCAATGTTTTCATTTACATAAAAAAAGGTTAATTTTATTCAAAAAAAACAACCTCATAATAAAATTGGCCACAAACAAACTAAGGGTAGCTTCTTTGCACAAATTTTAGCTACAGAAGACCAATACAGAGGACAAAATATTCAATCATACAAGCTGCGCAAAGAGGCTACGCCATAAACAGAAATAAAACTGGACTCAAAATACTGAAACTTCACGTATTAGAATTCACAAAGTACAAATGATCAAAATGGGTGAATCATTACAGAAAACGTATCCTTTTATACGTTCATTGCTAAAAGATACTCACAAGGGAAAGCCACAAAAGGTGGCTGGCTAATCAAGGTGGCTAATCGAAATGAGACCTAGCCCATCCGATGCAGAATTTTACGCTGATTCCGAATCCGCTATCCGTTTTTGCTAAAATAGGTCGGAATCGCAAGGAATTTGGCAAACAAGTTTTTTTGGCCTCTCTTAGGACGCTTATGCGCTGGTGAGGAAGACATGTTTGCTTAGTGTAGCGGGTAACGTGTGGGAATGCAAAGTTGGAGGTCGGGGACTGCCTTTAAATTTTTCTTCTTTTTGAACAACTGTTTTATAGTTTTCTAATCCGCATTCTCCTCATAATTGCTAAATATTCAAAAATTTTGTTCAAAACTTTCTATTTAAGTGTTCAACATTTCAAATAATATTAAATATCATAACAAACAAAAAATTTAACAAAGATGGGAACAATCGATGAAAGTGAAAGTGTGGAAAGCCGTAATTTTTGTTATCGATGCTAAAATTATACTAATTTTACTCGTCAGGATACGGAAAAAGTCTTTTTGTTAACGAGGTTTGACAGTATAAAAAAAAGCTGATATCACTATTCACAAAGTACTCTTAGAGTTCTTTGCTTTTTACCTCGTTCACAACTTCTTTCAGTTTTCTCACTGCCGCCATCCTCCATCCATTGGAGTTCACGTGTATCATCCCGGGTGTGCTCTACTTTTTGGCCATTCCGTGCATGTACATGTTGTTGCCGATCTACTCGATTTGCAATCTCAACACCGTTACTTGGGGTACGAGAGAGGATCCGAGACGTGAGTGAAAGCTTTTTATCATCAAAAACTCGAAATCTTTAGCTGAAGAAAAGAATGACCTGGCAAAGAGGGGCAAAAACGCGGGCAATCACCACTTGGACATCGTCGACAACGGGGAATCGACTGTGAGCCGTTTTGAGACGTTTTGAACTATAAAATTAATCGATTGATATTTAATTTAAACGTAAATTTGAAATTTTCAGAGTGATGGCGCTTTCTCGTTGGGCTGTGGAAGCGCTTGTCGGCTGTTGTGTTGCCTTAAGCCTGATCCAATGGAGACGTCGCCTCAGGTGGGTTTTTTTGGCTATAAAATCGCTATAAAGCTAAGATAAAGCTATGAAATCACCGTATCTAATGGATAGTACATAGTACATAGTACAAAAATATCCTCAGGTTTGGCGTATCAATGAGAAACTCAACGAGATCACACGAAAAATGGACAAAATGGAGCGCCGAACGCAGCCCGGCCTGGCCAGGAGGTATCCGCTGCTCTGACAAAAGACTAAAAAACTAATAGTACCTAAAATATTAGATATTTTGTAGCCCAATAACATTGGCTGAACTTAATGCTTACTAAATCATCTCAAGAGCAAGCTCTAACCGACTAACGATCGAGCCTCATACTTGTATTTTAGCGATTTCAGAGCCTCAATTCTATCAAATGGTGGAATTGGCTCTCACGGGGATAAATGCTCGGAAATGGATGAGGATGATCAGGTAAATGCAAAAACTGATTTGAATACAGATAACAGACCTGGAACCTATTACGGCTTAGTGCAATTTTCAACAATTCAGGGAGAACTGGACGACGACTTGGAGATGTCCCATCAATCACAGGCGGCAATGAAAAACAAAAAATGGCGACAACAGCAATCGGAGAGTTGGCTCAACGATAAAGCTTTGAGAAGGCAAGCGAATTTTTTTGAAAATATAATCCAAAAAAATCTCAGAGCTGAACGGGAGTACCTTGATCCGGATGAGGAACAGTTCTGGTTGGATGTCATCGATAAATATTTGCATCCCTTGAATATGGAAACGAAAGAACAAGACAGGGTCCGAGCCGGGCTTGGGGAATTGAGAAATAAGGTAAGAATTGAACCGAGTTCTCGTACTTTGAGTCTTGTGTGTTCCCCTCAAATCATGCTTTCTAAAAGGTGCGTGCGCAAAAAAGCTCCCCGTAGTCCGTCGGTTTATAAATCTAATTCATTTTTGCGAAAGTCAAAATAGAAGTTAAAAGGTTGTTTTTTTTCTGAAGAACTAACACTAATGAAGAACTAACAGACGCAGAATTACGAGAAAACGAGTTAGACTCTATGGAATTCTAAAAAAAAAAGCTGACCTCTCATTCTTTGCTGTCCTGGCATTTCATTTCTTTTGTCCTGTTGTCCTAGCGTTTCATTTCTTTTGTCCTTTTCTTCACTTCTTCTTTTTTAACTTCTTTCTCTAAACCATAGCAATTAACTCCAGTAAATTTTTTTAAAATATCAGAAATATACAGAAAAAAAACTGTCCTGGGGACGTAGTTCGTGTTCTTCTCCTTTTGTTGATTATATTCTTTCATTGTTTGTTGTTTCTAAAAAAAAATATTTGTTTAAAACATCAAATTTCGATAGAGATAGAAAAAGAACAAGAAAAACTTTTGAAAATATACGTAGAAGAAAAAATGAAAAAGAAAAAAGAAAAAAAAGAAAAAAAAAAGAAAAAAGAAAAGCTTTTGAAAAGAGCGCCTTTTAGAAAACGTGTTCAGAAACGAGCACTTTTTAGAAAGCATGATTTGAGCGATTTTATTTGTTAGAAGCACACTCAATTTGTAAAGTAAACGTATCCTTTCTGGCGTACTTTATTATCCTTGATTCTTCAATTCTCACAGCACTATGCAAAAAAATGAAAGAGTTTAGTGTACCAGAAAAAGAGTGTTTACAATTTTCAGCACAAAGTTCAATCGTCTTATTGTTAGGAGCAATAAAACTGAATAAATCAACAAAGATCTAAGAATTATTTATACATATTTTAGGTAACTTCTGGATTTCTGATGCTAAACATTGTGTTCATCATTGTCGTGCTTGTACTTCAACTGCAAAAAGATTGCCTCCATATCGAGTGGCCGTTTGGACCAAGAAAGAATCACACGTTCATCCCGTGCCACGGGGATACGAGCAAAGAGGTGAGTGAATGAAACGATCTCTAGAACTGTTGAAAATATTACTCTAGTCTATTGAAAAGATTTTTGAGAATATATCTATATAGAACAAAACTGCTTAACACTTAAGATGTCATTGTCATTTCAAAACAATTACCTATTAGGTTGGCAAGTTATAAACGATCTTTTTTTGGTAATGTGTTTTCTGAAAAAACGGCTTATCCAATCAAAAAAAAAAGCGTATTCAAAAGCCTTATCCTTAATCTACAAAATGGCTTTTTTGAATTTTTGAAAAATGTTTTATTTTAGAACTTTTTCAGGCATTTTAATGTAAGAGTTCAAAATCCAAAATCCTGATTTCTAGCATTCATGAGCTAATAGATTTTTGAGTGATTGCATACTTTTAAAAATAAAACGCTTCATCGATTACATAGTTTGCCAAAATTTCAGAAAACACATTACCCAAAAACGATCGTTTATAACTTGCCAACCTAATAGATATTAGGTAAAAGATATTTAGTTGTTAGACTGAAAGTTCTTGAAGACTACTTGAGCTGTTGGCTGCCCTAGACCTTTTTGTTTTTCTTTTTTTTTCATTGTCTTTGCGAAGTAACAACAACCTAATATTTTGCTCATCTCTCGCTTTCAGATCACCGTCATGTCCCGTCTCCAACTTGAGCCGATCGGCTTGGTGTTTCTCGTGTTCTTCATGAGCATTTTGGTCATTCAAGTATTTTCTAATCTAATCTTTTTTTTAAAATTTTCAATTCCTTTAGTTCTTTGCCATGTTATTCCATCGTTTCGGCACCCTTGCTCACATCATAGCCTCCACTGAGCTCTTCTGCTTCAGAAAACCTGTGGATAGGTAAGGAAAGATATCAAAAATGAATTTACTGTAAAAATACAGGTTATCCGAAGACGACTTGGTGGTGCAGAATGCTGTAGAGATTGCCAGAGAACTTCAGGCGATTAAGGGAGTTGATGAGCCACAGGATGGAGGATCTGCAGTAAGTTGGATGGACAGCTGGCTAACTCCTAAATACTTAAACAAATACATAATAACATTAAACTTGACACCTTACTGACTGAGGCAAGTATAGTATAGTTTAAGTTTGTAAGTATAAAGTAAATTATAATACTACAGTAACCTTTCATCAGGGTCATCAAATCTCTCGTCGTAATGTGGTGCAAAATCTCGAGTCATCTCGGCGCTCGATGATGAAGAGAAAGACGGAAACTCTTGATGCGGCCTTTAAGAAACGATTCTTCGCTTTAAACTCGGATAATGTAAGTTTTGGAGAAACCATTACAACCAATTATATAACTGTAACTTCAGCAAGCGAGTCAATCGGACAGTGTCGGTTTTGCGTCGAGAGAGAAACGGTTGACGCTGAGAAAAGGAACGATTCGAGCGCTCGAGCAGAGGAGAGAATCCGTTTTTGGAACTCTGGATAGAAGAGGGGTAAAAGAGGAGAAAAGGATTATGGTAATGGTATGATATTCAGGATAATCCTTACAATTCCGACAATGAGAATCCGGCTCAAGGGGTAAACAACTCGGCTAGAGGACCCTCGCAAAGGAGATTGGAGCGATTGGATAGGTAAGTCTGTAGAATAAGCTGATTGACTGAACACCAGAAAGTTAAGTGATGAGTGAACTCAGGCAGGTGCTCTGAAGCTCTAAAGCTTGAGCTACCGTAACCCAACTAATCCGGCGCAACAGCCCCAGTTACCGTAGCCCGTTTTTATTTCTAAGTAATCTAAAGTGTACCCTAGCTACCGTAACCTGGCCTAGATCACCTTGATTTTTGTAGATATTTATAGATAGCAATATTTGCGGTTTCTACTATATACCGTATTTTCTGTAATAGTAGTGGGCACTACTATTTTTTCAACCCCCCTCCAGCCTGCACTACTATTACAGACTGCACTACTATTATAGACTGCACTACTATTACAGAAAATACGGTATATAAGAGCTGTGTCTGTCTGTCTGTGTGCACTAATCTTTCGCGCCCAGTGGGCCGTTTCAAATTACTTATAATTAGTTTAGCTTAGAATTTCATGTAGTTGTGCAACATGTTTTAAATTTTTAAAAAAACCAAAAGCTCTGACGCGGGCGGGAGTTGAACCCGGGTCGTGTGGGCTAGAGACAAGCGCGCTGCGCCATATAAAAGAGCATGGCCGAGTGGTTAACGCGCGCGCCTCTCAAACGAACAGAATAGAGAGGTCTCGGGTTCGACTCCTCTCGCCGCTAATTCTTTTGCTTTTTGCTCCAAAGATTTTTTTTGCTGCTGGTCTCTACCGATAAGATAGTTGATATTACAGTATCTTTACGACTATGATAGAAATAGATTTACTGTGTCATCTACTAACTGACATGTGTTAGGGATTACGGAGCCGAGTCATGCTTTAAAGTGTCTATCTTTGACCATGTCTTTATCTATTGAGCCTTGAACAGATGCGCAAATAGATAAAGTCTTGCTTGAGGCTTGCTATCACCTACTTTTATCTACTAAACCCAAATTCCAGGATATTCACCGAGGGGCAAACGGGTGGCGGCTCTTCGAACTCGACGGTGGTCCCGATGCGACAAAATAATGCGCCGAAGCCGATTTGGACGCCGCCTACCGACCAAGATTCGAGAAGATTTTAAACTGATTGAACATTTCTTTGTGCTAATTAAATTGCCGTATCTAGTCTAGACGGGCCCGGGATTTCTATTGATAAGACTAAAACAACTACAGCCGACTCTCGATACAACGATTTTGGATTTATAAAACACGCTCTTGGTTTCTGCGTAGCTGCCCAGCCAAACGCAATTGTTGACCGTTCAGGGCGGCTATGCAAGAAATTTGGGGCACGTTTTAGAATTATTAAATCGAGAGTCGACTGTATTTTGTCTACTGTACACTGACGCAAAAAGAGCTTTGTACCGATGTACTGTAGTACAGTAAACTCTACGGTGCAGAGTACTGTAGCTGTAGGCAAGTGCCTGAATATTTTCAGAATTTGATTTGATGGGTCCGGGGCTAGAATACGGTAGGTTTAATTTTCCTAGTCTTAATGCGTGTTCAAACTTTTGTAGAACTTTTTTTGACGTGTTGTTCAGCCTGAGAGAGTGCTAGTCAGGTTTTTTTAGAAAAAAATTCGGAACCAAACCTTCAAGTTGTTCACTTTTCATTGAAACTCTTGAAATTACTATAACTTTTGTTATTTATTATATTATATTTTCAAATCTATCTACCCTCACGCGTAATCTACAACGAATATGTCTTTCTTGATAAGCATTTACAAAGAAAAAATTCTGGTTTTCATGTCTTTCAACATTTTTTTTTGAGCCTTTCATTCTTCAAATACAAAAGTTTACTGCCGTTGCAAAGTATTTTTAGAAAATCTAAATAACTTTTTGCTAAATCACATACATTTTTATCTTTTTTTTTTTTGATATTTTTGCTCGCGTTAATAAATGTTTTTACGTTTTAGTGGATTAGAAATCAGTCATCAGAAATTAAATGGAAACTTTAAATTTTTAAAAAAATAGCAGAAAAACGGTTGCAATGTGTCAACCCGTTTTCTAAAAAGTGCGGACTTTCGAAAACTACCGTAACCTTGGCTCTAGTTTTCATCTAACCTATCTATTCGGTTGAATGCATACAAAAACAGGTGTCACTGGTGCTCCTCCGATTCAACTTGACACGAAATTCCTGAAAAAAGCCTTCTAACAACATCAAAAAAATGACAAAACAAAAAAAACGAGAAAAACGAAGGAAAATCGCGGGAAAGCGGAAAGGCTATTGGTCTGAGGGTCGCTGGTTCGACTTCCACCGGTGATAATATTTTTCAAAAATTTTTTGCTAAGATTCTGAAAATGCGTGTCTAGGGGTTATTTTTGACGTTGATCACGAAACACATGTTTTTAGCCTAGTTTTCTGCACGGAAAACTAACGAAACGTGAAAACAGCCATTTTTTGGCTCTGCTGCCCTTTACTAAAATAACTGTAAAAACTTTTAGAAAAGAGATATCTCAAAACGGTCTTTGCCAATCGATCCGTCTTGAATTCAGCTTTAGGATGAGCTATAAAACGTCAAAATTCGACAAATTTAAGGTACTCTCCCAAAAAATCCGAAAGGACTTTTCCACCAACCCAATACTTTTTATCTTTCGGTACCCTTTGTGAACCCTGGCAGAATCAAATGAAAAGCAAATTGAACAAAGATTCGAGATAAGATTAAGATAGTTTTTAAAAATTGACATGTTTTAGAAAACTCGTTTTTTGAGAGGAGCTTTCAACGAGATCCAGTGCGCTCATCGAAAATTTCCTTTAAAAACGCTCCACTTTGAACGCGTTAAATGATAGAAAATGATTTGATCTTTGTAAAAACTTCACGAAATACACGGTGTTCAATATTTATGGGAACTTTTGAGCTCGCAGGTCGCCTAGCGCTCTCAAAATTGGTTTATGAAAAAATCGTCCAGAAAGCATTACATAGGAGTTGGGAAAAAAACTCGACTTTCTAGATTATTTTTACAGTTTACTAAATACGGTAGGTTTTAAGCCTCTTAATTCGGTCCCGCACCTCTAAACTCAGTGGAAATAGAGCAACTCTTGAAGGCTCGGTGTTGTTGCTCAAACTGGCATAAAAGTTGTTCAGAATGATTTGTAACTGCTTCCAATAGCTTTGAAAAAAATGAAATACTAAAAAACTTTTGCGACTACGCGACTGTACGAGGGGGTGGGGTACTATTACAGTATTTACGGTAAGTTAATACAATAATAGGGAGTGGGACAAATGCGACCTTTTTTTTGCGCACCTTTTTTTCCGCACCTTGCCCATTAGCGCACCTTTTTTCGCGTTTTAAAAAAGCTCTAAAAAGCTAATATTAACCAATTTCTATTCCAAATGTTGTTTTTCTAGGTAATTTGAGGGTGTCGAATTCAAATTTTGACATAACAGAGCGTGTGGAACCAATTTGAAAGACAAAACGGCTAGGTCAAATTACAGAAAATTGTGGATTTTTCCCTTTGTATAACTCCGTCCGTTCGCTTCCACAAGCTCTGATATGCCAAAATTTCGATTCTACGCCGTAAAATTACCTAGAAAAACAACTTTTGGAATAGAAATTGGTTAATTTTAGCTTTTAGAGCTTTTTTAAAACGCGAAAAAAGGTGCGCTAATGGGCTAAGTGCGGAAAAAAAGGTGCGCAAAAAAAAGGTCGCATTTGTCCCACTCCCGTGACGATTGATCTAGCAGATGGATTCACGACGATTTTGTTATTTATTTCGTTGAAAGTTCTCGGCAACTTTGTACTATTTTTTCAAGGATATTCAATCGCTCAGCTGAATATTTTCTGTTTAGTGGCTTTATAATTTCTCTCGAAAACAAAACTTGAATTTCTCTTCCAAACTTTGTGAGGCCTACTTCTAGTTACTTAGATTTTCATTGATTTTCTCTAAATTTATTCATTCATGGTTTGGATTAAAGTTTTTGGTTTAGTGGACACGATGGAGCAACAGGTTTCTACTTGCTTCGAAGCGACACCTCAATTTGCGGCTTTTCTCCAAGGTATCCCTTTGTTTTGCGCTTACTGGTCTCCATTTGGAATGAGAATGTTGGTGCTCGGGTTGGGCACACAAGTTCTTTTAAAGCCAAAAATTATAGTTGTTTCGGTTGCCCAATAGTTAATGTTGTGACCTACCTACTCTAGCGTTTCCAAGCGTAGTAGTCTATCCCCAGCCAGTGCTCTAGCGCTTCTGAAGCTAGTCTCACATCAGCAAAAATGTTCAAAGAGGAAAAAGCGAGATTTAACCAAGCCTAAATACTCACCAACGAGAATATACCAAATTGTGTGTGAAATTCGACATCCGCGAATCAGATTTTATAGATTTCGGGCTTAAACGAATTCTCTATGGCTTAGGCTGCCCAACCCGGTTAGCGACGGATGCTTAACTCAAAACTAGAATACTACAACAAAAATACAACTACAGCACTGTTTTCAATTGTTAGGTTTAGATAATCTCATCCATCTCGAGCTATTGCTGAAGGAGCTGAATTGTCACTTTGCAACTTTTCCGGGCGACTTTGTGAAGGCACGGCATTCTTTATTAAGCCAATTTATTGCGTTTTAGATATCGCACCCACCAGGGATTACTGCCGACTACTTGCAGCTGTACCTTTTGGAACATTATTCAAACCTAGAGTTTCAGAGGTTTGAAACACATCTGGTTCTTAACTTTTTTTTTTCTAGGATTTTGGATTTCCATGAGGCCGGACTTGAAGGAAAGTCAACAAGGACCATCAACTTAACCTCAACGCAAAATGTGATTGTCAGGCACTACCAGGACTGGATTTCCGCTCACACGGAGCTTGCGGGCTTGGTGGTATTGAATCCTAGCAAAATTTCAACACATTGTTCACTTTAGTTTAATCCCGATCGCTCTATCAGCCTTTTTGGCGAGTTTGAAGCTGTGCAGAAGGCAACTCTCGCTATAAACACCATTCTCTGTCACTACTCTCTTGGTTTCAACTCACCGGCCAAGCAACATCAAAGTTCGTTAGAACATAGATTTTATTCACGCTGTTTTTAGTTGATATTTATGACTTACCATCACGTTTTGCCGCTTCAGATGAACCAAAATACGTTCCGCATCGGAAAAATTTCTCCGAAGAAGTATCAATTAGAATTGAAATTAGTGAACGAAGTTTTTAGGAAGAAAATGCAACCGGCTACGAGAAAAATTCGGATGGTATCAGCTCGTTACTACAAGAAAAGCCAACCACTTTTATAAATTTGCAAACGAGCTCGCCGGAGCCTGCTGTAAGAGGAATGTTTCAAGAGCTCGGGGCGTCTCGCTTGCAAATGTAGTATTATTTTAAGCAACTCATCCAGTCCTGATTTAGGCCACTGTCTGCCTCAAATTCGCCTTTGTTTGCATCGAAGCCATACATGTTTACAGAAAATCTTTCGTCACATGGCAATAGGTAATCGTTATTAACTAGGCTTTTTCATAAAATTTTTAGGCCCCCGTTGTCACCAGCTTCGCTGCCTGCTTCACCAGTGGATTCGGTACATAGTGGTCTACCAATGGACACTCCAAGTGCCAAGGTAAGCAAATTTGTTTTAGCATTGAAAAATGCTTCTTATAGCAAGGTGAGATGCGATCGCGCCTGATGTTTATGGTCAAATCATGCGAAGCTCCACGACTAATTGGCTCTCGCGGTGCAAATAAGAAAAAACTTGAACAAATAACGGGATGTCATCTAATGGTTGGGTTTTCATTTGATCCGCGTGTAAAGAATGTTTAGTTCCACACTGAGAACAGACGTGAAGGGCAATTTCCAATTGAGATTTCTGGAACAAGTGACGACGTCGTGCGAGATGCTAAGCAGACGATTGTCGCATACTTGGATAGTGAAGGTAGCTTTATGCTGATGGCTCTGGGCAAAAGTTACATTTTAGCAACGGCTCCTGGTCATGATTCGCCTTCGAAAACACGCTCTCCGGCGAAAATCATGCTGCAACTTTCTCCTAAGAAGCGAGCGGAAACTGAAAAATGAAGATTTCCAAAAATTTGTCCTCCTATGCCAGAGTTAGTTTGATTTTGTTGTTAGCGCTGTTAGCGCTATGAAGTTGCTCCTACATTGTTTCTTGTTGTTTTGTATCTACTAACTTTTTCGAGTTTAATTTTTTCCGAATAAATTTCAATTTTAAACCTTAATTGCTTGAATTCAGGGGTTTGGGTATACCAAAACATTTGTTTCTTAAACCTAGTGTGTTGTTTATTTGAATTGTCGCTGCTTGTTAATGTCTAATTTAGTAAATCGAGTCGTGTAACGAAATGTCGAAATACCGCAAGAAGCGTGGAGTTGGAGCGTATAGCGTTTGGTCCAATTACCGCCTGAAGGTGTTTTAAAATCATTCCCAGCACCTATTGTTCCTGTTCAGGTTGATGATTGGGTGGACCGTATGCATTTCTACTGGACTCCTCTTCTCCTGACGATTGCGATGGCACTCTCAATCAGTGGTCGAATTTTTGGAGACATGATTGCTTGCGTCTATCCAACGGATATTGCAGGTATCTTTTATTCGAATATGTTACTCGGGTTTTTGATTTCTTTTAAAAGTTGACGTTAATAATCACTTTAGGAGTTTATTCCTGGAAGAACTATTACGCACAGTATTGCTATCTCGCGCCAAAAATCTACCCACAAACACAAGGTTACGGAGCCGATTACAACCGCCCACAAGTCAACTATTACGAAGTAATCTTTATTTTTGAAATGAGCAAATTTTATTATTTTCAGTGGATTCCTTACTTCCTGTTGGTTCAACTTCAAGCTTTCGTTGGCATCTCATTGTTTTACCAATATTTCATGCCATCTCCAAGTAATTTCGCTTTTAAATGTACTTTAAATTTTTTGATTTAGAAGTGCACCTTCTTTATGGGGAAGAGCGACTTGCATGGGTTTGGAACCGCATGAAACTGGATGATGTGAGAAACTTGTTTAAATTAAAGGTTATTTGTGGTTGAGGGAGCTGAAACCTACAAGGATGCTGAAGAGCAAAGAATGGAATTTGTTAGAAGTGACACCGAACATCATTACCAGGCATTTCTCTATGAGGCAACACGGGTAAAACCATTTTTTTATGTCTTTCTAATATTTTGGTTTAGCGAACAAGCATTTTTGGACGCCTCTTCCAAGGAAAAACGGCTGCAATTTCGTACTGGATTTTCAAAGTTGTTAAAGTAATTTTAAATTTGTTAACTTTGATTTACAGGTGCTTGAGTTAGCTAACGCATTGGGTCAGCTGTACTTCATTTCTGTCTTCCTTGGACTCGAATCACTGAATGTCTATGAGCTTTTCTACCAGGCATGGCTAGTTTTGTTGACGAGTGTAGTGTTTTTAGTTTGCGCGAGCGTTCACAAGACCAAGTTATATCGACTATCACCGAGGAATATTCCCATTGGTAAGTACGAGGATCGCTTTGTAAATCATGTATTCATTTAGAAAGTTTATTGCAATGCTACACGCCAAGCTGACTACAAAACAATGCAAAGCTACAACTTCGAATGTCTTCTCACGTTGAATTATCTGCACGAAAAAATGTTCTTGTTCTTGTGGCTCTGGATCTGCCTAGTAAGTTAACTAGAAGATCTTGCAACCCTGTAATCAATATTTAGTTGGTCGTTTCGACTGCGCTGAATTTGATCTCTTGGACATACATTTTGTGCGGACGTCATGCTAGCCACGGCATTGAAGAGCATATCAAGGTTCCTTTTAATACTTGCCCTAGCATTTTTTTTGTTTAGCGTAATCCATTCCCGTCGAGTGACCCTCTTACGAAGAAGACAATCCTCTCCATTTGTGGCTCGGAAACTTACAACTACAAACAGTTGTTGAATCCGTATGACTTTAACAGACTCATGGACAAATTCAATGAAGTAAGCTTATCTCGTGGAAATGAAGTTTTGAGTAACATTTTTTAGTTTATTTCGATTGATGGTCGAATGGTTTTTCACTTTTACTACAAGACTCTTGGAACGGCAATTACCACTGAATTGGCTATTCTGATCCTTCAAAAGTAAGCAATTTGCGCTTTACAACTAATGATACAACTTTTTAGGGTTGCCAAGGATAATGGCTATGAAGACATGGTGAAGCCTCCACCTCCTGAACCTGTGGAACCATTTGAAGGTACTGATCTTTGATTGGGTTTTGTTATGGAAGTCATTTAGTGAGCAAGCGCCCACACAAAAAGCTGCCAGAAAAGAAGGATTTCAACGGAGATGAAGATGCCGACTCTGTCGGCACCGCTTCAACTATTCAATCGAAAGATTTTGTATTCGTTGTCCACTTGTTGAAATATTCGTTGTTTTTAGGTGCAGCCATCGGTACCCTACTCACATGGCGTCTTCATTTAAAAACAACAATTTTATCGCCAAAGGCAAGAAATTACTTTTGCCTTTATTTTCTTATCTTTTGTACGCCTAGCCTGATAGCAATTTTTCTGTTTCTTTTGTGCTAACAATAGTTCTAAAGTTGTCTTTTATTTATATAAATCGTTTTTGAATTTTGTGAAAAGAGTAACGAACATTCAATCACTTTAAAAATAGAATCCATAACTGGTAGTAAAGTTCTGAAAAGTCTGAATTTGACTGGTGCATTCTTAACCACATTTAAGTTCAACGGAGGTGTTTTGATTGGTTATCATTTTGCAATGAGAGAAAGTTTCTCTCAACACACTCGTGAACCACAGGGATAGGGAGAAAAGATGCCAAAGGTGTCATGATTTCTTTTTGATTTCTCGCTCAAAAGCGTCAAAATCGACCGTTTATGTGGCATAAAGTGGTGCTTGGCGTTGTCGTTTCTTTTGGTTCGTTTTGAAGCGTGTTGTTTTAACTTACGATAGTTTTTAGTTTCGATAAATGGCCAAGATTTTCTGAATATTCCGCACGATCAATTATGTGCGAGTGAACCGAATTTGGCAACTTGTAAACAAGGTGATTGTGGCTGAAAATACTGAGATCAAAGAATTTAGTCCAGGGTGGGCAAGCGAGAAGAAAGCAGCAACAGGTTTGGATAACTTGTTAAAATAATACCGTAGTTACAGGTGTTATTGTACAAGTTAAACTTTATTAAAATTGGCGTTTTATTAATTTTTAATCGTTTCAGAACCTTCAGGGTTTCATCGAACAAAGCGGAACGGTGCCTTCGGATGATCCGTTCTCTCAAATTGCAACCAGGTTAAAAATTAAGATCAACATAAAAATCTAAATCATAAATAAAAGAAACAAAATCATAAACTTAAAGAGCTTTTTTAAAATACGTCAGATATCGGATCAGATAAAAAATCAAAGTATTTTTTGTGTTTTAGAGCCCCGATGAGAAGTGAGGACTTTGGAAAATCAAATCATCAGTCGCCGTACCGTAGCTCGAGGTGATAAAAATCAATTCTTATTGAAAGCAATCCTTATCGGTGAAAGCTAATGCGAAATAGAAAATCGATTACGCTAGGAATCACTAAGAAAATTCGAATTCTAAGGATACATCGACCGAAATCTTTTCGTGAATACTTGCAACAACGAGACGATTTCTATCGAGAAATGGATTTCCGAAGGAAATTATCTTCGTGAGTTTTCGATGCTAAAAGAATTTTTTGTAAAGGCAAATCAAGTTTTAAAGAGGTAAAAATCGAAACCCATTTGCAGTGGCTACTACAATTTGTATCCTGGCTTGTATCCGAAAGAACGCAGCTATTGTGAGACGATGAAACCGAACTTTGCATTCACGTGTCAGCCCGGGAAATCGCTTCGGCTGGATTTGGTCGAGTTTTGCAAAGTGAGCAAACGATATAGCCATTAAAGCACAGTTTTAAGGACTATTCCGCTTTTTGTAACATTCCAAACTTTCATCGTATACCTGGACCAAGAGAGGGACCGGCGGCCGATAAAACGGTGGGTTTTAAAGAATGGGAAAATCCCACGGGTTATCCAGATCAAAATTGAAATTGCTAAAGAAGTAGTGAAATTTGCAGCCAGGTCATGTTGGAGTGAACGTTGGTTTCGGCTTCTCGGTGGGTTCGGTGCCGGGATTGGAAGTGGATGCGGGTGCGGGAGTTGATGTGGGACCGATTCCCCGGAATGAACGACAATGTTGGAGTGGGCGTGGGTGAAGGTTTTTTGAAAGGTTTGAATTCAGTAAATAGTAAGTAGTGTATTGAAAAATGTTAATTAAAATAAATTTAGAACTATAGCTTTATATGAAATGTTTTATAGTGGTGAAACGAAAACTGGCGTTTTTGAGTTATTCATTTGAGATTCTCTTGTAAATTTTTGTAAACACTTTTGCAATACTTGGCATTTATACCGTAAATACCGTATTTCTTCGAATAGAAGACCGGGTAAAGTATCATCGCGTACTCCTGCGTAGCAGCCCTTTTTAAAATTTCTTTTCTGCACAAAAGCTTTCAATCAAGTGCTATAGGGCTGGGAAATGACTCAAAAATACCACATGAGCTAACAGATTTTTGAGCCATTTTCCAGCCCTATAACACTTCATTGAAAGCTTTTATGCAGAAAAGAAATTTTAAAAAGGGCTGCTACGCAGGAGTACGCGATGATACTCTTTACCCGGTCTTCTATTCGAAGAAAGACGGTATTCGAATAGAAGCTTCTATTTTTCTATTTTTCAATATCCCTCTAAAAATCTTTTTCGTGCCAATCCAAATTTTCAAGAGCTCAGAAATGGGTGTTTTGTTGGATTTTCATCCGCTTTTCGATGTCATTAAGCTTCTTTTTTTGGTCTATAACTACTATAACTATTATTTAAAGCCTTTAGAAGTCTTTAAAAAGTTTAGAATTTAGTTTAGCATATCCGAGAGTTGATAAATTCGAAAAAATCAAAAATTTTGTCTAGAGGAGCTCTTCTAATAGAGTAATTACGATAGTTAGGCCATTCTTATCCCTGATTTAGGTCTAAATCTTGGTCTACTTGGCTCGAAATCCCCGGAAGCGTACCGCCGCGGAATGGACAATCCGAATGATCCGGGCGGCGGGATTGTCGGGGTGAATGGCGGAGTTGGTGAGTTGACGAGAAGTTTTTATAAAGCTATTTAAAAGCTATTCAGTTATTCAGTTGAAAAGCTATTCAGTAAGTTTTTGCGTGATTTCAGGAGTGAACGCCCCGGGCACCGGTGGTATCGGAGTGGGCAGTGGGGTCAACGTCGGGAAATGATCGAATTCAAATTTCTTTGCTAAGAAAGGCAAATTGTAATTGATTGCTAAGATTTAAATGCAAATTTCGAATAAACCTATAAGATATTTGAAGCGTTTATCTACATTTTAAACGAAAAATCGCTTTCTCAAAGGTGTTGGCGAACTCCGTTGACGGCTCGGGCTCGTAGGCGCCAAATGTCCTGAAAAGGAAAATTTTTTTCATGTTTTTAAAACTAATTTTATTCTTTAGATTACGACAGCTTTAGCAATTGATAGCTTTAGCAATTGATAGCTTTAGCAATTGATAGCTTTAGCAATTGATAGCTTTTGAGCAACCTTATTGATTGAGCAACCTTATTGATTGAGCAACCTTATTGATTGAGCAACCTTATTGGTTGTTAACCTTATTGATTGAGCAATGTTATTGATTGAGCAATCATCTTATTGATTGAGCAATCTTAATCTTATTGATTTTTCTCAAAACGAACGGCAAAATCGATTTGCACGGCTTTCGCCTCTTCTTCGCTCATTCCGTATTTTTTCATGCGTTTCCGCGCCACATCCAGAATCTCGTTGGCGGTGAACTGAAGTTTATTTGAATTATCGTTTTTTTTCTTTTAGTTGTGCGCACTACTTTTTTTTCTCCCCCCCCCCGCCGCACTTATATTTTGGTGGGGATTTATTTTTAAGGGGGGGGGTAAGTTAAGAAATTAAGATTAAGAAATTGAAAAAATTAAGAAATTGTTTGTTTTAATTGTTTAATTGTTTCTTGTTTAATTTAAAATTGTTAAAATTAATTGTTTTTTAAATATTTTAAGCTGCAAATCCAATCTTTTATCCAATGTTTTATGTTTTTTTAATTTGATTCGCTTAATTGTAAGGCTTTATTCGTTATATTATTTCTATTTCCATTCTATTTCGCAAAGCAAAAAAAACACTATATGGTAACGGCCGCAGTGCCATAAAAATTGTGTATTTAGACCGTTATGTCTTATTATGTATCCTTTGTTTGTATCACATTATTGGCTTTCAATAAATGTTTTTTTTTTTTTAAAAGTGAATAACAAAAAAAATATATATTTTCAAATGATACAAGCTATCAGTTGGATTTTGTGTCTTTTTTCGAAAGAAGAATCTAGGTAGCGAGCTAAAGTGTGGGTAAAATACCGTATACCGCATCTAATTAGCATTCTCCGACATAAATGCGAATTTATTAACGTTTTCGTATTTTTTTTCTTTTGCTTTTTAACTTTAAGAAGATTTTTTGGGGTAGGCTAATTTCCGCAATTTCTTTTCAATTTCCGCAAACAGGGCCGTTTGCGCAACTGGGTCATTTGCGCAACTCGCCATAACTTTCTTCTAAGTCGGCCAATCTTTATCATATTGGTTTCATTTTGTTGCACTTGTTGAACTCTACAAAATGACACCAACATCATAAAGATTGGCCGACTTATTATTATTATTTTCGGGGTTATTTTTGACGTTGATCACGAAACACATGTTTTTAGCCTAGGTTTCTGCACGGAAAACTAACGAAACGTGAAAACAGCCATTTTTTGGCTCTGCTGCCCTTTACGTAAAATAACTTTAAAAATTTTTAGAAAAGAGATTTCTCAAAAGGTCTTTGCCAATCGTCCGTCTTGAATTCAGCTTTAGGCTAGCTATAAAACAGGGTCAAAATTGCGACAAATTTAAGGTACTTTCCCAAAACTCCGAAAGGACTTTTCCACCTAAGTCGGTCAATCTTTATCATGTTGGTTTCATTTTGTTGCACTTATTGAACTCTACAAAATGACACCAACATCCGAAAGATTGGCCGACTTAGAAGAAAGTTATGGTGAGTTGCGCAAAAAAAAATTGCGAAAATTAGCCTACCCCGATTTTTTACGATATGATAATTTTAGTTGGAATTGATTTGGTTTTTAAAAGTAAATCTCTATCAATTTTCGTAAGAAGAACACCATAAAAGGTAACAAGAAGGTTTATCGATAGCTAGCGGATCAGCTAGGTATAATTACGTTTAAAATATACGAGCAGGCTTGTAACGTTGATTAAAACATTTTCAAAGAGCTTCCTGTGTTAAAGAAATTCAACTGTAACAATCTAATTTTTAAAAAAAGACTCTAGTCACTAGCTTATTGTTAGTACAATTCGTTTTACAGTTAAATCTTACTCAAGCGGACTCTTTAATCAGTTTTTCAATTCAAAGTTATGCCTGCAGTCAATTTGATGATCTAAAATCTTTAGAATCACATTTTTCCATATTCTTTTCGTTTAAGGAAAGTATTTTTTTCATCTTCAAAAGACAAAAAAGTCTTTTCAGAACAGAAGAAACAAAAAAACAGAAGAAAACTTTAGGGTTAGTGTAGTTTCCTGGCATAACTTTGAATTGAAAAACTGATTAAAGAGTCCGCTTGAGTAAGATTTAGTTGTAAAACGAATTGTACTAACAATAAGCTAGTGACTAGAGTGTTTTTTTAAAAATTTGATTGTTACAGTTGAATTTCTTTAACAGAGGAAGCTCTTTGAAAATGTTTTAATCAACGTTACAAGCCTGCTCGTATATTTTAAAGTGTTTTTTTTTTTAAAAACCCGATATCTACTTGAAAATCAAAAAGATAAAAGGTTTTACATTATACAAAACATATTTTATTATATATATTTCTTTTTGTTACCTCTTGATTTTTATCAATATCTACATATCTGCACAGATCGTCGTTTGCATAGTGACAAGAGATCGCTTTTCGGAAACCTGAACAAGTTTTTTTGAATAACAAAGATTAATTGGAGATTAAAAAAGCAAAATATTTCTTTTACTTGAACAATCCTAGATCTCTTTACCATCTTTACCAATGCATTAAATGAAGTTCGAAAGTTTGTTTAGTACTGTTTAGAAGTCATTTGTACCGATTTATTTGTCTTTACAACGTTTTTAGTTTTAAAAAAGTTTCTGCAAAAGTTTTTACAACTTAAAACCCCCAAATTTTACTATAAACCTATTTTACTATAAACCTAGTTTACTATTACTATAAACCTATTTTACTATTACTATAAACCATTTGTCCTGTTTGTGCCGGATCCATGAATGAGAAGCGGATGAAAGAAGACTGTGTCACCGGCTTCCATCTCCACATGCAATCTCGGCATCTTTGGATCATAGCTCTGAATTCCGTGGTACATCGGGTTGACGCCACCCTGAAAAGAGAATTTATAAAGTTGTAACTTGTGTTTTATTAGTTAGAATATCAGTTAAATTTTGGTTTTTACCCTAAAAAGGTAATGGGGTTTAATAAAGAATTTGAAAAAAACAATTGACTTTCTGTAGTTTCAAATCTTCAATAGATGTTTTACCAAGGAAGATCGACCCTTATTCGGTTTGAGTTCAACTCTAGTTTACTTTATAAAGTTTAAAACTTTAAATCCCATACCCAAGATTGGATTTAGTTAGAATAAGTATTTTAAAAGCTCATTTTTTAAACTTTTTCCTCACCTCCCATTTCGGGTACTCGTGTGGCAAAAGGGGTCCTTTGTGAGTACGCGGCACGACAACCAAACAGCCGTTGGCGCGAGTGATCTACGGATAAACGAATAATAAAGCAATAAAATGAACTGTTAGCTAAAGTATTCTATTCTTTTTTGTTTTCTTTACTTTTTCCATAGCAGTCCAAGAGCAACAGATGAAATCGGCGGGTCGGAACGGGAAATATTGAAGATCTTGGTGCATCGGATGACGAGAAGTAAGGGAACCTGGAAGTTGATTTTGAGTTTCGATAATTAGGATTAAATTTAGGTTTTAGAAATTCTATGGCTTTAGAACCGGTAAAGTAATGCGTAGGGTGGCCTTTGGATTGGATTGGATTGGGTTGGGTTGGGTTGGGTTGGATTGGGTTGGATTGGATTGGGTTGGGTTGGGTTGGATTGGGTTGGGTTGGGGGTTGGGTTGGGGTTGGGTTGGATTGGGTTGGTTGGATTGGGTTGGATTGGATTGGATTGGGTTGGGTTGGATTGGATTGGGTTGGATTGGATTGGGTTGGGTTGGATTGGATTGGGTTGGATTGGGTTGGATTGGATAAAACTGGATTGAATAAAGCTAGAGCCAAGATTACGGTTTTGAAAGTTGAAATGTTTTAGAAATATTCAACAAACCGCTATCTGGCGGCTTGTTGATGAGCATTGTGTGCATGGCCAAAAGGTTTGAGTTTGGCGTTCCGATCAAATCTTTCACCGTGTCCACGATCTAAAGAGATTCAGCTAAAGTTAAATGGGTAGACTGATAGAAATCTGTCGTGATCTTTATATACTCAGCCTCACAAAAATTAAAATGTTCATCTTTAAATATTCTATTCTTAAAAAACCCAATTCTAAGTGTTTTAGTTTTGAAGCTTTAAATTTAGCTTGCGAATTTTGCAACCAATTCACTTTTTGTTTCGAAAAGTTGTCTCTTTGAAAGGTTTCATTTATGATTTCGTAATTTCATCGCTCACCGCTGGATACTTGCAATAGTCGAAGAGAATAGGATCGTCTCCGAAATCTTGAACTTTCATGATCGCTTTTTCACCGGGAACATATCTGAATAGGTGTACTGTATTATGATATCCTATAGATTAATCCTATAGAATCCTATAGATCCTATAGAATCCTATAGATCCTATAGAATCCTATAGAATCCTATAGAATCCTATAGAATCCTATAGAATCCTATAGAATCCTATAGAATCCTATAGAATCCTATAGATCCTATAGTAAGATCCGTCTATGCGCACTTTGTTGTCAAAAACAGAAGCACACCCTTTCTGGTGCATCGAATTCTTCATTTTTCTCGCGACGCCAAATCATAGACGTGAGAAAATGAAGGAAAGGTGTGTTTCCAGCAAAAAGTACCGTAAAAACTCTAATAGAACGACCCCCCATAAGAGCGCCGCGTAGTCTAAGTTTACTCTCAAACAAACGCTCATATCTTGACACCAGTACGTTTGTTTCTGCGCGCTTAAGTATCAAATTAAAGTAGAGAGGATGGGCGATTTTTTGAGATATCATACAGATTTTTAACGTTAATCAGCGCTTACAAGGGGATGCCACAAAATCGCCGTAGCAGATTTTGACGCCGTTGAAATGCACACGCCTATCGGACACGGGGAATCCGATGCTGTATTCAGTTTTTGCCCATATTCAAAAACACGCGAGAAAAACGTGTCCAAAGTTTGGGTTTCTACTCGGGAAATCGTGCCGCGGGTTTATAAAGGCTCTTTTCCTGCCCTCGAAATGTGGCCAGAAAGAAAAGAAGATCGGGTACGTGCACACTTACCACTACGCCATCTGGCCACATTTGGAGGGCAGGAAAAGAGCCTTTATAAGCTCTCGCGGCACGGTTTCTCCAGTAGAAACCCAAACTTTGGACACGTTTTTCTCGCGTGTTTTGTATATGGGCAAAAACTGAATACAGCATCGGATTCCCCGTGTCCGATAGGCGTTTGCATTTCAACGGCGTCCAAATCTGCTACGGCCATTTTGTGGTATCCCCTTGTTAGAAAAAGTGATTGAAAATCGGCCACTAAAGGAAAAATGAGTAAACACTCACTCACTGCGAGCGATCGTCATATCTCTCATCACCGTCATCGATTGGGCAACGCCTTTCATCTTGCAGATTTCCTGAAAGTTCAAGAATTTTGATTTTAATACTTTATTTACCATGAATCTTTTCTGATACCGATCGAGCTCATATTGAGGAACGACATTTCGGATGACGATATAGCCTTCGCGTTCGTAGAACTGAAAACAATATTATGCTCACATTCACCATACATCCAAATTCTAGCGCACCCCAAAATAATGGGGACAGCTGGGCAAGCCTTTGAACTTTGGCTCCGAATTTTCGTTGACAGGGGAACTGCGAGAGCCTCGGGCTGTTTGTGAAGTGTAGTTTCTTTAGAGTGGATTCTATTTTGAGTACAAAAATTTTGCATTTTGAACACGCCGCTACAACTGTTAAACTTTTTCGATTTCAATAGCGTTTAAGAATTTGAAACGGTTAAATCTAATGCTAAATCAGCAAAAAGGTTCTATTTTGAAAATTTTTACTTTTTACAGTATGCTTATTTTTCGTGTTTTTTTTAGGTTTTAAGACATTCTTTCTTTCTAATAGAAAAAGGTTAATAGTTGTAGCGGTGTTCGAAATGCAAAATTCGCTATTTTAGAGGGTGCGTTTAAGAATTTGAAACGCACTGTAGAATCCTATAGATCCTATAGAATCCTATAGATCCTATAGAATCATATAGACCCTATAGAATCATATAGATCCTATAGAATCCTATAGATTCTATAGAATCATATAGATCCTATAGAATCCTATAGATCCTATAGAATCCTATAGATCCTAAAGTAAGATCCGTCTATGTGCACAACATTGCAACTTTGGACTGGCCCGCTCAGTCTCCTGACCTCAATCCGATAGAAAATTTATGGGGAATACTTGTCCGAGCTGTCTACAAGAATCATCGTCAGTTTCAAGACGTTTCTACACTTAAAGCAGCAATTTTTTCGGCCTGGAGCGATCTCCACGTCTCTGCTCTTCAAAACCTCATCAATTCAATGCCAGACCGCATTTTTCAAGTAATTAATCGTTCTGGTGCGTGTACAGGTTATTAGTTTTGATTTTTTTACCTTTGATTTTTAATTTGTGTCGAGAAATAAAAATATTTTCATAGTGCGTTTAAGAATTTGTGAAACGCACTGTATAGTCTTGAAATTATAATGATTTGATCTGTCTTCGCACTTAGCGCAGATCACAACCCGCTTCCACATTTACTGAGGCAGAAGTGTAGTTGTCGTAGCCGATGATACTCCGATGGCCGGGCTGGGGCGCTCGGAGGGGAACCCATGGGAGTCGAACCCACGACTAACCCGCGCCGACGTTGCTCAACTTGGCAGATCGGACGGGGTCGACCACAGACCCTTCCCTTTCTGGGCCCCAGTCTTGAAATTTTACTGTAGAAATGTATTGTGCATTAAATTTCACTGTAATAAATTCTATATTGAGGCCTTAGGCGTCTATTTAGGACTATTTCCTTGATATTGATCGTATTAAACCAGTAGAGCTACCGTAAATACTTTAACCGTAATCGTAAAGTCGCGTAGTCTCAAGTCGCAAAAGTTTTTTAAGTATTTCATTTTAACAAAGCACTCGTACTTTCAAAAAAAATAGCCCTGAATTTCAGCTATTTTTTGATACCTAAGCGAGCATTGTAGCTTAAACCAGTGTCGAGAAAAACGCGTTCAAAGCTAGACTACGCGACACTCCGCACCGTCATTATCGGAATGGGATACTATTTACTATTATTTACAGGATTTACAGTCTCTCTTTAGTTTATAAATCGATCAATGACATCTTTGATCTATAAATTAGACTGTTTTATTAGATTAATGTACTTTCTTTTGCTCAGCAGTCAATACATGTCCATCTCGACTCCAATCAATGACACCTTGAGCGAGAGTGGTTGACATCTAAAAAGAAGTTGGGAAATGAGAAAAACGGCACAATTTTAAGACAATTTGAGTGAGAGCAGGCTAATTTTTGGGTTTTGATTAGAGATTAGATGAATAGATGAATAGATTTGATGGCACTAATTTGTTAGTAATTGTTAGACTTTTGGTTTATACTTTGTGCTTGCAAGGAAAGGTCACGATCTGGCACATTCAAATTTTCATTGTTATAGTCAGAAGACTATAGAAGTGAATAAGGAAATAAACAAAAAAAATACGTGCATTAGAAAGGTCGCACTTTTTTTTGAGAGTACAAAGTACGAAATTGTAACCAACAGTTGAAGACTACTCACCAAGGAGATTCTCATCATGAACAATAGTTTTTTGATATATGAATTGAAAACAAAGAATCAATTATGAATATAGGCATTTAAAGATTTTAAAGCAGAACTTATGAATGTTTATAAAGGATTTTAAAAAGCAAGTGATAGAAGCAAGTGATAGAAGCAAGTAATAGAAGCAAGTGATAGAAGCAAGTGATAGAAGCAAGTGATAGAAGCAAGTAATAGAAGCAAGTAATAGAAGCAAGTGATAGAACCAAGTGATTTCTAGACGCGTGTCTCAATGAGCTTTACATGCACTTATAAAACGTGCCACAAACCGCATCACCGGGACAAATAAATGTGTTTTGAAGAGAAATTGAGAACAATCTAATGCCTTTTTTGGCCTTTTTTTGAAAGGAAAGGACAAGAAAAAGTTTGGGAATGGTGAAATGAGAGACAAATAAGTGATTGGGAAACACTCATGATTAGAGGGGGAAAGGAAATCGAGACAAGGCTACAAAATGATAAGGGGAAATCATCAATATGGAATGATCAGACTACGAAATCAAAAAAATAATGGGGAGAACACAGCTGGGCTAAGCCTTTTTTGGACTTTGGCTCCGACTTTTCGTTGACAGGGAACTGCGAGAGCCTCGGGCTGTTTGTGAAGTGTAGTTTCTTTAGAGTGGATTCTATTTTCAGTACAAAAATTTTGCATTTTGAATATGAACACCGCTACAACTGTTAAACTTTTTCTATTTCAACAGCGTTTAAGAATTTTGAAGTGTAGTTTCTTTGGAGTGGATTCTATTTTGAATACAAAATTTTTAAGATTGATTCTTATAATCGATTTTTGAAGTTATTGACAAGATATGACAAGATGATTTTGAAAGAAAAGTCAGCCAGATCTACTCAGAACTTATCGTCCATTGGAATAGTCCAATGCGGATTTGTAACAGATTAAATTCAAATTCACGTAGACGTAAACCTGTCGAACAACAGCTATACCGCTAACAGCAACATCTATACCTTTTTCAGAAACGATAATTTGGAGGGCCTATTTGTAGCTGTAGCTGTAGCTGTAGTTGTAGCTTGTAGCTGTAGCTGTAGCTGTAGCTGTAGCTGTAGCTGTAGCTGTAGTGTAGCTTCTTTGTGGTGGACTCAAATTTGAGTACATTGAAACAGATTTGAAGCACAATAGTTCCCACAGGGCTACTCGAAAATCAAAGCCGCCTCGGCTGATGAACAGAGCAGGATGATTGACTCGGATTAAGACTTTATGAGCTATTTCTTTGTGCTAGAAATAAGCGGTTCGTTTTAGAAAATGTTACCATACTTTAATGTTATTGTACTAAAGCTATTTTACTCATTTTAAGCCACAAATCTACCTGTTTCTCATGTCAGTGCATTTGCTTGACAATTTCAGTTACTTTTTTATAAGCACATCTTAAGAAGCCGTTTTAATAAAAAAAAAATACGGACTTTATTTAACTTTGAGAGACTTTTCGGGGTTGACGCTTTGATTTTTGGGCTTTCGTTGAATGACCCGGTGAATAGCCTCGGGCTAGAGTACACTAGGCTAGACACACAAGCGTTATCATAGGGAAATTTGAGGTAAACAATGCGAGAATGGTGGTTGTGGAGCTCAGAATCTTCTTTGAAAAGATCTGTTTGAAAAGATCTTGGAACTACGCGCATCTTAAATCGTTAAATCGATGGATCCAAAGCAGTGGATTCAAAGCAGTGGATCCAAAGCAGTGGATTCAAAACAGTGGATTCAAAACAGTGAATCCAAAACAGTGGATCCAAAGCAGTGGATTCAAAACAGTGGATCCAAAGCAGTGGATTCAAAACAGTGGATTCAAAACAGCTACCATTCGATAACCCAGAACATTTGCTGATAGTGCAAATTGGTTAAATTTTTAGTTCCAGATTTTGAATAAAGCTATCCAATTTCTCCAATTTAATCCAAATTCTCAATTCCCATGAAACGAGATATGCAAAAAAACAACTTGTTATTGGTTATGGGAGAGAACACGTCGTTTTCCACCGACAAATTCGCCCTACCACAGTCAACTCAGCGAAATGTCACATTTGATTGAGGAGATTGGTGATTGGAGATTAAATTCACTGAAATGAGAGAAATTCCAATTTTTTTTTCGTGTAAAAAGAGGTGTTTTTAAACTGTCAGACATTTCAAATCACAGACTACGAAAGTTTTACAGATCGTGAAAATCAAATTACGGACCCTAAAACGAAAAACGGGACAAAAAGCCACATTAAGATATCGTAACCGCCAAATTGACATTTAAAATCGAATAAAAAATTTCATTTAAAGCATAGTTTCCGAGTGCTCTCCCTAGCCGGGATTTTTCTGACCAAAGAAGCAGTTCTTGTTTTTCGCTCTTCAACACTCGAGTTCTCGCCATTCCAAACACTGTTCTCGATATTGATGAACAGATTCGCTAATGGATAGATTTCCAAAACTTTTTTGGTTGCAAGTATATGAAACACTTGTAAAGTCAAACTTGGCCGCGCATGTTTCATTGCCACACTTTTGGTTGATGCATCAGCATGCTTTTCCCGATCTCGTCAAATTGGGCCAAATGGGGTGCTGCCCATCGGCGCGAAACAATGTAAATTTTCGTTTTCTATCGGATTTTGATGTGCTATGCACCATTTAACGTGAAAAAGTGAGCTGATTTCAAATTTTAAAAAATTTTGAAATCCGCTTGACAGATTTTTTTAAAATCGAATTTTTGCAAAAAAATGCGGGTTTTTAGTGTAAAACTCCAAAATGGCCTGCCTTCTGATGCCCATATCTCATCAAAAACACAAAATTATGTGTTATCAAGGGATACATTTAGTTGCCCAGAATAGGATCTTCATTTTAAAAGAAACAGTACAAAAATTGGATATACCTGTAACAAGTTATAACAGTTTAAATCCAAAAGTGCAATTTGACAACTTTTTGCGCGCTAAAGCATGGATAATTACCGTACTCGGCATTTTTTAGTATATAATGGAAAGTCATCTTTCGACGAAATTAAGATTTTTCTTGTTATTTACTGCTCTCTTTAGTTGTTTTTTCTTCACTTTACTAACTTTTTTTTGTTTTCCAGATAGCAAAATGGTTTGATGTGCCGACATTAAGGAATGGGAGGTTATATTTGTTTTTCTCTCTCTGGTTTAAGTTTTAAAATTTAGATTCCTTTGAAGATTAGATTTTGAAGCAAATCAAATTGCAATTTAGTGAGTTTTTGAACAGAAAATGATTTTATTTTTGAGCAACAATAGTAAAAATTAACAACAAAACTTGGATCTAGTTACACATTAAGTTTCGATCAAATAAAAGAACGTTTTGAGCATGTTTTTTTGAAGCGTGAAGATAAACTTCCAACTTGTTTCCTCTTTTGATTCGTGTGCACAATTGATCGAAAATTAAATGTAAACTTTCTAGGCCTTCTTCGGACATGTTCCCACACGATCTATGAGTTTTCAAAAAGTTGGGTAAATGAGCAAGGGCAACATGAGCTTTGACTGATTTCAATCCAAGTTTGCAAAATTCCAATGATTTTAGCAAATCGTCGGTAGCCAAAAGAATTTCTTCAATTTCTTGATCTGTTATCCTTATCTTTGTAGAGCCAACAATAATCGAAAATGTTTCAAAAGCGTCTAGGCAATCACATCATTGCGCATATTTAATCGAACTAACTGCTTGTCGAAACAAGACTTTGTTTTTGCACAATATTGCAAAAATTGTTTGAATAGGAGAGAGGATTAATTTTTTCTGAACATTAGATCTTCTTTGTCGGCAATACTTGGAGCGGATTTTTCGAGCCAGTCGAAGATTTTCAACGTGCTTCTTCTTCTGTTGTTTTGCTTCTTTTCCATTCGCCTTTTTGCATTGCGCACAAGGATCGTTTTCTTTTTGTTGCCTTCTCTCATCTGAACTTTCTCCCGATGCTTTTTGATTCTCCTTTTTGCAGCACGACTACTTCTCTTAGGCCTCGTCATTTTGCTATCTGGAAAACAAAAAAAGTTAGTAAAGTGAAGAAAAAACAACTAAAAAGAGCAGTAAATAACAAGAAAAATCTTAATTTCGTCGAAAGATGACTTTCCATTATATACTAAAAAATGCCGAGTACGGTAATTATCCATGCTTTAGCGCGCAAAAAGTTGTCAAATTGCACTTTTGGATTTAAACTGTTATAACTTGTTACAGGTATATCCAATTTTTGTACTGTTTCTTTTAAAATGAAGATCCTATTCTGGGCAACTAAATGTATCCCTTGATAACACATAATTTTGTGTTTTTGATGAGATATGGGCATCAGAAGGCAGGCCATTTTGGAGTTTTACACTAAAAACCTGCATTTTTTTGCAAAAATTCGATTTTAAAAAAATCTGTCAAGCGGATTTCAAAAATTTTTTAAAATTTGAAATCAGCTCACTTTTTCACGTTAAACGGTGCATAGCACATCAAAATCTGATAGAAAACGCATTTTCGTACCGAGGTGTGCTGCGTTTCTGGATCCTCCGTTTGTGTTGAACGGCTTTTTAGGTTTTTTTAGCATGCTTTTTACTTTAATATTTTTGGTTTTAGTAGACTTGGCGTTATCTATGGAAACAGAAGAAGGGGTCAACTTCTGCCATCGATCGTAGAGTCAGTGGTCCAGGTGCATGATGCCAATCTGGGAAATATAAAAAAAAAAAGAGGTTGGTGATATTTAAATCAGTAAATTTGAAAAAAGTCCTGGGTATTTCCACCTCGATACACGCAGAAATTCGCGGAAAAAGCGTTTGAGAAAGCACAACTTAATGTCTAGGATCCAACTAGATTACCATCACATTTTTGACAAAGAGAGAGTAAGAGAGAAATTTACACTTGTGTCTCTTCCCCCTCTCCTTTCTTTGAACGCTATTGCATTTTCTGATGCCATACCACTTTTTGACAAAGCCGACTCTTATAGTGATTTTGACGAGAATGATAAAATTTTTGTTGATTTGCAATTTTGTGGAACACTTTAAGGGGCACGTTTGGACGGTTAGGGAGAGCACTTGGAAGCAGGGAGAGCACATTTACAATTTGGTTAGGGAGAGCACATTTACATCTGACCTTTTTTCCTAACAATATTTCAGTTTATGACGAAACTCTTGTTGACCTTAAGGAAAAACTTCTGAACAGTTTCATGTTTTGTGAAATTCTAATCAGGCAACAATTTCCCTTTCTCTTTTGAGATCACCGGGAAATTCTCGATCGGCATCTTTGCGAAAAATTTTAATGTTTTATTTTTCCGATGGTCAAACGGGGAGGAATGATTTGCGTAACGGAAGGGGGAGAGTAACAGAGGAATTGACATTTGTGTCTCTTCCTCTTCCCGCTCTCCTTTCTTTGAACGCTATTGCATTTTCTGATGCCATATCTCTTTTTAGCCTAAAGAATCGTTTATTCAGAGAAACATTGAGAAACTGTTGGTCTTCGAGTCAACTCATCAACATCAACTTTTCAGCTTATCAACATCAACTAATGGTTTGTTTCAATTATTTAATGTTTTCAGTTTTTAAAAATATACTTGACTTGATTTAATTGAATGAAAGAGTCAGATCGTCGTTCAGAAATGGTAGTCCGGGATTGAGCCAAATTTGAAAATGAGCCTCTAAAAGCTTCTACAACTTTATTTCCAGGATCCCTTGTTGGTGATCGAGGCCAAAGATGTTCTGGAGGCTCAAAAATCAACGGATTTCCATCGGCCCAAGAAATGGTTGGGCATGCTGCCCAATCCAGATCTTGTTGAAAGGTTTGTTTTGGGAAATTATGTGGGTTTTGAAGTTTGATTTAAAAAAATTTCGACTTATCTCTGGTTAAAAGAAACAGAAAAATGCTAAATCAACTAGACTGGAAATAAAGTTGTAGAAGCTTAAATCAACTGATTCAATTTCGATTCGGTTTGGTTCGACTTTTGACCGCAACCACGTGTACAACGGAGAGACTAACTCAAAAGCGGAATCATAATAAAGAAATATCAAAATTTGGTCATCAGAACAATTTGTACAGAATTTTATTTTCATTATCGAACTTGATTATTTTATATAGCCGTTTTAATAGCCGTGTTAACTAGATGCTAGTCGAGTATTTTTGCTACAAACATCGTCCCGTTAAGTGGTAGTCAAAAATCGACCTTTGACACATCCATCTCCATTTCGGGGGTGGGACAAATGCGACCTTTTTTTTGCGCACCGGGACATTTGCGCACCTTTTTTTGCTGGAAAAGGCCTTAGGAAAGGTCGTAGAGCTTCAAAAATGTTTTCATAGAGGGGAATCGTATGCGTAGATTCAGAATTTTGACAAATCAAACCTCACTGACACGTCAAATTTGGGCTAAAAGGCAAAAACTACGCAACTTAACGCTTTTCCGCAGTTTTTGCCTTTTAGCCCAAATTTGACGTGTCAGCGAGGTCTGATTTGGCGAAATTCGGAATCTACGCATACGATTCCCTTATATGGAAATATTTTCGAAGCTCTACGGCCTTGCCTAAGGCCTTTTCCAGCAAAAAAAAGGTCGCATTTGTCCCACCCCCTCCATTTCTCAAAAACTGTGCATCGGGATGAAATTTTGGTGAAAAAATCAACAAAAATTCAATTGTTATTAGAAAAAAATTTGAGAAAATGTTATGTTTTAGTTTTTTTTCAAAAGTTCGTCCGAAGACACCGCCATTTCATACTCCCTAATCTAATAGTTTCCATTCAGAGGCGCCGATGCCCGACTTAGCCAGGTCACCAATGGTTTAGCGGTAGCACTACGGGAAAACGATCCGCCAGCCATCGAATTCTACTGTGCAGCTATGAAAAGGTTAATTGTCTTAATCATTTTTTTATGAATTTTGTGTATTTTACAGTTACATCTTCCGTTTCTCCTTTCGTCTTCCGAAAAAAATGATCACCGATATGGTGCCGCTTCTCGTTCAATCAGCGACAATTCCTGCACAGCCTCCCAGCCTCGTTTATGTCATTTTCGAGACCATACAAACACTTTTACAGTAAGATTTAATTTTAAATGTAAATTTGCTAATTTTAGAGAATCGGGACTAACTCGATCCGATATGATCATTTCGATGAAGCCACTTTTCGATATGTTGAGCGGCATAATCTTTGGCAAGGTATGAACAAAATGGATTGAAAGCAGGCTTGTAAGCGGAAAATTGAAGATCTTTTGATTTTCAAAGCAAAGCCCAACGAATGGGGCAGCTACGCACTGCGACGGAAAAAGCGGAAAAATGTAGCTGCTCCATTTGTTGACTTTTTCTTTGCAAATTAAAAGTTATTTGATTTTCCGCTTTTTTTTCCGCCTGCAAACCTGATTGGAATCTAAAAAATAGAATTCCTATTCAAATTTTATATAATATATATTTTAAAATGTTTCCAGAAAGAATCTCAAAGAATTCTCTACTCAAAAATTTCCGATCCGCTAATTTCACTGAAGAAATTCTACTCTCTACAAGATGTTGAAGAGCTCTGGAAAGAAAAGGTGATTTGATTTGATACCGTAAATACTGTAATGGTACAGTATTTACGACCCACTCCCATAATGACGGTGCGGAGTGTTACATAGTCTAGCTTTAAACGAGTTTTTCTCGACACTGGTTTATGCTAAAATGCGCGCTTAGGTATCAAAAAATAACCCTGAATTTCAGCTATTTTTTGATACCAAAGACGCATTTTTTTGAAAGTACGGGCGCTTTGAAAAAAAATGAAATACTAAAAAACTTTTGCGACTACGCGACTGTACGAGAAGGGATGGGGTACTATTACAGTATTTACGGTAGGTTTTAAGCCTCTTAATTCGGTCCCGCACCTCTAAACCCAGTGGAAATAGAGCAACTCTTGAAGGCTCGGTGTTGTTGCTCAAACTGGCATAAAAGTGGTTCAGAATGATTTGTAAATGCTTCCAATCGCTTTGAAAAAAATGAAATACTAAAAAACTTTTGCGACTACGCGACTGTACGAGGGGGTGGGGTACTATTACAGTATTTACGGTAAGTTAATACAATAATAATAAAAATAAAGTATTGTTTTTTGTAAACTATAGTTTAAAATTTTTAGATCTTACCTCTGTTGTCACCGATGGTGCATGGGCGACAGATCAGCATTTTTTTCCTTATCTTCATGCCGACTGATCTCACTCAAGAAGAACACCGAGTCTACGGTAAATATATTGATACTTTATCAGGCAGAAAAAAGGTAATCAGTCAGACAATACACAAATCTACACATAAAAAAAAAGAGAGAGAGGGGAGATTTTTCCCGGGGGGGGGGGGGGGGGGGAAAAGAGGATAGATAGAGGATAGGCTTGCTTTACCCAGGCATGAATGGGCCACGGGGGAGGAAGAGGGGGGGGGGGCGGGCGGGGGGGGGGAAGGAAATCGACTTATAATTTTATAATTTAAATAATATAACTCAGAAATTAACTTATAACTTTCTATTTAGCTTCAATCTTTTAATACAAGTTCGCTTATTACAAGTTCCAGGCGCCAGTCAATGGTTTCCGATGATTTGGAATCTCTTCTCGTCGTGCAAACGAAAAAGTCAATGGACAATCAAACTTGTTCGGATCTTTTACAAGTAAGAAATAAACAATTTCTATTTTCGAAAACTTTAGACTGGAACGTGACTGCCCTGGACTAATAGACTGGCGAAAATATGATGAAGAGCTTTTCTCGTGTGTATTAAAATGCTTTCAGGGACATCAAAAGGTAAATTTCCCTTTTTTGGAAAATTCATTTACCTATACTAGACAAAAAGTTCACTTTTAGGGTTCAAATATCGATCGAATCACTTTGGCCACCAATTTGGCCCATTTGATAGCATACCGGCTGGGTGGAGATCACTCGTGTTTCTCCCATCTTCAACGAATTCTTCGTTTTGTCGGCCCACTCATGCATCCATCTAGCGACGTGGTTTGTTAAATCGTTGTTGTAAATATTGCCAATAAAATACTAAAATCCAGGATCACACGGATATCATTTTCACATTTTTGCAAGAGTTAACGAAGAAGATGTTAGGCCGATATCGACGAGAGCGAATCAAGAAGCACACCGTTCATCTCGTGAGTTTTGATTCAAATTTTATATTTTATGTATCTAAAATGCTCAAAACGTATTTTTACAAAGCAAACTTTCAACAATTTTTTATGGAACTTTTATGGAACAACAACTTTATGGACTTTTTACAGAGATCATCAGAATATCACTTGGGCGATGAAGACTTGAAAACGATCGTTTCTTCAATTCTCCCAATCATCCTTCCAAGCATTTTCGATAAGAGTCACAGAACGGTGAAATTACTTTGTGTTAATTCAATCTCAAAAATTTCAGGAACCAGCCATAATTCTGAAATATTTGGCGACATTTGCACCAGATATGGTGCTTCCGGAGATTCTCAAAATGTAAGTTTTTGAATTTTCTACTTAATTCTCTCGATTTAGCGTTTTTCCCTCGTTAAAGGCCAACTCGGAACCTCATCGTCTAAAGCAGTCGCTCAGATGTCTTGAGGTTTTGTAGCAATAACTTCATTAAGTTTTGTTTTTGCTTAATTTCTTAAAAGTGAAATAACCTCAAGATGTTCTCGATATTCAATTGTAAGTAAATCTTTACAGCAAGTCATCCTGCTTCTTTGTCAAGAAAAATCGGAAATGCCAACCAATTTCCCAGCTTTGATTGATCAAAAGGAGATTCCGAATATTTCCATCAGGTTTACATCTTTATTCTACTTGATCAATTTTTATTTTAGATGTTATATTTTAGATTTTAGCTTTGGATGTTTAAATGTTTAGATTTTAGATGCCATGTCATCTTTCTTTTGGAAGGATTACTAGAAGGATTGGACATCAACGACCTCGGGAAAACCTATCTCGTCGTTCAAGTATTTTTTTTATTTAAGACCAATAGATAGACTTTTAGATCATGTCCAACATTTTCTATTTGGTGCCAACGGTGGATTGCACTGCTTTGGCTGAAAATGATGATCCAAAGATCGCATTAACCAAAGAAGAGCGAACCCTTTGTCGGCTGACAGCTCGACTACCAAAAATTGCTGAAAATGTCTTGGAAAAGTATTGAAATTTGATTAAAATTCATTGAGACCATTCAGGATTCTATCAATCGTTGAAGGGATGGGAGAGGATTTGCAAAGGAGTGACGAGTGTGAGATTGGGGTGAGGTTGAAAAAAAGATTGAGAGCTCTAGCTCGATTGCTAAGGTGAAGATAAAGATATCGATGAACTTATGAATGCAATATTTTGAAAGGTGTTATTTAAGAGTCAATATTTGGCTTTTCAACTGTGATGACTCTTGAGCCAAGCAAGGAAACGACCATATGAATTCTCGCACTTGTGTTTTCATACCTTGAACTGTTGAAATAATCAAAATGACGTCAAACTTGATAAATTCCCCATCAAATACACAAATTATAGGCCGACAGCGAAAAAATGGTACGAAACGAGGCTTTTCTCCGTGATGACATCGATAAACTTTTCTCCGCTCTTTTCAGCAATGCATCAAAGCAAACACGAGTGGTAAACGTTTTTAGATTCAATTTCAATTTCAACTTCCCTTTCCAGAAACACGCTCACCGAATTTTTCTCTTTGTCCGATCGACAGTGATCGCTCCATCAGCTGCCGCAAAAATCACGCAGACTTTGGTCCGATTGACGACATTTGTGAGTGGTGTCGTAAAAACAAAAATGACTAAAAGTTTAGTATGTGCCCGAAGTAGCTGAAGAGCTGTCGATGTTGATTTGTGACAAAGTGATCGAGGAACTCGACGAGTTCACTAAATCGAGAGCCGAAAAGAGCAATGGCGCTCTGCAATGGTACAAAATTTTATAGTGAAAAATCGGAAGATAAAAATAAACCGAAATAAATACATTTGTAAATTACAGGTGGTCTGGGTTGTTCGAATCTCTTTTAAGTAGATACTACCATTTGGTGAATGAGAAGACCAGAGAGAAGATGCTCAAAGTGATTGATGATCTCTTAGCGAAAACGGATCAGCCACTTTATGAGGTTAAGAAACTTTTCAGATATAAATATCAGTATTTCAGTCAGGAATCAATGCTTTGGGTGGATATTTATGGTGTACTTCCCAAAGTCGAGAGGCTGGATATTTGGCGATTTATGCCGAAATCGACAAGCCTATCGAGGAATGGATTCCAGTCCGCGTAAGAAATACTAAAATACCCTAGCATTATATTATTCTGTATTGAAGCTAAATGTTTTTAGAATAACTTTTGAGTCTCAATCAAAGAACTTGTTCAGCATTGGGGTGAACTTTTCGATGAAGATCATCAAAAAGCCCATTGGAACGTCCCAACCCAGGCTAAAATTGATTTCGCACAATTCATCATCAACGAGTATTTGTGTATTAATTTATAATATTATTATCTTTTTAGTTATTTCAAGAAAGCGGTTCAACGCCTAAAAAACTCGAAAGATGCTGATAGGTATTTAGCTTTTTCTTTGATGATATTTATTAATGCTAACATTAATACCAATTCAGCAAAGCGCTTCGTCGCGATATTTGCATCGTTCGTTCCTTGTTTGACACTTCGAAAGTTCTACTACCATCAATTAGAAACGTTGAAATTTTGATGAAAGAGGTGAACAGAAGAAAGTCAATCGAGTCAATAAATGTATACTTTATTCTAGGATGATGAGATGATGATTCCTCTCTTTGTTCCAAGGCCAACAATCTCCGAACATGGTATGTAATGATCGTTTTTGATCGATCGACCGATCCATAGTAGACATCGGTTGTAACTAGTTTGTAAGACAATTATTGACTTTTTTAAACCTGACAATCTTCAGCATTGACTTTGGACGGCGATGACATCCGTGAAGCCTTCATCGGAGCAATGGAAGTGCTCATTGATCAGGAATTAGAGGTGAATTCTGTAACGAAAAAACATTTTTAAACAACATATTCCCTATGGGTCTATTTCAAATTTCCCAAGTTACTGATACAATTGACGCTCGATTTAACGAATCGCAGGGGACCGAAAAGATAATTCGTTAAATAGAAGCAAATACAGGATGATCAAAAAGTTTCCGCACACTTGTAAATGATTCATTTTCTAAATAAAAGCTAAAACAACATTTCCCGTGTTTTATAGTATTTTGAAGCTAAAATTCTCATGAACATTTCTATAAGTAAACCACTGCGATCAGAAATTTCCAGCCTTTTCAAGAACCCTTGCACTTCATTCCAGGCAAATCGCCCATGAGACAAACACAGTTTTGCATGTTTTTGAAGACTATTTTACGTTTTGATTTTGATGAGAGAGTTTCTTCTTTTAAAATAACAACTGAACTATTACTTAAAACAAAAGGCATAAGCTTAAAAAGGCTTTTTAAAGGATTTTTCAATTGAAAACAGGTTCAAATAGGTGAGCGCCCTGACAGTTTGCCTCCAGCGCGCTACAATGCTTTTTTGGAGAGCTAGGTGGCTCTGATCACGATGGTTTAGGTGTAAAAATGCTCCCCAGAATTTCAGCTTTAAAATACTATATAGTAAATCCAATTTCGATCTGGGTTTTAGCTGAAAAATCGGGCTTCTTTTGTAAAGTGTGTGGGGACTTTTTGATCACCTTGTAACCTTGTAAACCAATTTTTTTCACCAAATTCACTATATAGAAAATTATAATGAGTTTATTAACAAAAAAATAATTTTTTGGCTGATCGATTTTGGGTCGAAATCATCTTTTCAGGGTCGAAAAGACGAGGCTCAGCTCCGTCTCCAAATCGCCCAATCGCCACTCACGGCCACCAATTCATCTATGGATTTTGGGGTTTGATAGTAAAAGGTTAATGATTTTCCTTGATATTCAGGATAATGTCACTAACCAACGAGATACGGTAAAGGAATTGAGGGCTCGGATTCAATGTGAAATTCATCTCAGTGAGAGGTAAGTATAGTCTAAAATAGTCTTCAAAAACATGCGGAACTGTGTGTTGTCTGATGGGCGATTTGCCTGGAATGAAGTGCAAGGCTTCTTGGAAAGGCTGGAAATTTCTGATCGCAGTGATTCACTTACCTCTCACCTCTCATACATTGACAATCACAACAAATACCTCACCCTAGTGTATCAGTAACAAAAATTAGACTCTCACAAATGCAAAAGGTTCAAAATCAGTTGAGGAAAAGACGTTCGGCATTTTCAGAAAGGTATTCCGATTTTAGGGCACCTTCAGCTCTTGTGAACGCCATTTTGGAATTGATGCATGCGGTAGGAGAAGGCTGACGTTCACTTTTATAATCCATTCAGGAATACAAATACTTTTTACCCGATGGTCTTTTCACTTCATTTCATCTACGCGTTCTTCGAATCCTTGTCAAATGCTCTTTGAGTATTTACAAAGAGGTACACCGAATTTTCCATTTCCCTTGTGTTTTAATTTCCATTTCTCTGATTTGATCTTCAATTTTGTTCCATTTTAGGCGCGTCGAAAAGCTCGAAATGATCTCGTCACTATGTGTGATTCTCATCAAGAAGCAAAACAATATGTCATTCAACCGGTGATCGATGTGCTCGAAGCTGTTGAGAAAAACGATGATCAAATTGTAAAGGTTAGAAGATGATGAGGAGTGAGAGAGAAAGTACGGTACATACAACACATACAAAAGTATGTATGTGTGTATGTAACGTACTTTCTCTAATAGTAGTGCACCCTAAATTGCTCGAAATCTCGAAAACCGCTTATCAGAACCTATTGATGTGGGGTCGAAAAATGTAGCTGACGATGAGATCTTGTCGGAGATTGGAGTGTTGAGTTTCTGTGAAAACTTGGGAACTGTAAAATAGTGATCAACCCGGCTCACCGCGGTGCACTACTATTAGAGAAAATACGGTAATAGGCCAATTGAATTAGACTTCTCTAAATAAAAGTTACCGTATTCTCTCTAATAGTAGTGCACCCTGAGCGTCGCCTAAATTCCTTGAAATCTCGAGAACCGCTTATCAGAACCTATTGTTGTGGGGTCGAAAAATGTAGCTGACGATGAGATCTTGTCGGAGATTAGAGTGTTGAGTTTCTGTGAAAACTTAGAAACCGTAAAATAGTGATCAACTCGGCGGGGTGCACTACTATTAGAGAGGATACGGTAAACTAGTATCCGTTAAAAGTCGTAAAAGTAAAAGCATTTTACATTTTCCCTAGTTCATCCAATCAAATTGAAATCTAATCCAACAGAAGCAAGTCGATTGGCATTATTTTAGTACTTTGGAAAAGTTACAATAAAGTTACATGAAAGTTGAGTTTAGAGTTAACCTAGAAGAGTGTTTTTCCTTGAAAAACACATGACATTTTTATCTATAATTTTCAGCTGAGAGTTCAAAAAGTTCAAAGAATTACTTACAATATATATATATATTTAACCGTAAACCGTAAAATATTCATCAACTCAGCTATTAGAGAAAATGTAGTATTTAATTCCAGGCTGCCCTTCATCTGATTTGCGATCTCAAACTGGCCGCCCATCCACAAGCGAAATATCGTAATGAGATTTGGAAGGCTCTCCTTGAGATGACCGTCAATAATCGGCCGAGTATTATCCGGGCTCTAGGACAAATTCTAGAGGATATCTCCGAAATGTCACCGTAAGAGAAACTGACTTTTATTTATCAGAAAGTATCAAACAGAGTCGGATCTCATCCATCAAAATTAAGAAATCAAAATAGTTTCAAAAAACAGTTTTTTTTGTCGAACAATAAGTATCTAGTATAAAATGAAATTTCTTTTTTGTACACTCTAATTTTCAGATTACCTCAATCGGGTTATCCCTCATCACCTATAAAAGAAGAAAGAGAAAAAGCGGAGGTAACAATTGCCAGCTGTTTATCACTTTGTTATTTTGTTTTAATTTCAGAAAATCCTTTCTTTCGATGCTCAGAAATTTTGTGATCAACTCGAAAAAGACGATCTCTGGACGTTCTACAAAATGGAAGACTTCCACAATCGATACAAAGAGTATCAGAAAAAGAAAATAGTTGAAGAGATCAGGTTTTTCAAAGAAATGACAAATTATATTTCTAATTTAGATCCAATGAGGAGTTTACGAAGAAGTTGCTGAATTCGTGTGACTCGACGTTGATCCATGCGATGCAGCGGGAGCTAGCCCAGCAAATGCTCTTGGCCACTCATCACTTTTTACCAACACCGGCTGTGCTCAAGGTGAATAATTTATTCGAATAATTATTTCTTTAAATTTATACAATTAAATACTTTATCTTATATTCTCATTCAGGTTTTCTTGGCCTACACAAGCCATGATCAGAGCCACACTCGGTGCGTTGCCTGGCAGTCTATCAAGTGAGTTATTGTATGGTGATTGTAATCTTTAACTCGAAATTTGAGAGAAAATCTATTTCATAAACATTTCATGAACAATTCCAGGTGTATTCTGAAAACATTTTACAGGCTATGGCTAAAGATCAACAAGCCAAAGATGAAAAAAATCGAGTGGACGGGACCTGAAAGGGTGAGTGTTGCTCGTGAAATAAAAGACATCCGCGAAACGTCAATAGTTGTAAAACGGGGGGCTAAAATGGCTAAAATCCAATTAATTTTATTTCCAGAATTCATCAATTTCCCCATTCGCTTGTGGTATTCGATCAGACAATCAATTTGCTGCTTATGCCGTCGAAAGATTGCCTAAAGATGAAGAAACATGGAACAAGACGATTTTCATCAAAAAGCGCCATGGTGGCTACAAATGGCCAAGGTTTGAGATTAAAAAGATTGCGTAGATAATTCTTTTATATATAAATAGAAATACTTCTTTTCAGTTCTCCGATTAAAGTGGAACAAGGCGGTTGTGGTTTGGCAGAGTCCAAAGTGCCCGAATTCGACTCTGTGATCATCGAGTTCTTCACGAATTCCGAAAATATCAAAAAGCTCATGAAGTCAGTTTGTTGACATCAACATTCATTTAGCATTTTCCAGAATTTGGACGGTCAACACAAATGGAAAAGTGAACAATTATCTCTGGAGGAGTGAGCACAATCATGTGGCGACGACGATCAAGTAAGCTTGGTTTATTTCTTTTAAACAAGTCATTGCAATTGTCATCTAAAACATTGATAATTTTGAAATTCCAAAATTACAGATACCTCATTCGAAACTATGAACCCGTGGATGGGATACAAGAGATCTTTACCGATAATCTGAAGAAATTGAGGACCAAGAAGAAAGTTAGTTCAGCTAGAACTAGTCCCAGAAACATTATTCGTCATTTGTCAAAGCAAGATTTTGATATTTTAATTTAAAATATTCAAGAATATATTTGGCTATTATTAGGCTATTATTAGGCTAATATATTAGGCTACTATAGGCTCAACTAAATATTTATTTTCCCTAGCAAAAAAGTCGTTTAGAAAGAAGAGCAACGCGTCGCCTTCGATCTCTTTTACGGAATTGTCAAGGTAATTTCAATTTCTGAAACGTATTAATAAACAAATAAATAAATGAATAAACAATTTTACGATAAAATTTTACGATTATCTTTTCAGGGTTCTCGTCATCACTCGTTCTCTCGCCTTGAAAAGCTTTGGTCATGGCTTGCCCCATCTTTTATCACTCTTCTCGATAACATTCATTCAGATGAAAGTAAAGAAACGGAAAATTATGGAAATAATACAATTAAATTGGTAATTTTAACTATCTAAAAGAAAAAAAAAACTAATTTTCAGCTTTTCAAAAATGAAGATCTACGTCGTTTCTGGTGGCTCATCGAAGCCCTTGTTGAGTCGATCAATTCGACGAAAACTTTCGAGAACAGCTGGCACTATGCTTTGTGAGAGTTTCTTGAGAATTTAAACTTACAACATAAACAACTTTTTCAGTAAAACGAAGCTTCTCTCGATGAGCACTTGGAGGGAAACTGAGCTCCGAAATCGGCTGATTGATCGGGTGAGTTCGGAGCTAAACTAGGCTAATATAATTTTACAATTAGTAAAATCAACAAACTAGCAACAAGCAACAATAAAATTTAAATCTCTAAAACCATCTTAATAATTTACTTAATTACACAGTCTTTACTTTATCTTTGCTTTATCCAAAAACTCAATAGCAAATCTGATTCATAATGTACTCTTCAGGCTCTCGATTTTCTCCCAATTACTCGAAAAACTGGACAACGAGAAGGAATCGTCAAGTAATACACATTTTCTTAAAGTTGCTTTATTTCATTTCAGAATTCTAACTGATGCAATTCGATGTGGAACGGATAATATCGGAAATGACTTTTCAACGATCCCATCCACTTTCCAACTTGGTCAAATTGATCAATGGATTGAAGTGATCTATCGAAAGGTTAGTTCTATGGTAAAAATTTAAATTTCTGACATACTTTGTAGCTGGCCGATCTTCTTCGAAATGTGGAGAAATCCATTGACTTTCCTAAACTTTCATCGGAATTGGCCAAACTTGAAATTGATGGTGGTATTGATTGCAAATTTGAGCAGCATCTGAAGGAATTGAACCAAGGTGAGTTCTGATTCTGAACCGTAATTCTGAAAATGAGCTTTCTAGGTTCACCAATTTCTAATGATGGGCTTGAAGATTCAATAAGTTTCAAGGGTTTGCCTACACCTCCCGAAGAGAAAGACGAGAACTTGGTTGGTGACGTAGAAATGGATTTTATTATAATTTTCAGTCACCTGATTTCGTCACCGAGTTGTCAGAGAAGTTGAGCGAGACTCAACTCGATGTAGCTCACAAGAAACCAAGTAGTGTTACAAAATCTTCGAGAAAATCGATTTTTAGAAGTCTCTCCTCTTGCATCACCGGTGTCTCTTGATTTTACGATTTCTCCTCTCGAATGCACATCCCTTATCGAGATCATTCAAGGGAATCAATGTGATAAGGTACGAGTGCCTTCATTACTGAGTGGTTAAGAGTCTTATATCCTAGTCGGCAGGTCAGGTTTCGATCCTAGCGGCTAGAAAATTTGGCTCTTTTTCTATATACATCGGTTTTTCTCGGCAATATCTTTAGGGGTATTTGAGCGGTTGTGTAAAGATATTGAAGGAATATCTACTTCAATATCTTTATCTTCAATATAAAACCGAACATGATTTCAGGCGATCACCTACATCCGTACACTCGTCGAACTGTTGACCGCCTATTACAAAGTATGTTCCAAATTCTCTTGCTGATTCATTGTTTTTTTTTTTGACTGCAGAATTCGGTGTTCGGAACTAACGAAGCGATCCTCTCAACTCTTCCAATGATCCTACAAATATCTTGTGATGAGCCTGATCGGTAAATCCCATCTAAAGCCATGAACTCATTAATTCTCATTTAGATACCTTGTACTTGTTGGTAGCGACTTGAAGCAATTGGCGTGTACCCTTGCTTTCGAGTACATCGCTTCACACATCGATAAAAAACATACTGATTTAATGCTTCAAACGCTTGAAGAGGTTTATCCTTGAGAAAATGAGAATTTTCGAGTTATTTTTGGAATTTCTGTCTTTTTGCAAGCTGTAAATCTACTATAGATAAAAGAGCAATGTCTCTCTGTTTATACTGGCATTTTCTCGGCTGTGTTTTGATCAATAAAGCTAAAACCTTTAAAACCTAAAACTCCTTTAGAAAACCTTAGAATAGATTGCAGTTGTGGCATTTAAAAAATTAAAGTTGGATGAAACACCCGAGAATGGAACCCAGACCGTTTGGGCTGTAGACAAGCGCGCTCCTGACTGCGTCACGGTGACAAAACTGATTCAAACATTTAGCCGAAAAGGTCCACCGTGGTACGGTCGACAGCGCGCTTGCCTATAGCCCACAAGACCGGGTTTCGATTTCCCGGGTCTTTCACCCAAAGTTGGTTTTTTGAAATTTTTTTAATGACACAACTACAATATATTCTAAGGTTTTCTAAAGAATTTTTAGCTTTATTGATCAGTTGTTCTTTTAATATTGATCATAGGTCCTGGTTAATATTGATCATTAATTTTGGAATTTGGTGAATTGCTAGTTTCCAAAGTTTCAAGGACTCCAAATTGGTCAATCTTTGGTTTATTGATCATTTAGACTTTCAACTCGATAACTCTATGGAAAGTGAAACGAGGAGTGCTGAAATTCTTGAGAGTAAGGAAATCTGTTGAAGTTATGAAATGATCGAATTTAGGTGGCTATCATCGGCAATTTATTTGCTTTTGCAGACAAAAATCAAGAGCAACGAGTGCTGGGAATTGTTGTAAAAGGACTTACAGACGTTCAGGTAAACAATAAAATGCAATAAACAATAAAATAAAGCATTAAAATTTGATCTTTACAAAAAAAAAGCTTTTCAGCCAGAAGTGCAGGGGAAAGCTGTAAAGTGTTTGATGAATTTGGCCTATTCAGGATATTTCGAAGTCGATCATCGATTTTTGGTTGGTGAATTAAGAAAATTAAGAAAATGTATCGTTTTTTATTATATTATAATAAATAAATCATTTCTGATACAATATTTCATCTAATTTCAGGAAATCTTCGCAAATTTGTGTACTTCATCGATCAAAACGATCTCCGATGGTGGCCTCCTCGCCTATTGTGCTATTGTTGAGGCTTTTCCATTCAGGTAAAAAAGATTTCAATATTAAAACTAGATTTTGTAGAGATATCAAAAACTTTCATTTAAAACTTTTTATTCCATTTCAGTTGTCCACAATTTCTCCCAAAGTTGATCACGAAATTGTGCTCTTTGCCAGCAAATCCTCAAAGTCAAGTCGTTAAGGTGAGTGAATTTTTAAAGTTTATAAAAAATTTCAAATTTCATAAATCATTTTTAAACAAATTTTATCACTTCAAAACAGCTGTTAAGCTGTTATAAAGCTGTTATAAAGCTGTTATAAAGCTGTTAGAAAGCTGTTAGAAAGCTGTTATAAAGCTGTTTTAAGCTGTTATAAAGCTGTTATAAAGCTGTTATAAAGCTGTTTTTGAGCTGTTATAAAGCTGTTATAAAGCTGTTTTAAGCTGTTTTAAGCTGTTTTAAGCTGTTTTAAGCTGTTATAAAGCTGTTTTAAGCTGTTTTAAGCTGTTTTAAGCTAGCCTTCAATCATAACACAATCAATTTTCAGAAATTCATCGCGAAAGCTCTCCGTGATTTCCGTTTCACTCATCGAGAATGTTGGGATGAGACAAAAAGGTTGATATTAGAGAAAATAGAACTTTAAAAAAATTTTAGTAATATGAAAATCAAATAAACACAATTTTCAGGGTCCTTGGGATCGATCTACTGTATCAAGTGGAGAACGCCTGTGCACCCAGCTATTACGCTTAAATGAAAAATTATTGAAAAAAAAAATAGCAATGATAGCATTGAAATTTTCGATTCTCAGGGAATTTATTCGTGTAATGGTCTAAATTATGTATTAATTTCTTTTCTTTTAAGAGTTTTATTCTGAAATAAAAAATTAATACCGTAAATACTGTAATAGTGCTCCGCCCCCAAAATGACGGTGTGGAGTGTTACGTAGTCTGGCTTTGAACGAGTTTTTCTCGACACTGGTTTATGCTACAATGCGCGTTTAGGTATCAAAAAATAGCCCTGAATTTCAGCTATTTTTTGATACCAAAGACGCATGTTTTGAAAGTACGGGTGCTTTGCAAAAAATGAAATACTAAAAAGCTTTTGCGACTACGCGACTGTACGAGGGGGGTGGGGGAACTATTACAGTATTTACGGTAGTATTTCTCATAAAAATAGAACAGTTTAACTACGGTAATTTTCTCAAATATTGGCTTAAACGAAAAGTTCGTGCGGGAAAAGTTTTTTCTTTTGGGAGAGGATCTTAAACTCAATCAATTTGGACGCGTAATAGCTCGTTCGGAAGCTAATTATCAAGTGGATTCAATGAAAAAAAAACCGATTATTGATTCATTGCGTTTTAAAGTTTTTACTGAGTTTTTAGTAGAGATGGTGAGACCGTAAAAGTGCAAAAATAGCGTTTCGTCAGTTTTTCGCTTAAAAACCTAAGCTAAAAACATGTTTTTCGGGATCAGCGGCAAAAATTACCCCAAGGAATTCAAAATTACGTTTTTTGAAAGGAAAAAAATTGTCGCATTTTGTCGCAGGCGGGGTTCGAACCAGCGACCGTCAGATCAATAGATGTCGCGGCGATTCGCTGCGTTTTCTCTCGTTTTTCTCTATTTTTTCTTTCTTTTGGTGTATTAACTTTACAAAAAGAAGAATTTTAATGCAAACAAGCGAAGGAGATGCGACGTTGTCCGAGAACTTCTCGATAGACAACCGAATAAGAAGACAGGATCAAAGAGTTTTCTTTCTTGTTGTTTTAATGTTGTTTTTTTAAAGTTGATAGTGAGCACACTCTAGTGGTGCTCGTGACATTTTTTGAAAGCCAAATTATTTACCGACCGTGCAGAATTTCATCCCTGAATGAGTGTGATCGAGACTCAAATCAAAACAAATATTTTCTTTAAATCGCATTTTCATCGATTTGTGTTTTTGAATGTCGCGATAGGACGTGCTCGAATAAATATTTTGAGCATTTATTTAAGTTTATAATCTTTGTACATTCATTTGAAAGTTATCGATTTTGCGATTTTTTTACAGATGGCGTTTCGCTTTGCGTTGTCACACTTGACATTGTTCCGAATAAGAGGACAGGATCAAAGAGTTTTCGTTCTTGTTGTTTTTTAAAAGTTGATAGTGAAGACACTCTAGTGGTGCTCGTGACATTGTTTGAAAGCCAAATTATTTACCGACCGTGCAGAATTTCATCCCCGAATGAGTGTGATCGAGACTCAAATCAAAACAAATATTTTCTTTAATCGCATTTTCATCGATTTGTGTTTTTGAATATCGCAATAAGACGTGCTCGAATAAATACTTTGAACATTTGTTTGAGTTTATCATCTTTGTACATTTGTTTAAGTTTATTATCTTTGTACATTCATTTGAAAGTTATCGATTTTGCGGTTTTTTACAGATGGCGTTTCGCTTTGCGTTGTCACACTTGACATTGTTCCAATTTCTGACGTTACTTGAGCCAAGACCGGTTGCATCATCGGTGTAAATCTGAAGTTTTTCCATTTGTAAACGATGGATGAAGGCTTAACCTCTGTAGCTAGACTGCGGTAAACACTAACGAACTGTTTATTGCAGGTATTACAATAACTAGTCTTACTAGAGCAATGCTTTCATTCTGCTTACTCACCTCAACACAATTCTGATTTGAATAATCATCAGCCGGTTCATCCTTTGTCCATTGGGTGTAATTGAGAGCCGAGCCGTCTGTCCAATACCATTGGCAGCTTTGACAATCTCTCTAGATTTGAAAGAAATGCCAAATTATTGGTTTTTGCTTTCTCACCTTTAACCCAATCCAAGTCTGAAGGTCGTGCTCAGTCACTCCCAATTTGTAATTAGCTGTTCCTTGGTCTAAACTTTTCAATGATCCTTGAAAGGTAGTCAGATGAAATTACCCTCACCATTCTCAAATATATGAAATTACTCTCACCGTAGATCCAATCGTTTTCCGATGAAGTATGAATTGAGGCTAAATGAGCGCCAATCGATTTACAGCCGTTTTCAGCCGAGTCAAAAGTGTCGAAGTTGCGTATAATCTTGAATGATTGTTATTAGACAATGAGTTTAGATTTTAGAGTCTGAGAGATCTTAGAGATCTTAGAGATCTTAGAGATCTTAGAGATCTTAGAGATCTTAGAGATCTTAGAGAGTTTAGAGATCTTAGAGATCTTAGAGTCTTAGAGATCTTAGAGAGTTTAGATCTTAACCTTATAACAAGCAGCTTCCGGTTGTCTCCAAGACCATCCCGATTCGCATGGGGGATTTGTACCGGATGGATCAAGGGCACAACTAAATGGAGATAGGTTAAAGTTAAAGTTCTTTCGTTTTCTAAAAGATTATTCTAGAAAACTATCGTAGTCAAGCTCTTTTATGAGTATTATACTCGTTTGTCTATTTACTATTCACTTCTCCTGAAAACTTACGCAAATGGAAGCATTGTTGGACATTGTTCTGTAAGCCAGCTGCTAGAAGAAAGTTGAACAACTCCACAGGGGTAACGAGGCTCACCTAAAGCTTGTTCACAGTATTCTAGCCACAGTATCCAGCCTTAAGGTTAATATTTTCAAGTCAAGATAAGTCTTGCCCAGCATACTGTAATGATAGTATCTTTAAGTTGTTCTAGAACCGACCACTTGCCCATCGCTGATAAGTGAACGGTGTTCCATCGGCCCATGTGTATGTCCTGTTATCCACCGAGCGAGCGCCTATCCAAAAGGCGTTCACTGTTGGGCTCTACATAGAAATTGATCAATTATCAATTGATTGATCACTTACATCAGCTCTCACTTGACTTGAGATCGTTGCTGATTCGAAAGCGTCTGTTATTGAGGCCAATCGACCACCAAGACTGAAATCATTTTGTGATAGGCTAGACAATGAGTTTAGATTTTAGAGTCCTAGAGATCTTAGAGTTTAGGTTTTAGAGATCTTAGAGATCTTAGAGAGTTTAGACCTTAACCTTATAACAAGCAGCTTCTGGTTGTCTTCAAGACCATCCCGATTCGCATGGAGGATTGTTTGCAAGACTCACTTGTAGCAGAAAGTGTCGGCTTGATCGAAGGTGAGCGGGTAATTGTAAAAAGCGAAGCATTTAGGGCGAGATCCACTCAACGCTGAATTCAATGGGCAAAAGGCGGTTGCTGAAAAGTTTCTTGGTAAGTTTTGATTCTCAAATCTGGAAAAACTTGTTACCAAAATGGAAACCGATTAATAGATCCGTTCAACTGATTCATTGGTTTGGTACTGCTTAGGATTAGGCTCAAAAGCGATCTAATTATCTTTGATACGGCAATCTAATTACCATACCATTGGCAATCTAACTTTAAGCTCAAATATCTTGGTGGCTCAAATAGCTGTTCAATTGAAATAGTTTTTGTACCAATCGATAGAGAAAGATTTGACGCATCTAATGATATTAAGAATTACTAAATTGAACGGCTCAACTCCAAGATATTTGAGCTCAAAGTTAAATTGTGAATGGGAATGGGCACGGATCAAATGTCCGATAACCTCAAAAGCTTACTGAGCACTTTACTGTTGGCTTTTCATTGTAACAATTACAGTGTCCTTTACAATTACAACAATCTCATCTAAAAATTCACCTGTACTCAATAATAGACTAAAGCTCAAAAGCTTAAACATTTTTAGAATAAAATATCGTAGAAAAAGTCTGTTCAGTGCTCGAATGTGCTCTGCTGAATGACCGCTACTACTCAATTTATATTCTCTCGAACGGGCTGAAAATTATCTCACCAAGAAATTTGTTCATCGGCTTATCGCGAGTTATCAGTGAACTCGCGATCGCAATGATTCATCGCTTTTTAATGATTTCGAGCGGAAACGATTGTAAAAATAATGACATCAAAGGATCATGAATGAAAAGATTTATTCGAGACAAACAAGAATTGAAAGTGAAATCGATTTAGAGGTCAGTTTTCCAGGCGAATGGGTATTTTCGGCGGAGCGTGCGCGAATCGTTGGCACAGGCTTTCGGCTTGGTGTCACCTTTGTACCTAGAAGCTAGAGCTGATCTGCTGATCTAATTTGGTCCTAGAAGCTAGAGCTGATCTAATTTGGACCTTTATCTTTCTACTTGGATTGAGAAAAAGGCTCAGATGGGCCGGCCACGTAGCCAGAAGAACAGACGATAAGGATCACAGAGTGGAGATGGACGATACGGATCACAGAGTGGCTACCACGAGACCAGAAGAGGCCCATCGGAAGATCAGCAACGAGGTGGAGCACAAGAGTGGCAGAGAGGGTCAGAGAAAGGATGGCTAGAGTGCAACCACCATCAGCACAAGCAAGTCGAAGACTTCGAACCAGGAACAATCAAGATAGGAAACACTCGATGACAATAGCAAGGGATAGAGAAATGTGGAAGCAGGTTGTGATCTGCGCAAATAAGAACACCTGAGTGCGAAGACAGATCAAAAAAAATCTTTCTACTTGAAACCTTTAAGCTTGTCGAATAGATTTGGCTAATAGATTTGATCTAATAGGCTATCAAACATTATCAAATACAAAGCTTTACTAAATCAGATTTGGTTCCAAATTTGATAGCTTATGAAGCTCTGAATTTGATAGATTTGATAAAGATAAGCAACTTTAAAAATAGCTAAATAGCTTTCCTACAAGGGTAGGCTACATTCAGCTTACCATTGGCAAATGACAAGCGGTAGATCAGCGGTGAGATCTTGCGCTGAGGCCAGCGAAACGTTGTTGAAGAGAACCCATGGGACGGCAAAGTGTTTTTCTGGCTAAATCTTGCTTTATAGTTGAAGCTGGGTAATGACTATGTAACGATATTTGTTCTTATCTTATTTAACATAATACCTCATTAGAATTCCACTAATTATACGACTACTTTGTCATCGTTTCACCTGAACATTGTCTGTCCTTGCGGCGGCCGCTAGTTGAAGTTTTGTGCTCAGTTTTGAGACGAGACAAGATCTGAATTTGGAGTCATTTTTGAGTTCAACTAACGAGGGAATGGTAATAGGTTACTGTGACCTTTCCAACCGAAAAGAGCCAACCGAAAAGCCAACCGAAACACAGGTCTAGTACTAGGTCACTGTGACCTTTCCAAATAAGACCTAGCCTATCCGATACAGTTTTTTACGCGAGTTCCGAATCCGGTTTTGGTTTTTGCAGAACGAATCGGAAACGCGAGATATTTGGCAAACAAGTTTAGCTATATCCATTTAAGGCCATCTTATGAAAGTCTTCAACATTGCAGAGAGAAATTAACTTTTTTTTTATAGTAGCTTTCTATAAAAGGCTTTTCCAAAATCAAAAATTGTTTTGAAAACAAAATGGACAACAAATGACGGCTTCATTGCAATTTTTTGATGTGAAAAAATAAAAGTAAAAAGCTTTGTCAGGATTCGAAATTCGAAAAAAGATTTTTGATAGATTTCGTAGACAGTACTACTATCCATTATATCACGATCACTGTTGAAGATTTTCATAAGATGGCCTTAAATGGGTATAGCTAAAAGTTGTTTGCCAAATATCTCGCAATTCCGATGCGTTCTGCAAAAACCAAAACCGGATTTCGGAACCAGCGTAAAAGACTGTATTGGATAGGCTAGGTCTTATTTGGAAAGGTCACGGTGACCTAGTACTAGACTTGTGTTTCGGTTGGCTCTTTTCGGTTCGGTTTCGGTTGGCTCTTTTCGGTTCGGTTTCGGTTTCAGTTGAACCGAAGTCAACCGAAATCTTTCGGTTCGGTTCGGTTGAACCGAAAAGATTAGTTTTTCGGTTTGGTTGGGTTTCGGTTCAACCGAAAAATATTTTTTATCGGTTTGGTTCGGTTAACCGAAACCGAAACGGAACCGAAAAGGAACGTTTCCGGTTCAACCGAAACACAAGTCTACCTAGTACAATCCCCTCAAAAGGCTAGCTGGCGCAAAAGCTTGCTGTAAAGGCTTATAAATTTTTGAACAAACTGAGTCATTCGCTCGACATCTGAAGTCACGTTGAGAGTTCGGAAACATTTGCTTTGAGCCTTGTCGAAGGGGATTTTGTTCTGTCAAGGTGAATAGTTTTGTAAAGGTGAGTTTTTGTTTTGACTTACACTCAATTGTGACTCGATACAATAAATGACAGGAATATATTGACGGAAATCGTTATTCATGCTGTCAATGAGGCAACTAAATTTGGAAATATGGTAATTTTGACCTTTGGAATTTGGATGCAGTCACCTGAAAGAAGATCATTGAATTAAATGTATCAAAATCAAATAGCCAGGAAACCTCGAGAGACAATTACGATAGATTTCCAAGTTATTCACTTTTTGGAAAGCGCATTATTGGAGAGAAACAATGTGATGTATTGGGTTGGTGAATTGAAAACTGCCGGCTATTGCCATATGTGACAGTTTGAGGACTTTCTTCAAAAGAAACCCATTTTGGTGTCAATGGAAAAGTTGTAGAGAATCAAAAATCAAGCTTATATCCAAATTTTCAGAACGATTCAAAAGCTGGTTTTCAAGAAATGCCAAATTTACGAATTTCCACAAAACTTGCATTTTAAGCGAAACTACTAAGTGTATCTTTTTGGAAATTTGGCTATAGGCCTAATTTTTGATTCTCTACAACTTTTCTATTGACACCAAAATGGGTTTCCTTTGAAGAAAGTGCTCAAACTGGGATCTCCAGTCCTCCATTTTTGAGTCTCACACTTGTCTCACACACAAACCAAGATCCTACTACGAAAGAGGAATCCGCAAATTGCCTGTAAAATGGGCAGAAGTCGTCAATAATAATGGAAATTATTTGGAATGAATTCATGGTTTTATGTTCAATAAATTTTAGTTCAAAGTCCGGCAGTTTTCAATTCACCAACCCAATACTTGCACGATAACTAAAAACAATCCCGTCTAAAATACCTCTCAAACTTGTTAATTTGGCATTCCTCTTCACCATGCTGGCAAACGATCTCACCTTCCTAAATGATATTATAGATTTGACAGCATTATAGATGATAGTTCAACTATTGCAGTTTAAATTCGCTCTAGTTACCTTAATCTTTGCATTTCCATATGGGACAAGCTCAATCTGGACGACCGATGGCGGGAATTTGAGGAAAACTTGGTTGTACAACTTGAATCAAAAAAATGTAATAAAATTTTAAATATTGAACTTGATGAGTGATGAAATTTTGACATCCCGGACAGAGAGATTCGTAAAGAAGAGTAATCAGGATTGGCTTGTTGTAGGTGCCTTTCTTGTAGCTGAATGTAATGGATTAAGTGGGGAAGGGCTTTGACAAGCTTAAGATATTCTGCAGAACCAATAAACATTAAAAATGGATGTATCTGGCTATGACAAAAACTATAATATTCAGCAATAAGATAAAAACGGTAGCTTTAAGGCACCCGGGAGTACGGGTAGCTTTTCTATAGAGTCCATCTTTTAGAAAACGCTTTTGTTGGGAAGGGACTCTAGTTCTAGACATTATGATTGATAAACATGTTTACTAATCAGGTTTCGATTTTGAGTCCTTTACCGTAACCGCTTCATTACCCTATTGATCAAGAATAAGATAAAATGTACTCTTGACAGGCGAGATCCCATCCGCAATCCTTTGCCAACTCGTTATTCTCACACCAAAGCGCTGGTGGAGTTGATTGACAGAGAGGATTTGCGAAGTAAGGCTTTGATTTCGAGGTAACAATCGGAAGAAGTGTTACCAGTAGAATTGTGAAAATCATTCTAAATTTGCTTTTTTTGGGGAAAAGTTGAAAAGTGAAATCAGCTCAAATCAAATTGAGTAGAGTGAGACGAAATTTGATACTGATTGACCCCCCATTGTTTATATGAAATTCACCACTCATCAATCAAATTAAATCCTTTCTTTAGTGACAAAACAAATACGAGAAAAGGGGTTTGGAAATTCGTTTTTTTTAAGGACGGGAATGGATTTTGTCTTGTCAAGTTTTGAGAGCAAGACTTTTGATCGAAAGGACTTGAAGTAGTGTGTATTCTTCGAGAGCAATGCGTTTTCTAAATGTCAGAAAACTATCGTAATTATCGTAACCTTAGAACCAGAAAACTACGATAACCTTTTACACTTGCCAAACAAAGACCGAGCGCATTATCTATTGTTCATTTTGCTTTCTTTTAGACTCGAAGTTAATGCAGAATGAGAAATGGATTACAGTAAAACGTGCAACAAATAACAAATAGAGTATTCAACTATTTGTGGTATCTATTTGACACTAACTTTACTGATAACCAAATCTACATCATCTTTTCTTCGTTAAACTCATTCATTGTTCAGCAATTGACATTTTTTGTCGTAGAAAGCGCGCTCTAAAACGCGCTTAAACGTTTTTTGTATGCGAGTGGAAATTTTGGCGATCCATTTATTTTTCGAAGTTCGGGAATTCGCAAAAAGTTCGCACGAATAATGTAGTCTCTCTTGATTGATGAAATTGACGGGTTGATACAAGTTGAAGCTTAAATTTCTTCATATCAACAAATTTGTGTTATGAGAATCCTAAAATGCCTTGTTTTTTTGTTTTTTTACCCCTAAATGCTTGAAATTACCTAGTTTTTATGTCTGCACGAACCGTTTCTATGAAAAACTAGCAATTTCAGCCTCTAGATTATTCTATGATCGCATTTTTTGGTACTTTGTGGGTTGGGGGCCGCCTATATTTTTGATTTTTTTCACGTTTCTTTCACTTTTCTAGAGGTAATCGAGGGTGCTGAGCTCAGTTTTTTTGACAGTTTTAGCATAGGTTTTCAACTGAAAACCGACATTTCAACACGTTGAAAATTACCCTTCTAGGCGCTATTAAGGTTAGGGGGCATTTTTTTCCTCAAGACCACTTTTTCTGGGGTAGTTTTATGCGTAGCTTTCGAAAAACACAACGAGAGCTTGGGAAAATGCGTTTTAAGCCAGGTTTCGGGCTGCTTTGCGCAAAGTAGCCACCCCCAAAACAAATTGAAAAAATATTTTTTAAGATTTTGACTCATGTGGGGACCACATGGTCGAAATTTGGAAAAAATATTTTTATTTTGCTCCAATTTCATCAGCAACTTAATCAGTTTGCGCAAAAATTTGGCGCAAAGTAGCCACCCCCTTTTTTGCCTCTACCAATCAATTTAATTTAGAAAACGAATATTTAGTGGTTAAAATGGTTTTGGCTGTAGTTTTGACCTTGAAAAGTGCCCCAATAGTCGATAGCTTGAGTACGCAAATTTAAAGTTGCATTTAAAGTGCAAAAAAAGTGTAATTTTCAACGTGCCGAAATGACGGTTTTTCAGTTAAAAACCTATGCTAAAACTGTCAAATTCGTGCTCAGCTCCCTGGATTACCCCTAGAAAAGTCAAAAAGTTAAAAATATAGGTGCCCCCCCCCAACCCACAAAGTACCCACTTTTTGTTCTTAGCGATTTTCAACTTGACCTACCAATATGTCTTTCTTTTTTAGTAATGGAGCAAGAGGTGGACATTTGCGGATCCAATGACCCAATGAAGAATCCAGCGTTCGACTTTCAACTTGTGGTAGCTAAACCTGTTTCATTTTAGAGTAATTGATCTTTTTTAGCTTCGATCGAACAAAATCTTTGTAGCTGGTGAATGCATTGATGTTCCGCAAGAGAAATCTCCGTTAATGATTTTGGTTTGTTTTTCAAGAGTTATTAGGAGTTAAAATAGGGATCTAAGTGAACTTTATATCGTTTGCAACTCTTTATTCTACATTTAGGGCATGAAATCTGAATGCAAAGGGCAGGGTTGCCTGAGTTTCTCGGTTGCTACAGACAAGACAAGTCCGGAGACAACAGAAGTCGGAATCGTATTGCGCAACATTTGCAATTTATTGGTAGCTTTTTGAAATCCCTTTGCAATTAATGTTTTTAGATGTACGAAACGAAACATTCCCGTTTGAATGTGCTTGTGCTGCATCTCAATGAAAATATCGCCGTCAAATTGTTGAGCCATATGAAACTTAAGGAGACTATCGACGGTCAAATGGGCATTCGAAAGCTTAATCCTGCGGTGGCTATAAGGTAAAGTATATTTTTTGGTTTAGCTGTGTTGTGGGATAAAAACGTAGATCGGCTCATCTTTTAGGAAGTTTCTCTTTCCGCTTATCGATTTTGGAGATGGGGTGGCTCTCTTAACCAAAAAGAATGGTTTGGCTGTAGACGAGCATTTGTCAGCGAGTCAATTGCGTTTCTTTTTACAAAAAGAGGTTTATTTCTAATGTATTATTAATCAAAAGTATAGTTTAGGTTTGCCAAAAACGAGAATTTGACTTAACTCATAGACCCAACCGCGTCGCATACCCCACCGATACGAATCCCAGAAATAAAAATGAATTTTTTGGTTTGTTCTTTTTTTAATATCGATCTGAGCTTTTGTTTTAGAGACTCTGTCGTCGGAAAGGTTCTTTGAGTTGCTTGAGAGTGCTGGTTTTACGCTTGATACTTCTATGGAAAATATTTGCCCAAAGGTATGTTGTAGCTTTTCTCCCATGGTAAAAAATGTTGAATTTACAGTGGTCCACAAAAGTAATGCCCCATTTGCAAAGGATTAACACAATTTTTTTTAAATCAATAGTTGGTTGGTCCTCCTTTTGCTTTTATTACTTCATTGAGTCGATTCGGCATGGAATCCACGAGATTCTTCAAAAGACTTTGGGGGATGGTGGCCCAGAGACGTTGAATGTGAACCCATAAAGCAGCCTTCGAAGCTAATTTCTTTCCCTTGAGTCGTGACTTCGAAAATGACCAGAGATGCTCGATAACATTTATATCCGGTGAGTAGGGAGGCGGATTGATCAATTTGACTCGACTTGCCGCAAACCAGCCCGGAACTCGCGCTCATGTACCATTTTGAAGAGTCACCACCGTTCCTATCATGAGCCTTTACTTGTGTTTCGGGTTTCGTTGTCCTGGTAGAGCATCCATCCAGGAGGCATCGTCTGTGTGGCAAAAGGCAGCATTTGGGTCTCCATAATGTCCTTGTAAGCCACAGCATTCATCGTTGGGTTGACGTAAACTAATGGACCTACTGAAGTTCGTGACATCGCTCCTAAAGAAAAACAGTCAGGTGACAAAATACTAAAAGGGCTCCTACCCCAACACATTATGTTGCCTCCATTGAATTTCACCGTAGGCCGAATGTACTTGAGTGTTTATAGCTTTCCAGTCGGCCGCCGAATAAGATGGTTTCCGTCCGCGTGAAATAAATTATTTTTTGTCTCATCGGTAAATAGCACTTTCGCCCAATCACTTATTGTCCAACTTCGGTAGGTCCGTGCAAAATCAAGGCGCTGCTTCCGGTGCTTAGAATTCATCAGAGGTTTGCGGACAGCCCTTCTCGCATATAATCCAGCTTGATTTAATCGTCGTCTGATCGTTTCCGGCGATACAACCTTGTTAAATTGATCCCTCATCATTTGATTTCAATCGGTTGATTTTTTGTTCGGATCGTTTTTCACCATTTGGATCACGGCTCGATCTTCTTTTATGGTTGTTATTGGTCGTCGGTCACTCTTGACGTCTCGATGAAAGTTTTTGCCGGCTTTTGATTGAGAAAAAATGCGGCGCACTGTCCATATCGAGCAATTGAAGAGGTTGGCCACATCCCTCTCCCGCATCCCATTTTCCCGGGCCTTAGCGATTTGGAGCTTCTTCGGAGTGTCAAGATTTTTCATGTCAGGGATCTAAATAATACAATAGAATACATTTAATGTTCATAGAAGGAGAAACAAAAAGAATAATCATGAAAACGATCAAAATGGGGCATTACTTTTGTGGAGCTAATTTTAGGGGTAATTGCACTCTTTCACATCGATCTTTTGATTGGAAGGATCTCAATCAAAAAAATCCAGTTATTTAACAATTAGAATTTCTAAAGTATTTTAAAAGAAAAAAAATATATTTAAAATACATGTTTTCAGGAGGAATTTTGCAAAAAATACTTTTGAATGGCAATGGGGCATTACTTTTGTGGACCACTGTATATATGATGAGAGTTTTTTTGTAGGTTATTCCCGATGCTGACATAAATCCCACGGAATCTATAAAGGAATTTCTTAACGGTTCAAAGGGCCACGTGGAAAAGTTCCTGCAAAAGGTTGGTAAACGATTCAGTGAGGCAAAATGCCGAATTGGTTATAGGATTTCTTACAACGGGTGCCAAATGGTTTACAAACGGAGCAACACAATAGAAAGGTTCAACAGGTTAGAACTTTCTATTTTGCTTTTATCGGGTCGTTTAGCATTTGCACGAACAACAACCAATGGCAGTGCTTGAAACCAATATGCCAAATATTTCAATAAATTTGCAAGAGGTATGGCTGCTAGAGATTTCTGTTACAACAAATTTTAGCCGGCGCAAAGAGCTTCACGAAAGAGGTGCCAGGAAATGACTCTTGACGACAGTTTCGAATCAATTACACCACGAGTTAGAAGTGGAAATCTTCAAATTCAATATCGGTTTTAGAAAATGGATCTAAAGAATATGTCTGATGGTAGCGTCTCAAATGCGTCCCTTCTAACGTATCCATCGAAAGGATTAGATCGCATCACAATCGTTTACCACGATATGAGAAGTTTGCTTGACATTTGATCATTTGCAAAACTTTCTTTAGCGTTGCACTTTGACGAGATGTTGAATGACACGATAGTCGACTTTTGGATGTCTTACATCAAGCTAAATATCTTGGAACCAGAAAGGTGCGTCGTATAACTTGAAATTGGCAGTACTCTGGTATTTAGCCGAGACAGTGTGCATCTCTTTTCGACATTTTTCTACAAAAAGTTGACGGAGAAGATCGATCGAAGACATCTAGCCAAGACTGTACGCTCTTCAGAGTTAAGATTTCAAACTGTGAGCCATACTTTATTTATGGTTTAAAAATTGTTCTAGATTGCGCATAACTTCAAGCAAATTTCGAAGTGGACCCGTAAAGTGCAAATCTTTTCGAAAAACTTCATTGTGATACCAGTCGTCGAAGATTTGCATTGGTATTTTCGAATTTGAAATCTTGATTGGAATCTTATAGGTATCTCGCGATTGTTTATAATCCTATTGGAATGGTTAATATGACAGAGGGTCCATTTGAAAACAACGTTGATACCAGAAAAGTGGGAAAAATTTTTTATTACTTTCAATAAGTAGTTACTTCAGAAAGGGTCTTCGAGATCGCAGCCAGAATCGTTCGTGATCATATTCGACTCATTAGCTGATGAGGATCCAAAGAGGTTAATTTTTTTCTTATTTGCTACCAAGTTTCATTTTAAGGGAGGTGCTCGTTGATGTTCTGCGGGATTACTTCGAATTAGAATTCCAAGATAAGAGGCCGTTTCCTGGTGCAAAGTAAGTGTTTTTATTGTGATCCCGGATTTGGGTATGAAAAATTGATGAAAATTTAGATTTGAAAGAACGCGTTTGGGTTCTATTAGTCCGGCCAATCTCCCACAGCAGTCCAACTTCATCGATTGTGGTCTCTACATTCTAAAATATGCTGAGTCCTTCCTTTCCAAACCCCCAGATTTAAAGGTAATAGTTTGAGTTTTTAAATTAAACACGTATTTTTAGAGCATTCAAGACTTTGATTGGATGAAGGAATACCCACTATTCTCGCTGGACATGAATTTTTGTCGGGAAACTATTCGGGCTAAGTACTTTATCTGATTTAAAAGAAAATAACAAGAAATTTTTAGAATTAGACAATTGGTTCCAAAGAATGACTGGGAGAGATTTCTTACCTGGGAAGCGGCAAACAAATTTTCCCCAAATCCGTCGACAGGCGAAAGCTCAGCAAGCATACAAGCAAAACACGAGAAAGGAGTTTTGGACAGTGAGTCCGCTTCCCAAATATAAACAACTCTAAAGTTTAGGAGCCAGAAGACCACGTCGCTATACAGAACTTGGAATGGACCAACTGCCAAAGCTGAGTAGAAAGGAGAATTATTTTGGGAATTCAATTTCAGTGAGAAGGTAAGTCTTGACTTATTTATTTTTACAAAACGAATAGATACAAAAGCCTTCCTGCTAATCTTGATTTCATCGATCGAATATTTGTTAAAAAGAGTTAATTTTTATTGCTGTTGTATTATGTTGTACTAATATTTTGTTTGGATTGTTTCTTAGTATATTTGTTGATTTGAGGTTCTTACATTGTCATTCATTGTTGATCGGGTTTATTGTTCGGGTTCCAAACTTTGTTGCAAAACTGGTTTAAAATCGAGAGTTACGAGATAAATTGTTATGTATTCTTTTTTGAACGGTGATACAATGCTTACTTGCGGGAGAATTTTACCTTCATTGTTGCCTTGAAGTCTTTATGTTTCCATTTTGTACTGTAGACGAAATTTCGTGTGCTTCCATGAAATCCGTTGATTTTGAACATCATCAAAACTGGAGCTGAGATTTTAATAAAAGCTTTAGTGCTTTTAAAAGGTATAGTGGTATTTCCAAAAGCTATTTTACATTTTCAAGTTGAATTTGCTTTGCCACTTTTGTGACTGTTGACTCAAAACAGGTGTTTGTCTAAATCACAGTCCTGATATTGTTTCTTATCTTGATTGCAATGTTTTTTAAAGTGGAAAATTTTACTTTTTCCTTTCAGGTAACCAAATACATTCAAACACTTGCCAAGATGTCGATTATGAGCTACAACGGAGGTACTGTGCTGGCGATGGCTGGTAACGAGTAAGTATTTGAACTTTATAAAGAACGAGCTGATTTTAAACATGGAATGCATCTTTTATACTTTTTGCTTTTTAGGTGCGTGTGCATTGCAACGGATCTCCGTTTTGGTGAACAGATGACCACTGTGGCTGTTGACCAGAAGAAGGTTGTAGTAAAATTACACTATTTACGTATGCAATTTTAGGTGCATAAAATTTCCGATAAAGTTTACGTTGGTCTTGCCGGTTTTGCTTCTGATGCAAAGACAGGTTTTCGTGGTCATTATTCAATAATATTATTCTTTTAGTGTTGGAGAAGATCAACTTCCGGAAAGGGCTTTACGAGTTACGCGAAAATCGAAAGTTGAAACCAGAGGTTGTCTTTAATTGTGTTCTATCATTTTTGAAGTTTAGGTCCTTGCTACAATGATTTCTAACTTGTGTTATCAACATCGCTTTGGTAAGTCAATATTTTGTAATTGAGCAATAAAAAATGCTTTGTTAGCAACATCGCGATAACTCGCGATATGTGTTCAATTGTCAAATTTTCTTTAGGGTCTTTCTTCACCGAGCCACTGGTTGCTGGACTTGATCCGATCACCAGCAAGCCCTACATTTGTGCCATGGACACCATCGGGTTTGATTGACAAGTTTTTTTGAGATTACGTCGAGATTATAGGTGCATCGCTGCTCCAAGAGACTTTGTGGCTGTTGGAACGGGACAAGAATATTTGCTGGGTGTTTGTGAAAGTACTGCATTTTAATGTTCTTTGGTAAATCTAATTTATAGCTTTCTGGCGCGAGAACATGAATGCTGATGATTTGTTCGAGGCGACCGCTCAATCGATATTGTCTGCACTTGAAAGGGACGCCGCCAGTGGTTGGGGAGCTGTCGTTTACACGATCACAAAGGATAATGTAATTTTAACTTGGTTACTTATAGCAATACTTGAAATCGCTAATAATAGTTGTTTTACTGTTGAAAAGTCAGCTTCGTGTAAATTTAGTAAGATATGAGTATTTTTAAACTAAATTAGGTACTTATCTTATTAACGGTTTTAAGTCTTCATTTTAGGTTAATGTCCGCACAATCAAGGCTCGTATGGATTGATCGACACAGCCTTCAAATTTTTTTCTTTTTCAAAACCGGTACCATTTTCGAGTTATGTTTGCATTAAAATAGTCTCGAACCGTTTTAATCATGTTAATGTGATTTTTGCTTATTTATGTTTCAATATATTTATTAAATTCCTGTTTCATAAAAACCCGAAAAACATTTAACACTCACAACTTTTCAAAATTATAATACTTTGGAAACATAAACCGACCTGCATTTTGGAAAAAATGATTGGGAGAGGAGAAGTCCGTTAACGGAGAGGGGGCACGATTTTGTAGAGTATAAAATCCACCGCTCCGGCGGGTGGGGCAGGATAAGTTTTTTTTGGAGAAACCTAACAAGGGAACCTCTTAAACTTACCCTCGAGTCCAAGAATGATTTAGGTACCATTCGATTGGAAAAAAATTAGCTATCCGAATAATTTAGCCAATGTGCTCTAGTTTTTGGATTAAGCAACTCTTTTTATGGCGCGCGATTCATTTTAGCACAAAAAAGTTTTTTACTAAAAACATCAACTTTGAGCCGCAAAAAAGTCTAGAGCATTTTCATATACAACACTTTGGATTAAAACTCAACGACTACAGCGGCCTTTTTTTTGGAAGCATCACGCTTTTTTGGAGGCATCACGCAACAAGTAAACTACCAGAGGGTGTTTGGTAAAAACGTTTTCAAACAAAACGTACTACGGTATTGTAGTGCACAAAGTATTGTTGCGTACTACAAATGTCCATTTTTCAATTTTTTTTATCAAAAAATTTGTACATTCTAACAGTTCTCAAATCCGATCAAATCTCAAATCGAAAAAGTCCGTCAACCACTTTTTGACTTGATCTTTGGAATCAAAGTGCTGTCCAACGAGGGCATTGCTCAGCTACCGGAATATAATAATCTTTTGGGGCAAGGTCTGGGCTATATGGAGGATGGACCAGAACTTCCCAGCCAAGGATCTTTAGCTTTTCTCGAGTCATTGAAGAAACATGAGGGCGCGCCTTGTCAGGCAGGAGGATGATTTCTGGTGGTCAGTGGCTAAAGCTATGAATAGTTCATCGAGCTGTCGTTAGGTGTCGATTCGTGTGTTGCTCCCGCTGCCACCCATTGACGTTTCCTCAAAGTTCACAGTAAGTACCCATTTTGATCCCCTGTCACAATACGTGGCAAAAAATAAAATCGTTCATATTTGGAGAGATGAGCTGCACTGATAGAAACCCGGTTGAATCTCTGGGCGTCGGGCAGGGTATGGAGAACTCGAGCCTCCAATTTTGAGGTAAAGCCAAGAGCTTGGAGATGATTGGTCACCACATTTGCATTTTAAGCGAAACTACTAAGTGTATCTTTTTGGAAATTTGGCTTAATTTTTGATTCTCTACAAATTTCCTATTGACACCAAAATGGGTTTCTTTTGAAGAAAGTGCTCAAACTGGGACATCTCCAGTCCTCCATTTTTGAGTCTCACACTTGTCTCACGCACAAACCAAAATCCTACTACGAAAGAGGAATCCGCAAATTGCCTGTAAAATGGGCAGAAGTCGTCAATAATAGTGCATGTATGAAAATTGTATGAAAATTGTATTAGGTAGATAAAATCAAGTTCTAGGTACATGCGCAAGCACCTCCGGACGATATCATGGGGTCGCGGTGGGTGCTGTATGCCTAGGCCAGACAGTAAAAATAAAGCCTATTCGGAGGGTGCCCCCATCCCCCGTAAATCTTTCCCCATGAAAGAATGTCTCAGAAGAGAATTGAATCAGTGACAAAGAACTTTTTGTCCATCTTTACTTTGCACTGTTTCAACACTTATGTATCACCAAATATGTGCTTTTATGTGTAACTTTTAGTTGTTGGTAAAGATTTCAAAATTTATTCTAATATCATATACATACACAATTAATAAGAGACTCGATTTGAAATGTTCTATCAGCTTTTTTCGCAATATTGACGACTTTCTCGTTCGTTTTCACTTCGTTTCCACTTCTTTTTCTTCTTTTGGAGCATTCTCGCTGTTTGGCTCTTTTGAATTTGATGATTCTACCTGAAATTTTAGATTGAATAGGACTAACTTAAAACAGAATAGAGGTACGTTATAATATCGGAATCACCTCCGTCACCTCCGTCCACCAACACGGATCGCCACGGACAAAAATCACGAAGAAGATGTTAGAGATCAACTGAAAATTCTTTGATCTTCGGAAAAAAGTTTGTTGTCCAGAAGGCTGTCCAGAAAACTCTTTTCATTCCTTTTCGTAATTTCGTTTAAAACCAACAAATGCATCAATTAAACTACGATTTTTTTCATTAGAAAAACCAATTATTTTTCTGCAAAATAACATTAAATGTTTGGGGTTGGGACAAATGCGACCTTTTTTTTGCGCACCTGGACATTTGCGCACCTTTTTTGCTGGAAAAGGCCTTAGGCAAGGCCGTAGAGCTTCGAAAATATTTCCATATAGGGGAATCGTATGCGTAGATTCCGAATTTCCACAAATCAGACCTCGCTGACACGTCAAATTTGGGCTAAAAGGCAAAAACTGCGGAAAAGCGTTAAGTTGCGTAGTTTTTGCCTTTTAGCCCAAATTTGACGTGTCAGCGAGGTCTGATTTGTCGAAATCCGGAATCTACGTATACGATTCCCTTCTATGAAAACATTTTTGAAGCTCTACGACCTTTCCTAAGGCGTTTTCCAGCAAAAAAAAGGTGCGCAAATGTCCAGGTGCGCAAAAAAAAGGTCGCATTTGTCCCAACCCCAAATATTTCAAACAAGGGTTTCAAATGTCTTATGTCTGCATTTTTTTTGGAGAATGAAGTCGGATCAATCGGCTCAATGATCTGGTTTAGACACTTTGCGCTAAGGAAACCTATCTTCGTGTCAATCGATAAAAGATAGAGCATAAAAAGTTTGGTGTATAGCGAAATTTTCAGAGAAATCGATTCAACCAATTTCTTCGTAGACGTTTTTATAGATTTAGATCCGTTTTCGCATTTGGATTTGCTCGGAAAAGGATCTAAATTGGTATAAAAAAGATAGGAAATTGACTAATAAAGCCTTAGAGTTAATGTAGAAACCAAGATTTTTTTAGCCAAAGCCAAACTTTATTCACCTACACTATATGATAATCACCTCCATAATGATAATTCATCTTTTATTATATGATAATCAACTCACAACGACAGCTCCGACGACGAGAAAGACGAGTTTCCATTGTCCTTGAGTGTTCTGTTTGGTGACACTTTGTACGAAGAATGGCAAAATGAGCATTGTGATTGCTACACAAAGAGAGATGATTCCCGTTACGAATGCACTGAAAACAATTCTTTTTGATTACTAGTTATTAGAAGTTATCAAAAGCTGAAGGCTTATAGTGTCAAGGAACGATTTAAAAAAAAAGACATACACTTATTTTCGTTGATAACAAGTGTTTTTAGGGGATTATATGGTTATATGGTTGATTGTTATGGCTGTTATAACTTGATTGTTATGTTGGTTGTTATAACTTGATTGTTTATGATGTTATAGCTGTTATGATGCTATGATTTTATAAATGTGATGATGTTATAGCTGCTATGATTGTTTCTAACATTAACATTATAACATCAAGGCTAAACCAGGTTTGATTAGGAAGGATATAAGTTAGATTAGCGATTAGGAATGTAGCTATTTAGCTAGCAAATTGAGTGTTGACTCACTAGAAAATGAGTATATTAAAACTGCTAGTTGGGTAGTTAGATTTTGAACAATTTTCTTCACCTTTTTAGTGTATTTATGTGTAGCCAACCTGTACTGTTTTGAGAGAACAGCAGCTGCTCGGAAGAATCCACCCGTGTTCGCTCCTAGAAACGCGCCCACTGAACCCAAAAGTACCAAGTTCACTGGCTGAAAGGTCGAATTTAAATAGAACCCTCAAGTCATTTATAAGGACTTAAGGCGCAGAACTGTACAAGTGACTGCAATAGCTGAAATTTTGAACTTTTCCCCCAAGCCTTTTCCTACAATGTACACTTACCCCATTGCGAATGTGAGCGAAGGCGACCACCCAAAGCACAACGAACGAGCCGACGAAAGCCACTGTGTTGAAAAGACGCATTTTAATCGATTCTCGAATTGGCAATCGATCCGAAAGAGTTCCTATTCGATGCAAATTTTAGAGCTTTTAACCCCAATTGACAAACCACAAATCACTTTAACGATTCCTTCCACAATTGGCACAACGGCTGAGGTAAAACCCGTGCTCTCGGCGTTGTAACCGACAACTATAAATGGAAATTTGTATTGGCTACGTTTTTTGTATTTCCTATTGTCAATTCGTATTGGCTAGCTGAACTTAACAATCGTCGATCAACTCGATCGATCATTCGTCTACTTTTGATCAAATTCGATCCGATTCAAATCTACTTTGAAATGATTCAATTAGATAGAATTGAAATGATTCAATTAGATAGAATTGAAATGATTCAATTGGATAAAATTGAAATGATTCAATTAGATAGACCCACCCTTGCTCAAGTAGGTGGGCTGATAGAGAAAGAGCATGTTCAAAAGGAAAAAGTTCCCGAAACCAGCCACCCACACAGCCCAAATTGATGGCGTTTTCAGAATCGACCAATAGGGAATCGGGGACTTCCTGAAGAAGCAATGACTTACAAATAAGAAACGATCTCTCAGACTTTTCGTTGAGTAATCTTGTATTTCCATTTACTCAGAAATCACTTACTCTCCGCTGTCCTTTCCTGTCGAGATTTTGCGCTTCTCCGTGTTCCCAACAAAAGGATGTTTCTCGGGATTGTTACGGAAAGCGATCACTGAAGTCAAGAAATATTGGGTTGGTGAATTGAAAACTGCCGGCTATTGTCATATGTGACAGTTTGAGCACTTTCTTCAAAAGAAACCCATTTTGGTGTCAATGGAACAGTTGTAGAGAATCAAAAATCAAGCTTATATCCAAATTTTCAGAACGATTCAAAAACTGGTTTTCAAGAAATGCCAAATTTACGAATTTTCACAAAACTTGCATTTTAAGCGAAACTACTAGGTGGATCTTTTTGGAAATTTGGCTATAAGCCTAATTTTTGATTCTCTACAACTTTTCTATTGACACCAAAATGGGTTTCTTTTGAAGAAAGTGCTCAAACTGTCACATATGACAATAGCCGGCAGTTTTCAATTCACCAACCCAATAGTTCTAGAGAAATTCTAGAAAATGGATGGCAGATTGATCATCATCTTGATTTTGGACGCTGAATCAATAGATCAACTCATCTCTATCTAGACTATATCAGCAAATTCACCGCCTTACTCCTGAACCTGATCAGCAGAATTCAGGGGGGAAACAGTGCGGAAGCCTTGCTGTGGCTTAACCCTGTTAAGAACCAACAACCTAACCAACAGCTTCCACACAATAACTTTTCCCCTTGACTCACCGTAAATTACAAAGAGCCCAATCGAGAGACCACCTTGGAAGTAAAAGATCGACTCCCACCTGAAATCAACTCTTTCGAAAAGTCAACTTTGTAATAACATCCAAAAAAACTGTAAGTAAAGACCCTGTTTACTCACCCAGACACCGAACATAAGGCTCCTGAGATTGGATTGGTAAAGGCAGGAGCCAATTGGACGTAGGTCACCAACACTGACACAAACATTCCTTTCTGGAAACTAGTTGATTGGTGACTAGGGTGTACCAAACCCCTAAACTCAGCTGAGAGGGTTATTCAGGCCAGGATCTTATGTACCTATGCGTAATAACTATTTTTCCTAAGTGTGCGTTTTAAAAAAAACGCATTACTCGTGACGATCACACTCTACTTAATACCGTTTCACTAGCCACAGACATGCACAAAAAATTTCGCTTCTTCTTCCATTTGCGATCAGAAATATGAGACAAGGATAGTTGTTGTACCAGGATAACCCTCCGTGTCACAAGCATCAGATGTTGATGGAAAGGGTGGGTCGACTTGCAAACGGTGGAAGGGCTCGTTTACCGGGATGGTTCGCTGCCAATCGTGTCAAGCTCGTCGCTGCTCCACCTTATAGCTCGAACCTAGTCGAGCATTAATAATCGCACATCAAGGGTAAACTGATGGATAAACGATTGGCAACCAAGGTTGACCTTTAGTTCTTCATTCGGAGTGAATCGCGGAAATATTTCTCCTCAAATCTTGAAGGATTTAGGCAGTGATTCAAGCTAAAGAAGGCCTGACAAAATATGAAATTTTTGTTTTATTCATTTTTTGTGCACCATTTTTTGGTGTTGTTCCGATATTTATTAAAAAAAATCAAAATTGAAATAAATTGTTGCAACAACTTTAACGCTCTTTCACAAAAAAGTAGAAGCTTTTTGCTATCTAAAACCTTTTGACAGCATAAAATTCGGAAGACGTTTAGTAGGTCAAATTTAGTTTTGTAAAAACGATGTGACATTTTTTTGTGCATCATTTTATAGTCATCGGCAACTGGCAGTTGGGAAAAGCCCTATTAAAAGCCCTAAAGGCCCTTCCACAATAGTGCCCGTTCACTCAAGTCTCCTTCGGATTTGATTTCAAGTTGAGGCCATTTCGGACTCAAGTACGGATTAAAGCTTCGCAAAAGGGCCAAATGGCCGACCGGTTAGTAGCCTTGTCTCCTAAGCGGAAGGTCGAAGGTTCAAGCACACTGGCAAGATAAAAATGTTTCTTTTTCCAACCAAGTGGGTTTTTTTTTCTTTCACAACATTTGGGTAATAAGGGTAATAAGGGTAACGGTCGCAGTGCCATAAAATTGTGTGTTTAGACCTTTGTTTCTTATTATGTATCCTTTGTTTGTATCACATTATTGGTTTTTAATAAATGCAAATCATATCTAGCAGCAGCATCATATCTAGCAGCAGCAGCAGCATCATATCTAGCAGCAGCAGCATCATATCTAGCAGCAGCAGCATCATATCTAGCAGCAGCAGCATCATATCTAGCAGCAGCATCATATCTAGCAGCAGCAGCAGCATCATATCTAGCAGCAGCAGCATCATATCTAGCAGCAGCAGCATCATATCTAGCAGCAGCATCATATCTAGCAATTCACCGATGTCTTAAAGAAGTCGATTAGAACGAAATAGTTTTGTGCAGAAGCAAAATAAAACAACGGTATAGGTAAATGAGGAAATTTTGATCAAAATCGGAGTTAGCGTAATTGATAAAATGAGACATTGCTAATGGGGAATTAAAGAAGCTAGTTGACAGCATGCCGAGTCGAATATTTGACGTGATCAGTCGCCAAGGACAGACAACAAAGTATTAAACTGTTATTGTTATAAATAAAAATTGTTATCATAAAAATTGAACAAAAATGCAACAGCGACACCAAAATTTGTGGGGGGGGTGGCGCATGGTTTTGCACTGGGTGAATTTTCGCTTTTTGGCTGTTACATTTTCCCTATTCATGCTATGTCGATGATTTTTAGGGGTTTAAGGGTTATTTTTGGTCCTGAATCTAACTACGTTTTCAGTTTTTTTTGTCACTGGCACGGGAGCCGCAGAAAATTTGAAATTTAGGGGGTTTTGCACCGCACTGTAGTACAGCACCTCGTTTTTCATTAACTAACCCTACAATTTAACGAACCTGCTTGAAATAGGTCCATCGCTCGATGAAATGCCCGACAGCCGGCATGTTGCAAGCTAAGGCTAATCCTTGAATCACACGCAACACGTAGAAAGCGGCGATTGAGTGCTAAAAGAAGAAAAAAAATTCTTGGGTTTTAAAGCAAAAAAAAAGTACATTGATAGTCAACGGGATCAGAAGAGTGGCCACCGAGGAGAAAAGTCCCAGAACTCCAAGAATTGTCCTTGTTCCATAGCGATTGATCAAAAAGATCACTGGACCCGTCGCGACAATTGTCCCAATCGCCACAAAAGCTACGGCCAACGTCTCTTCTCCTGGAATTTCAATGCTGTTTCACAAGTGAGAAAATGACTAAATTAGCGATCTGGCTAGCTGTTTTATACCAAGTTTTAAGCGAATTTGGTTAAAATTTATCGGTTCTGAAGCCAAACCGAACCTTATCATGCCGCTTTCGAACCTTACCAGAACAGATCAGCAAAATGTGACTGATCTACAGATCTATGTTAGATAAAGTCAGATCAGTCTTGTCAACGCGATCAGCTACTGAACTAGACAAGGAGATCATAAAGAAATCAGACCGGGTCAGTCTTGTTAAGACAATGAGAGGAACCACCATGCAGTGACCAACCAATCAAGTCGCGATTCCACAAAAACTATTTTAGCTAGCTTCTGGCTTCTTTTTTATTAGAAATAGCGTAGCTGAAAACCCTAAAAAACATTCCATAAAGGCTACGGTAACTTTCAAAAAAGTTTAAGAATAAAGCGAATAACTGTTTCAAGTCCGCATCTTGCTTTCAAACAGTTTTTGTCATTTTAGATTGTTTTTTTGGTTGCTTCTTATGTTTACTTTTATTAATTAATTGGTACAATAGCTTCAGCTAATCAGCTGATTGATAGACTACGAAAAAGGACAAATCGACACGCGCTTGCAAAACAAGAAATCGATCAGAGAAATTGCGCGTATTTTGGGTTGCAACGATCGGGTGATTCGTCGATATCTTTAAACAAAAATTTGTTTCTGCTCCTAGACGTCAAATGGGCCTAAATCCGAAGCCAACTCCTCGAGCAGAACATCGAATTATGAACAACAACCGAAAACAAAGAGCCTAGCCGATTGATGAACAACAACCGAAAACAAAGAGCGTGACCAGAGCCGAGTCAAGCTGAGGGAAAGCTCAATCATTTTATGTCTATATCTATAAGAAACAGTAACTAAACATAAGAAATAGTTATCTATGTAAAGCCCTAGATTCTTCTACATAACCAACCATCAGTAAAGTGGCGAGCTGTTGTGTTGTGTTTGGGCGAGTTGATGCACACGATAGCGATATTGTAAGTCAAGATGTTGGACCTGGAGTGAATACTAATATGTATTTAGATCTCATATGTAGAGTTATGATTAACTTTTGATCTAAAATCTCCAGATCAATGAACAAGGGCTCAAGTTGGACTGATCTCGTCCATTTACTTTATTTTCAAATCAAAGATGATGGATTGATCAAAGATAGAGTGTGTTCCTCGCGAGTAAGTAATTACTTACTCGAGTAAATTTGCATGAGTAATTGCGTTTTCTAAAAAGTGCGCCTGCGCGAAAAAATATAAAAGCAATTTTTGGGCGCAGGTTTTTCAAGAAAAAAAATCATTTTTAACATTGGATGGGAATTTCCCACCAAAGTAAAGATACTCAGTTAAACGGCTGAGTATCTTTAAAAAGTGTCGTATATAACGGGGGTCTCGCGATTTTTGTGTCATTTTTTTGCGATAATTTTTGCTAAAAGTACGGTAATTTTTTCGCAAGTGTGCGTTTTAAAAAACGCACTACTCACGAGGAAAACACTCTAATCAAAGATGGGCTCAAGTACATATCTAGAATGTATATGATTTCCCGCTTTTCCCCTCACCAGATTGCAGTGAGACAAAAGAAAACGATGATGAGTAGAAAAAAGCGGAATCTTGATCCCAAGGGTTTCGCTTTCGGCAGCTCGAGAATTTTGATCGCCGTCATGCTGGAATTCGATGAGATTTGCCATAAAAAAACAAAAAGAACAAAGTGTCAAGAAGAATTTGCTTTAAATCAAGCATTTTGTAATCAACCACGATGATTTATAAATAGACATATACAGTATTTGAAGATGAGTACAGTGTAAGTTAAATATATATGTTGTGTCCGATTTAGATTTCCGTTCGATTTAGATTACAGTCTATATCGGACGTCCGATTTAGATTCAATCTAAATCTTATATACCGTATTTCTTCGAATAGAAGACCGGGTAAAGAGTATCATCGCGTACTCCTGCGTAGCAGCCCTTTTTAAAATTTCTTTTCTGCATAAAAGCTTTCAATGAAGTGCTATAGGGCTGAAAAATGACTCAAAAATCTGTTAGCTCATGTGGTATTTTTGAGTCATTTTCCAGCTCTATAGCACTTGATTGAAAGCTTTTATGCAGAAAAGAAATTTTAAAAAGGGCTGCTACGCAGGAGTACGCGATGATACTCTTTACCCGGTCTTCTATTCGAAGAAATACGGTAGATTGAAAAATAATATAAACATGCTTAATATATGTTCTTAAGCGTTTTCTGTAGTTTTCTGCATTTTTCAAAGGTCTTTTATTGATTACAGTCTATATCGGACGTCCGATACAGATCGAACAATACTAAACGTGCTGAAGCCGCTGAAGCCTACAATTTGATGGTTGAAACGCTCCACAATCACCGTGAAAACTGCGAGAAACCAAAACAACCACAAAACTACCACGAATGAAAGGAAAAGCAGAAAACTACAGAAAACGCTTAAGAACATATATTAAGCATGTTTATATTATTGTTCAATCTATATAAGACGTATTATTGCTCAATCTATATAAGATTTAGATTGAATCTAAATCGGACGTCCGATATAGACTGTAATCTAAATCGGACACAACATATATATTGTAAGTATTTCTTTGAACTTTCTGAACTCTCAGAACATTATAAATTAAAAAAATCATGTGCTTTTCAAGGAAAACACTGTTCTAGGTTAACTCTAAACTCAACTTTCATGTAACTTTATTGTAACTTTTCGAAAGTACTAAAATAATGCCAATCGACTTGCTTCTGTTGGATTAGATTTCAATTTGATTGGATGAACTGGGGAAAATGTAAAATGCTTTTACTTTTACGACTTTTAACGGATACTAGTTTACCGTATGCTCTCTAATAGTAGTGCACCCCGCCGAGTTGATCACTATTTTACGGTTTCTAAGTTTTCACAGAAACTCAACACTCTAATCTCCCACAAGATCTCATCATCAGCTACATTTTCCGACCGCACATCGATAGGTTCTGATAAGCGCTTTTCGAGATTTCGAGGAATTTAGGCGACGCTCATGGTGCACTACTATTAGAGAGAATACGGTATATGCAAATTAGTTTTAGGTTTTAGGTCATTCGTTTGTAAAGTACATACAGCTAAAGACAGCTAAAGACAGCTAAAGATAGCTAAAGATAGCTAAAGACAGGCAGCTAAAGGTCATCCTTATGTACCAGAATTGTTTAACATTAGACGTCAAGGGGAAATTGACTCTTTACCCAGATGAGAACGAGTATCGTGATCTTTGAAGCCAACTGAACGCTTTTTTTGGGTGTATTTGGGCACTTTTTCACCCTTTTTTTTCCACTCGGACACTCAAAGTTTTGAGAACATTTTTGAGATCTTCTCTTGGAGAATTTTGAAAGTCCAGTTCAACAAACAACAAAAGACAAACGGCTTCAAAGATCATCTTGAACAAAAGTCAGGCCCGCTATGCAAACGTATCTTTCATTTTGTTTGTATTTTGTATTTGAATTGTTTATATTAAGCAAATAAAGTCGAGCCTCTTCACAACGAATCGCTTCAGATGAAAGAAATTTTTCACGCTTTTAAACTTGCAAAATGAAAAAGTACTCTGTGAAACTTTCCTACTTATAGAAAACCCGTTAGATTCGAGCAAATTTCAGGAAAATTTCCAATCAGAAAAACGATAAATCTTTTTTAGGAATTCGTTGTACCTTGATCATAAAAGATTCGATCAAAGTTTGGGAAAACTTAATGGAAAACTTAATGAAACTTAATGGAAAACTTAATGGAACTTAATGGAAAACTGAATGGAACTTAATGGAACTTAATGGAAAACTTAATGGAACTTAATGGAACTTAATGGAAAACTTAATGGAACTTAATGGAACTTAATGGAAAACTTAATGGAAAACGTAATGGAAAACTTAATGAAACTTAATGGAAAACTGAATGGAACTTAATGGAAAACTTAATGGAAAACTTAATGGAACTTAATGGAACTGAATGGAACTTAATGGAACTTAATGGAAAACTTAAAGGAAAACTTAATGAAACTTAATGAAACTTAATGGAAAACTTAACCAAATTTGGTATCAAAAATCAAGAACCATTAAAAAACGAAACACTATTTGCAGATCACTCCTTTGGATCACTGAAACGAGAGGTGGGAAAGGCGAGTTTTGTTTTAGACAGTTTTGTTTAGAGGCACTGATCGCTTTAGAGATCTCTGGAAACTCTAAGGTCAAAAAACTTTTGCCAAGTTGAGAGTTCGGGGAAATTTTCGCCTCAAACATCAACGTTGGATATCTTTTGGGAGATTTTGTGGTTGCATTTACACAGTAATCGAACGAGAAATAGGGCTAGAGAAAAGTCAGAAGTTAAACGATCAATTCTTAGGTATAACTCTTTATTAGATAACGAAATACTAAAATATACTTGTACTTTGAACTTATACGAAGTTCTTATTATGGGGATTATTTTAGGGGCAAATCAAAAATGATGGAGTTTTCCCTAGCCATAGAACGCTTTTCAGCTTCATTTTAAACACTAGAGTGTTTTCCTCGTGAGTAATGCGTTTTTTAAAACGCATATTTGGGAAAAATTACCGTACTTTTAGCAAAAATTTTCGCAAAAAAATGGCGCAAAAATGACGAGCCCCGCATTATATACGACACTTTTTAAAGATACTCAGCCGTTTAACTGAGTATCTTTACTTTGGTGGGAAATTCCCATCCAATGTAAAAACTGATTTTTTTTTCTTGAAAAACCTGCGCAAAAAATTGCTTTTATATTTTTTTCGCGCAGGCGCACTTTTTAGAAAACGCAAATGCAAATTTACTTGAGTAATTACTTACTCGCGAGGAACACACTCTATCTTTGATCAATCCATCATCTTTGATTTGAAAATAAAGTAAATGGACGAGATCAGTCCAACTTGAGCCCTTGTTCATTGATCTGGAGATTTTAGATCAAAAGTTAATCATAACTCTACATATGAGATCTAAATACATATTAGTATTCACTCCAGGTCCAACATCTTGACTTACAATATCGCTATCGTGTGCATCAACTCGCCCAAACACAACACAACAGCTCGTCACTTTACTGATGGTTGGTTATGTAGAAGAATCTAGGGCTTTACATAGATAACTATTTCTTATGTTTAGTTACTGTTTCTTATAGATACCGTGCGTTTCAAATTCTTAAACGCACCCTCTAAAATAGCGGATTTTGCATTTTGACCACCGCTACAACTACAGTACCGAGCAAAAGTCTTGCAACATCACTTTTTCAAAAAAATCGATGAAATTTTTTTATAGAAAATGCCACCCGTTCGTAAGGCTTTTTTGTTTTTAATTAGAATAATACATGTACACTTTATTTACAAAAACAAATTTGAAGTTCAGCGTAAAACAAAAAAGTAAATGACAAAACTACTGAAAAATACCCTAAAAACTGGGTGCAAAAGTCTTGCAACATTATACAGAAACATCAAAAATTAATATTCAATCGGTCCACCTTTGGCCAAAATCACTTCATTAAGTCGTTTAGGCATTGAGTCGACTAATTCGTGAAGAATTGCTGGGCGAATTAAGCTCCAAACTTTTCGTATGTAGAACCATAAGTCAACTTTTGTGTGAAAGTCTTTTCCTCGTAACTTTGTCTTCACGTAAGCCCATAAATTCTCAATAACGTTTAAATCAGGCGACATAGGGGGCATATTGACCAACAAAACATTATTAAGGGCAAACCATCCAGGGAGATCGGCTTTTCCTCCATTTGAGAGACACACCGTGGGACCCATCATGGGCTTGCTCTTGTGAACCGGCGAATTGTCCTGGTAGAGAAACCATCTAGGAGCCATGTAATCCTGAGCAAATGGAAGTAGACATCCTTCTAGTATTTCCATATACTGGCGAGCATTCATGGTTGACTGGATGAGGACAAGTGGACCTGCCACATTTTTTGCCATTCGCCCCTAGAAAAAGGCAAATTAATGCATGTATTAGAAATGAGGCTTACCAAAACACATGATGAATCCTCCGCCAGCTCGCATTGTAGGTCGCACATATTTAAGGAGTACTCGCTTTCCAATGGGTCGTCTGATCAAGTGGTTGCCTTTTGGAGAAAAGATATTCACTTTTGTTTCATCGACAAAAATCACGTTGGCCCAATCCTGCTTTGTCGAACTTTGGTACGTCCTGGCGAATAGAAGCCGTTGTTTCCTGTGGCCAGCGGTCATCAAAGGCTTTCGTACAGCCCTCCGGCTGTACAGTCCTGCTTGAGTCAATCGTCGAGAAACGGTCCATCGAGAGATATCCTTGTTTGCAACATCCTTGATCAGCCGAGCTCCCTCAGTTGATGTCATGTTCGGATCCTTCTTGGAAGCCATCACAAGTATTCGATCCTCTTTTGCTGTTGTTCTTCTTGGCCGTCCTTTCTTCTCTCTTCGGTGCATAAGTCCAGTTCTTTTTGCTTTTGAAACAATGCGAGAAACGGTCGATGGATCGCATTTGAAGAGATCGGAGACAACGGCTCGAGAAATTCCTTTTTCTTGCTTTCATGATTTTTCCTCTTTCGGGAGTCGTCAAGTAGGTACCTGGCATCTGAAAAAAACAAAAATTAGTGTAAATTAATAAATTTGAAAACAATAAAAATGAGAAACATAGAATGTTGCAAGACTTTTGCACCCAGTTTTTAGGGTATTTTTTTGTAGTTTAGTCATTTACTTTTTTGTTTTACGCTGAACTTCAAATTTGTTTTTGTAAATAAAGTGTACATGTATTATTCTAATTAAAAACAAAAAAGCCCTACGAACGGGTGGCATTTTCTATAAAAAAATTTCATCGATTTTTTTGAAAAAGTGATGTTGCAAGACTTTTGCTCGGTACTGTATTAATCTTTTTCTATTAGAAAGAGCATGTCTTAAAACCTAAATAACACGAAAAAGAAGCATACTGTAAAAAGTAAAAATTTTCAAAATAGAAACTTTTTGCTAAATCAACCGTTTCAAATTCTTAAACGCACCCGCCTTTGCTGTTGTTATTTGAAATTTTTCGTTTTGTTGTGCGTATTTTTTTATTAAATTTATAATTTTTGTTAATTTTCAGGTAAATGGCACACGGAAAGCTGCTCACGGATTATGAGAAAGGCCAGATTGATGCCCGTTTGAGCATTGGCGACTCAATAAGGAAAATCGCAAAAAATTTGGGCCGATCCGACTCTGCCATGCGAAATTATATAAAGTCCGAGTTCGTTTCTACACCAAAGAAGAAGCCAGGACCAAAACCAAAGCTTACACCGCGAGCTAGACGCCATATTATGAACATCCAAGGAAAAACGATCAATGAAGTGAAAACGGAACGGAAAATCGACTCTTCGAAGTCGAAAATTTGGCGAGCCATCAAGGAAAAACGCACATATCGATCAACAATTATTGAACATCCAACCGACCGTGAAGCTTTTGCACAAGAAAGCCCGATTGGCCTTCGCCAAGACTCATATGAATCAAAATTGGTCTATGGTTGGAAATCCGCTTATGTTTTATTATTTTTTTGCGTTTAGGTGATCTTTTCCGATAAGAAGAAATGGAATTTGGATGGCCCCGATGGCGTTGGCTACTATTGGAGGGATCTTCGACGTGATCCGATGGTGTTTGGAACTCGAAACTTTGGCGGTGGTTCTGTGATGGTTTGGGCCGCCTTTTGTGCTGATGGAACGGTCGCTCTGAAGATGGTTTCGAATCGGATGACTAGATAGATATCTTGAACAATTGCTTGTTGCCATTTTGGCTCCTAAATCCAACCGTTCCCGATTTGTTTCAACACGACAACGCGTCAATTCATCGAGCCGGAGACACCCTGAACTGGCTGAACAGCAACAACATTGCAACTTTGGACTGACCCGCTCAGTCTCTTGACCTCAATCCGATAGAAAATTTATGGGGAATACTTGTCCGAGCTGTCTACAAGAATCAGCGTCAGTTTCAAGACGTTTCTGCACTTAAAGCAGCAATTTTTTCGGCCTGGAGCGATCTCGACGTCTCTGCTCTTCAAAACCTCATCAATTCGATGTCAGACCGCATTTTTCAAGTAATTAATCGTTCTGGTGCGTGTACAGATCATTAGTTTTGATTTTTTACCTTTGATTTTTAATTTTTGTCGATAAATAAAAATATTTTCATAGTGCGTTTAAGAATTTGAAACGGTTGATTTAGCAAAAAGTTTCTATTTTGAAAATTTTTACTTTTTACAGTATGGCTATTTTTCGTGTTATTTAGGTTTTAAGACATGCTCTTTCTAATAGAAAAAGATTAATAGTTGTAGCGGTGGTCAAAATGCAAAATCCGCTATTTTAGAGGGTGCGTTTAAGAATTTGAAACGCACTGTATAGACATAAAATGATTGAAACTCAGCCGTTTAACTGAGTATCTTTACTTTGGTGGGAAATTCCCTTCCAATGTTGTCCATTAAATCATGTGGAATCCAAGTTCTTAATTTCGATTTAAACTTAAGTTTATGCAAATGTTCGAGTATTATTGTATAATCAACTGATAACTCTTCTGCTAAAGAAAGCCTTTTTAAGTTGGTTTAAAAGTTGGTTTAAAAAATTTCGAGCAAGCTTGGAGTCAGTGTTTCTTCGAGTGGTGGATGCGGCAACAGGAACGATGCAAGCTGTAAATCATTGAACGGTATTCACAATGAGGCACCAAAGGTGCGAGAGGAATGATACCGGTTGGATGCCTTAAATAAAGACCCTCGAAAGTCTTCACGTGAACTGGCAGAACTTGGAGTGGTATGGCGGTGATCAATCATCTCTATGCTCTTGGCTTTCCTACAAAATTAGAAGCTTGGGTTCCCTATACCTTGACCGACGCCTAGAGATTCAACTGGTGAGCTGTACTGATTTCTATCAGTACAGCTCATCTCTCAAGATGAGCGATCTTCTTTTTTGCCACATATTGTTGACAGGGGATGAAAAATGGGTACTTACTGTGAACTTTGAGGAAACGTCAATGGATGGCAGCCGGAGCGATACACGAATCGACCCCTAAACCCGAGTTGCACTAGAAAAAGTTTATGCTCTCGGTTTTCTGGGACATGGAAGGAGTGATCTATTCGGAGTTTCTGGATAGTAAGACAACACTTAACTCTACTAAATACACTCAGCAGCTCGATGAACTATTCATAGCTTTGGCTACTGATAGGCCCCACAAGTCAGAAATCATCCTCCTGCCTGACAAGGCGCGCCCTCATGTTTCTTCAATGACTCGAGAAAAGCTGAAGATCCTTGGCTGGAAAGTTCTGGTCCATCCTCCTTATAGCCCAGACCTTGCCCCAACAGATTATTATATTCACAACATGTGCCGTTAAGAACCTAGGCCATTATAAGTTACCTCCGATCTTGTAACATTACTCGTTCAGAAGTACTTATAAGCACTTCTTACTACCTGGGACATTCATCATTGGGACATTCAGTATCATCTTCAATCCTCGACACAATGTGGCTGATTGACTAGTATAGTTTATTAGGCCTTCTTTTGTTATTATTATAATTACTACTTTCTTTTCTTACTAGTAGCCATGGTACTAGTATTTAACCTTTATAATTGTTTAACGTTTTGTGCCTTGTTTTAAAGTGAATCTCCATTTATAAAACTCTGCTCGTATTTAGTGTACTTCATTCTCAAACGATGAAAAACTTGCTGAAAAACAAAGATTTATCAATGTGTATGTGTGCACGGGAGTTTCCCGTCAAGCACCAAAGTTTCGTGCTCCACATCGGTTGAGACCGATGTGAACATGGTCGGTGTGTGGGTTGGATCCAGAATAGTGGTGCTCTCCCCCATTGGCGGTCCAGATTCGGCGATTAAAGATCACTTCCTGAATCCCGTGCGCACAAGCAATCGAGACAGCGTGATCAAAAGCCTAAAGATCGCAGTTTAATCGATTTTTTTTTTGCTAGTTTTACCGAACAAACGTAGAAATTTCAGGGTTTTTTATGGACTTTCTAATTGTGTTGGTTTATTGTTATAATAGGTTCGTGAATTATTTAGTTTACTGCAGTTTTGGTGTCGGAAATGATAAAAAAAAACCACTCTTCAGTCATTTGCTTAATATATATGATTTATTCATTGTATTTGAATAAAAAGCAAAAATGTTGGAAGCGATTGGATGAATATTTTGTAAATCTGGCTATATATTCGAATCAACTTAAAGATCTCTAGCTGAGATTGTTAAAATTATTGAACAGCAGAATATTGAACTGTCAAAACTGGAAAAAGCTTTAATCAATAAATTCTTATTTGTTTAACTTGTAGTTATCATTTTTATGATATACTTACAATTAATGGTAATAAACATAAACGTAAATAAACAAGATCAACTATTGAAACAGTTACCCTTCTGCCATTATTCCCAGCCAAGTAGATGTCGACGGCTCGTCCCTCGGCGTGTAGAGAAAGGTTTTTCCCGCCGCGAACAGGTCGGTTGTTGTAGATTTCGGTGCGACCACCATATCGTTTCTTGAAATAACTGGCCAATCTAAGAGTTCTTTTCGTTAAAATCTCACATTTGCCCGTCTGGCCCGTTTCTTATCGATCAATTCATTTAGAACAACGAACCGTCTAGCTCCGGGCGCCGGTCCGTCGGTGGCCTTGTTTGCATAGTTATATCCACATCCACATCCATTCCCTTCAACTTCCATCAGCATGAATATAGCCGCGAAGAGCAAAACGAACAGTCCGTGCTTCATTGTTCTAAACTGTGATGGTATTCTTTCAAGGAAAACAAAATAAAGAAGGAATGTTGTTAAAAATTCGAGTCCAACTCCTCAGTCACCAAATCGTCGAATGAAACTGGTCTATAATAAAGGCTAGATATCCTCCATGGTCTTTCTGGGTGAGTTTTGTAAAATGAGAGATCATCTCACTGGTTCTTTTCTGGAAAAGGACTTATCAAGGAAGCTTGAGCTCTTGTTGTTTGCTGCAAAACTTATATTTGATCTTTGTGATCAAGGATTCAATAACATTCATTATACACTACGGTAGCTGGGTCAGGTTTCGGAATGATGGATGGGGATTACAAAGGACTGAGACAACTGGAACTATCAGAAAGTGAAAATCTTCCATTTGATTGGGAGAGAACGGTTTGGTTGGGAGCTTCTGACCGGGCCTTAAATGGAGGACCGTCTCCTCTGTTTATCACATCCCCCCTTTGTCTCCTTTAAAAAAAACCCAGCTAAAGAAGAACATTTTATCAGCTTTTTGTCATTTCAAGGGAGTGCTTGAGTCCTTCTTGTTTACTGCTCATTTTAGTCAAGACTCATCCGAAAGTTCGTTATCAGGAAAGATAAAGAAAGAGAAGGCTACGTCGGGAGGACTTTTGAGACTTTCGACCGAAATGTGCCGTAAAAGAAAAGTTCATTCACCAGACGTCAGATTGGCAAAAAGGATTCCTTTGAATCTCTTTTTAGCATGGGAAAGAAAAAAAAGAACAAAAGGGGCTATCTGATCTATGAGCCCTCCCTCGTAGCACTGTTTATCAGTGAGTGTTTTTTTCAGCTTGTCGAAAAGCGTTTCTTTTTTCTTTCCCATGAGATTCAAAGGAATTGTTTTTGCCAATCTGCCCAGAAAGACCAAAAAGAACTCGATATCACCTTGCAAAAAGGTTGTAAACATTCCCTCCTGACGTAGCCAATGACTTCAGATATTTACTCCACAAACCCCATATCAACGACTTTTCTTTTGCTGCACATTCCGGTCAAGGCGAGCTAAAAAAAAAAAGGGGACGCTGGCCCCCGGCGTGTTTACCAACAGCGCTTTTTTGGGTTGCGAGGTGCGAAAAGAGTTTGTTTTTTCCTCTCCTTTTTTTGGCTCAGCGAAAACGGCTCGGCACCCTCGATGTTCCCCCTCCTGCTTATCCACGGGTGGGGGAAATGGAAGGGAAAGGGCCCCCCCAAGGCCACACAAAAACAATGGGGTGTGTGAAAATCCCAAGGGTAAGGGCTCCGGAGGAGATAACATTCGTGGATTCATAGAGGAAGAACGTGAGTATTCAACAAACCAAATATTCCCTACAAAATCACCACCAAAATCACCCTATCAACAACCCTATTCCCTAGGAATAAACGAACCTGTAACTAATTTTAGAAGATAACCACAACTGTAACGCCGCAGCCATCAAATCGGAACAAAGTGCGAGTCGTATTCGGAGGCAAATCAGGTCGAACATTTCTGAGCACGCAGCTCACATAACAAATCTTTCAGTAAAATGAATGAAATCATTCAAGATGAAGATTTTGCTCGCAATCAACATGGCCAGGTAGTAACTCATTTTCGGATCTTTTCTGTTCTCTGGGAGAAGGCTTTATTCATACTATAACATTCTTTCAAAGATCTTTTCAATAAAGATCTTTTCAAGTAAAATATCTCTGTGTTTTGCATTGGAATAGTATTGGAATAGTATATTGCATGGGAATAGTATTGGAATAGTATAGTGCATGGGAATAGTATTGGAATAGTATAGTGCATGGGAATAGTATTGGAATAGTATAGTGCATGGGAATAGTATTGGAATAGTATAGTGCATGGGAATAGTATTGGAATGGTATATTGCATGGGAATAGTATTGGAATAGTATATTGCATGGGAATAGTATTGGAATAGTATAGTGCATTGGAATGTATTACAAATGTTATTGTATTTGTAATACAAAAAAAAGTGGTATCTAATAAAGCTTATTGTTAGAAAGAAAAATTTACGATAAAAACTTGAAAAACTTTCTCCTTCCTGATAACAATAAAAAGCCCCCATTTTCCAACTGTATCAGTTCCAACTGACGAACGGAATGTATCCATTTTCAGATGGCAATCCAAGACCTAAATCGACTCCGTGACGAAGTCCATTCACCATACATTCATACGATGGACGTATTTTTGGCAGCTCGCATGAAAAGTAGTTTCCACTTGAATGTTTTCAGCTGTCTGTTTCCCCGTGATCTACATATTTTCAGCAAATAAATCATTGAGCAAAGAAATCATCGAGATCATGTATCAGCTCGACCTATCCGACATGAAATCTCTTCTTTATCATATTTTGGAACCGAGACAACATCCGGAACATTTCCAAATCAAGACTATCGATCAATTTCCTAGCTATTTGCAAAGTTTCGTGGAAATCGTGGCCGGGAAGCTTTGTAATGAGCGATAACGAACTTTCGGATGAGTCTTGACTAAAATGAGCAGTAAACAAGAAGGACTCAAGCACTCCCTTGAAATGACAAAAAGCTGATAAAATGTTCTTCTTTAGCTGGGTTTTTTTTAAAGGAGACAAAGGGGGAATGTGATAAACAGAGGAGACGGTCCTCCATTTAAGGGCCCGGTCAGAAGCTCCCAACCAAACCGTTCTCTCCCAATCAAATGGAAGATTTTCACTTTCTGATAGTTCCAGTTGTCTCAGTCCTTTGTAATCCCCATCCATCATTCCGAAAACCCACCTACCGTAGTGTATAATGAATGTTATTGAACCCTTGATCACAAAGATCAAATACAAGTTTTGTTACCTGGCTTGGCCCACGTAATCCTCATCCATCATACTATAATATGGCCCATCTACTGTAATAATATGGATAGTTGTGCCGATAATCTTTTTGTCTCTTTTTGTGCCTCACTAACACTATTCACGAACCTTCTCCTTGTTGTCTGTGTATAAAAATCAAAGTTTCAGAATAATCTTACCCAAAAATGGACATCTTCACTCTTCTATTCTTTCTATCGACTGTGCATCTGAGCTATCAAGAGGTTGCCGACCTTAACACTCTTTGTGACCAAGTTGGCGTTCTCTTCAACAAAGGATGCAGTGGATTGACTGCTAAAGTGCTTGGACTTCCCTACAAGACGGTAAGTGTTTAATTCAATAAATAGTCAGGCAAATCGAAGAAAATAAACTGTCTATTTTCTATTGTGTTTGGTAAAAGATCTTCTCAAACAAAAAAAAATACTAACGGTGTCAAATACACAATCTTGTTTTTGTATAAATGTACAAATTTTTTGATAAAAAAATTGAAAAATGGACATTTGTAGTACGCGACAATACTTTGTGCACTGCAATACCGTAGTACGTTTTGTTTGAAAACGTTTTTACCAAGCACCCTGTGGTAGTTTACTTGTTGGAAGTTGGAATCTAAATCAAGCTGGAGCCAAAACAGGTAGTAAGAAGAGCTTATAAGTACTTCTGAACGAGTAATGTTACTAGATCGGAGGTAACCCATAATGGCGTAGGCTCTTAACGGCACATGTTATAACGGATTTCGCACACAAAGAAAGAACCGCTTACCGGCCGACTGCTCTCCCACTCAATTATATGCATCTTGGCTTCTCTCACCGAACAAGAAAGATAAAGAAGAGGAAATACACTGGAACTACTAAACCGTGCTCTCACGATCTACTTGAGTAGTTTCCAGTGTATATTAGCACTTAAGATACTTAAGATAACGCATAACGCAAGGTACTTAAGATAGCGCATTTTCACGCTCTTTTATCCTTTTATTAGAGCCTACTCAAATTTGTAGTTGTTTGAAACTGCAATATCGTAGTACGTTTTGTTTGAAAACGTTTTTAGCAAACACCCTGTGGTAGTTTACTTGTTGGTTCGTATGTTGTTAAGCGATACGGGAGCAACTACAAAATAATATTTAAAATTTAAACTTATTTTACTGCTTCAGACCCGATACTATCGCTACGGAGCATCAATCGACGACTATAGTCTTGCTCAAGGAACTCTCGTTGGATGGCCCGGTCATGTTGCTTTTTATGCTGGTGGCGCATGTGGACGTGGTTGTGAGTTTGTCAACGTCCAAGGGCCAGGCCATGTCGCGAGATGCCAGCGTTCACTCGGATCCGGAGTTCGTTTCGCCTATTACAATTACAATTGAATCCATTGGTCGCATACACAATAAAGCCTGTTGCAATACTGAAATATGATACTTGAATTTCCGGTCAACACAAACACAAACATTTCCCTCTGATAGCTTTCTAGGAGACATTGGGAAAACGATGAAATGACGAAATGAATGAATTCATTTGAATGCATGAACTTGAATTCAGGGTAATTGCAGTTTTTTTATGCCTGATATAGCTATTTTGGGTTAACTCATAAAAATCTGTAATAAATAACAGATTGACCAATATAGTGCATCGAGTAAAGTCGTCTCGTCGCTTGGCTAGGCTTCAAGTCGTTGTGTAGAAGGTCATGAATTCGATCTACATTTCATTGAGCTTATCTTTTCGATCGTTACTTGATCGAGTCAGATGCAACAATAATTATTGGGTTTTTAAGTCGAAAAATATAAACTTTTAAAACAAATTTTATTCAGTAACAGAAACTTAAGTTAATCCAAATATTGTCCATTATTTTTGATCATCTTTTCTTATTTTTCTGGCAGTTCTCAAATCCCCTTCTCATAAAAAGTCTTAGACTTCTGGGTGAAAAAGTCTGTCAACCACTTTTTGACTTTATCTTTGGAATCAAAGTGCTCTCCAACGAGGACATTGCTCATCTACCGGAATATAATAATCTGTTGGGGCAAGGTCTGGGCTATATGGAGGATGGACCAGAACTTCCCAGCCAAGGATCTTCAGCTTTTCTCGAGTCATTGAAGGAAAATGAGGGTCCGCCTTGTCAGACAGGAGGATGATTTCTGACTTGTGGGGCCTATCAGTGGCCAAAGCTATGAATAGTTCATCGAGCTGCTGAGTGTATTTAGTAGAGTTAGGTGTTGTCTTACTATCCAGAAACTCCGAATAGATCACTCCTTCCATGTCCCAGAAAACCGAGAGCATAAACTTTTCCTAGTGCAATTAATCTTGTATTGTATATTTTTGCTTTTTTTTATGTTTGATATTTATTAAATTCCCGTTTCAAAACCCGAAAAACGTTAAAAAAGATTTGAAATTCATTCGAGAAGACTGTAAGACCATTCATCAAAGTTTAGATGATGATCAATCTGCCATCCATTTTCTTTTAGATCATTAACAAACTTGTTGAAGTTTAGTTTGATTTTTTGATTGATAATGATTTGTTCAAGATCATAGCAAGCATTGAGTTGATCAATTGATTCAGCATCTAAAATCAAGTTTTTCTCTAGAACTAGAATTTCTCCTCACTTTCCGTCATAGCAATCCAGCTAGTGCCGTAATGAGGATCGTAAAGGATTGTGAATTTTGGTGATTCATGATAGATCATATTTTTAGATCGTCTAAATGTTCTTTAAACTTTTTTTTGAATGATTTTGACTTACCGATGCTCAAGTAACGTTTTCAATGAGCATCCCAAATGGCGGGTCGGATACAAATTATAGAAAAGTGGTTCTTCTTTGTTTACAACGTCAATCGACAATATAATATCATTTTTTATATATTCTCTAAACAAATGAATATAAATCTTTGTTATTTTCCTTTTAAAAACCTTATTATTATCGCAGCTCTTTTCCCGTTTAGCACATCTAATTTTAGACTACGTACGGCTCGATAGTTGGCAAAAAGATGCAAGAAAGTGAGTAACTGAAATGGGGATTCTCTTGAATGCTCTTGAATTTTAATTCTCTGAATTCTCTTGAATTTTAATCTAAAATTGTTTCTTGAGTACCCCAAAGAGAATCCAAATTATCGTGTGTTTCCCGGAAACAGCTGGGAGTAGAGCAAGAGAGACGAGTAGTGCTGCAGCGTTCACTAAAGTCTCTTGACTTCCATCTTTTGCCGCAACGTCAGCGAGATTGTTTCGACGAGCCTAAAGAATTTATCAAATCTTATTCTCTAAGCGAAATAGCTACTTTTCTCAATTTCAAATGCTTCTTTAAAGGAGCATTTGAAAGCCTTCAGCCTTGAAAGCCTTCAGCCTTGAAAGCCTTCAGCCTTGAAAGCCTTCAGCCTTGAAAGCCTTCAGCCTTGAAAGCCTTCAGCCTTGAAAGCCTTCAGCCTTGAAAGCCTTCAGCCTTGAAAGCCTTCAGCCTTGAAAGCCTTCAGCCTTGAAAGCCTTCAGCCTTGAAAGCCTTCAGCCTTGAAAGCCTAGACTCTTCAGAAAACTATTAGCCTAGGCTCTTCAGAAATCAGGAACTTATTTAACGAGAATTTTATGAACACATTAATATCTGATAGTCCTAACGGATTCGTCTAATTCAAATCCAAATCCAAATCAATCCAAAATAAAGAATCGAAATTTTAAGCTATCGATAAGTATTATATTTTTCTTTTTCTCACTTGATGCTGAACAATTGTGGTTCTCGTCGCTCCACCAGCCACGCCGACAATACATCGGAATAACGAGGAAATACAAGCAGAGACGAGAAACCTAATAAAATTTTAAGCAACGGGCCAGCTTTTTCAAGCTTATCATTTCATTCAAAACCTGGATTTAAGCTGAAAAAAATTAGCTGGTTTACAGATTACTGTAACTATTGGATTTGCTTCATGCAGAATAGAAATGGATCCCGTAGATTGAGTCAAAATTTAAGTATTTAGCTTGGCTTGGATCATTTTAAGTGTCTAGCTAGTTACTTAGCGGTCAAAGTCGGAGTAGGCTAACTTCCGCAATTGTTTTTGCGCAACAGGGTCATTTGCGCAACTCGCCATAAATTTCTCCTAAGTCGGCCAATCTTTATGCTTTTGGTTTCATTTTGTACATCTCAATAAGTGCAACAAAATAACACCAAAAGCATAAAGATTGACCGACTTAGAAGAAAGTTATGGCGAGTTGCGCAAACGACCGATTGCGGAAATTAGCCTACCCATCAAAGTCATTACACGAATGGATTACGGTAGAAAGTTCAAGTATTAAACTCGACCTTGTATCCGTTTCCGCAATAAAGACCTTTCACAGTTTAACATTTTTCTTTTCTTACATAAATTGCTCAGATTTTCGGCTACTTTCACATACCATTTTGGCCACAACGGGCACAACAAATCGATGAAAAAGGCAGCATCGTTGAGGATGTCGGCAACGAGACGCCATTTCTTGCAATCGTAATCAAGTTGGCTGCCTAGACGGGGAAAAATGACTGCGATGAGCGAATGCTCTCATTTGCAGAACCCTTTGCATAGGAGAAGAGAATCCGGCCGATCATCCCAAAACCATCTTTCACCAACCATGTCATCGAGGCAGCCAGCGCAGTCGCTTTCTGAAAAATAATGATAGTCGAAAAAGGTCGGTCCGCCAAGGATGGGATTACCCTTAACCAAATGACGTGCGCCAAATCGAGAGCGATTACGTGCGCGCACAAAGAACACCTTGGTGGTCTAGCCATTTTCTTTAGGGAAATTGTTCAAAATATTCAACTAACGTAGTTTTTTTGGTCTAATTTCTAATTTTGAATCCGAAATAGTTACATGTTTCTGCTGGGGGAAGTATTGAAAGTGGAGACATGTGATTGGAGGGGAATTCCCCTCTAAATACTTGCCTACTTGGAAATGTAAGCGTCTCTCCCACTTTCACCCCAACAACAACCACATTGGGACATAGGGAACAGCCTCTCTTTTTCCCCCATTTTCTCTTTCTCTTTCTCTTTCATGAATTCTCGTGTTCACCGACATGTCTCCGCATTCGTTTGATCTTTACCGTCTTTTCACCGGTTTTCCCAAAATCTGCCGCTTTTCCTTGTTGAAATCGATTTCTTTGGGATATTCTTTGGGAAATCGATAGAAATACAGTTTTCCCATTTTTCTATCTTATAGACTCACTTGTTCATCGTGTAATTTGTGCTCAAAATAATGGAAACAGACTCTTTCTGGTGCACAAAAAGTAGAGTGGTGTCTAAAAGAAGTCGGTACAGTACTGGACAATGAAATATGATATTTGAAAAATGATCGTCACTTTCGCGCCTCTCTAACTCCCTTGTCTTTGCGTTTAAACTATTAGTGTTATACATTTTCTAAAAGCTCTTTTCAAGGGCTACACAATGGTAATATTAATATTTAGAAATACGGTAAAGACAAGGGAGTTACAGACGCGCGAAAGTGACGATCTTTTTTCAAATATCATATTTCATTGTCCAGTAGTGTACATCGGAAAGGGTTTTTTTTTCAATATTTGAGCACCAAAAAAAGCAACACTACAAAAAGAAATCGATTTACAGATTTCTATAATTTTTTTTTACTGTAAATAATGTAAATATTTTCGCCAGGGAAAACTTTTTTTCGTAAGGATATGAATGTTTTCGATGAAACGATGACATTTGCCGACTTTCTCCTCTTTCTAATCCAAAAATGAGTCATTCAATGTTATTGGATATCTCATAAACACTAATTGGAAAGAGAAAAACGGAGCACAACCAAATGAGGATTTATTGGCGTCAAATGAAGTGTTTTTCTCAAGAACAAGAGATCAAGATCAAGATCAAATCAAGATCCACATCGAATGCCTCATTCTCTTGACAATATGACACCTGTTTATGGCTTTTTATCTACCGTATTTAGACGACTAAAGAACTACGGTGTCAACCGTAACATTCATGAGCAGAGATTTTCTAATCGGATCCTATTGACCCAGACAATGTTAGGCCTATTGGCTATGGCTGTCTTGGCTTGTCCATACTTCTTTTAGTACAGCATACTGTAGCTAGTCCTTTGCCAATGCGTTTTCTAAAGCGTGTCAACTTTTCGAAGGCTACCTTAATTTTGCTTCTACTCTTATCCAATTTATTTACTTATTGAGACCTACAAAATGATACCAAAATCATAAAGATTGGCTGACTTAGAAGAAAGTTATGGCAAGTTGAGCAAAAAAAAGTTTGGCGCAAAGTACCCCATTTCTACTCGATTAATCGACGTTTTTTCGTCGATTAACTACGAGTAATCCTCTTTACACGTCGAGTAAATTGAATACCTTTACATGTGAAGGGAATTTGCCACCAAATCAGTTAAACGGTTGAATATCTTTAAAAAGAGTCATATATAATTCGTGGCTCGTGATTTTTTTGCGCCAATTTTTCGCAATAATTTTCGCTAAAAGTACGATAATTTTTCCTAAGTGTGCATACCGTATTTCTTCGAATAGAAGACCGGGTAAAGAGTATCATCGCGTACTCCTGCGTAGCAGCCCTTTTTAAAATTTCTTTTCTGCATAAAGGCTTTCAATCAAGTGCTATAGAGCTGGAAAATGACTCAAAAATACCACATGAGCTAACAGATTTTTGAGTCATTTTTCAGCCCTATAGCACTTCATTGAAAAGCTTTTATGCAGAAAAGAAATTTTAAAAAGGGCTGCTACGCAGGAGTACGCGATGATACTCTTTACCCGGTCTTCTATTCGAAGAAATACGGTATTTTAAACGTTTTAAACGTATTTGGGGGTGGGACAAATGCGACCTTTTTTTTGCTGGAAAAGGCCTTAGGAAAAGTCGTAGAGCTTCAAAAACGTTTTCATAGAAGGGAATCGTATGCGTAGATTCCGAATCTCAACAAATCAGACCTCGCTGACACGTCAAATTTGGGCTAAAAGGCAAAAACTGCGGAAAAGCGTTAAGTTGCGTAGTTTTTGCCTTTTAGCCCAAATTTGACGTGTCAGCGAGGTGTGATTTGTCGAAATTCGGAATCTACGCATACGATTCCCTTGTATGGAAATATTTTTGAAGCTCTACGGCCTTGCCTAAGGCCTTTTCCAGCAAAAAAAGTGCGCAAATGTCCAGGTGCGCAAAAAAAAGGTCGCATTTGTCCCACCCCCACGTATTTTTAAAAAACGTATTACTTGCGAGAAACACACTCTACTTTACACTTTTAAAAAAAATAAATAAACTAAAACGAGCTTTTCAGAATTTCTTAAAGATCAATTTGTAAATAAATAATAGAAATTTCGATTGAATTTCAAAAAGAAATCTTTAAAAAAAGCGAACAAAACTTTCCGACAAACCTGATAAAAGAAAACCCCTAGAATAGCTAGCTCATTTTTGAAAACCATCTCACACATTTGACTTTTGTCGACCTTATGCCCAGATTTCTAAGGGCTTTTCCTTGTTTTCCATTGATTTCCCTTTTCTTTACACCATCTGGCACCATTTCTCCACGAAACGGGCTCTCCTTTTTCCACTTATCCCTCCTTCAAATCTTTTCCTTTTCAAATCCCCAATCCTCAAATGGCATACCCTTTTTGCCTTGGTTCCCTTGGTTCTTCCCCTTTTCTTCTCCTTGTTTTGTGTCCTTTCATTCAGAGTTCAGGTTTCCGGTTTCAATCACTCACCCGCCCCTCATTCATTCATTCATTCATTCGCAAAACTAATCCTAACAGGGAAATCGTTACCAAGTTCATGCTAACGCTAGTAGAACTAATTTTTAGCCTTATTAACCATTATGGCTTATGATTTTAGTAGGTTCTTGCTGGCTTGGATCTAGAAGTGGCTCTTATCAAATTACCCACGATTTACCGAACTCTTTTACTCATTTTAACACTCTGACTATCAGTTCAAATCTCAGACTTAACCTAGATCAGCTATAGAATAGAAAAAAAAGGTTTAGGTCTAGGCTCAGGTGGTGAAAGTTACCCACAAAACCTTTTGGATCAATCATCAACATAAGACTATATTAGCTAGGAGAACTTAAGGTCTTGTGCCATTTTGTTAGTCTAGTCTAGTCTAAAAGACCTAGTCCTAGGCCAAAGCTGACTGACTTATTTCTTTCATTTCTTCTTTGATTTTTTAAACCAAAGCATTTCAGTTAATGCTTCGGTTCTAATACCATTCCAATACGGTTCCAATACGGTTCTTTTTTTGATCTTTTGATCTAATACGGTTCCAATACGGTTCCAAATCCGACAAGCAAATCCTGGGACATTGTCACCTGACATCAGGTGACAATGTCCCAGGCGAACGAATATGTGTCAGACAGCATCAGGTGACAATGTCGTTAACGTGTTAAGCATGTTTATATTATTGTTCAATCTATATAAGATTTAGATTGAATCTAAATCGGACGTCCGATATAGACGGTAATCTAAATCGGACGGAAATCCAAATCGGACACAATATATATAAAATTTGATTAATTGATAAATTTTTGACTGCTTATAGCTTTTTTAAACTTTTAAAATCTTACTTTTAAAATCTAACTTTCAAATCCTCGAAAAAAAGGCTAAATGAACATGAATTGGCTTTGAAGAAAAAATCTTTATTCAACCTTCAAAAAGCAAACATTTCAATCCAAATTGCGAAAGCTTCTTTCTTCAAAGTGTCATCAGTGTTCCATTGTAGTCTCAAATTGCCAACACTGATTGAGAAAAGGATTCTCTTTCTTTTGATCTATCAAAAAAAATTTCTTCTCACTTCCTTCTTCTTCTTCTTCTTCTTCTCACTTTCTCGTATCTCTTTTTCATCCCAATTTCCTTATGAGTCATTTCTATTTCATTTCTCCACTTTTTACTGCTTTTTTTTGTGACTTTAAAACATTCCAAATGTCTAGATCTTTTTCATTTATTGATTAAAAACTTTCAGCCATTGTTTGGCTGAAATTTCATTGTTCACCAATTTCATTTTAAGCTTCAATTTAAAGTAATAAAAAGCTTTTCAAATAAAAAGCTGTCGTTCTATTGCTTGCTTTTTTAAGAATGAAGATGAAGATTGATTTTGATTTTGCTTTTGAAATGACTTGAAATGATTTTGAAAGTGAAAGTTGAAAATTTACCTTGAAATTATAAAGTTATAGTATAAAGGACAAAGTTATAGTATAAAGTTGTAGTATAAAGTATAAAGTTATAGTGTAAAGTATCAAGTTATAGTATAAAGTTGTAGTATAAACTATAAATTATAGTATAAAGTATAAATTATAAATTTTATAAAGCATGATCTCTATTTTCTTTCACTTTTTAATGAAAACTTTCATTTGTTAAAAGAGGTTTTTTCTTTTAACAAGCTTGAGAAAAGGATTCTCTTTCTTTTGATCTATCAAAAAGAAAGTTCTTCTCACTTTCTCGTGAAATTATTCAGCTGAAAAAGTGTTGCTTCGCTTTTTTTAAGAATTTATTGTTTAAAAAACTCTTCTAACAAGCTTGATTTATCTCCTAAAACGTTTTATACCAGTCTAAAAGATAAAGCAAATAGATCTAGAAAATATCAAGTTTAAATCGAATGCAGATTGAGTC